AGGGTTGCACTTTTCTTTATTACTTCGTTTGGGTAACTTTTCTTTTTCTATTTTTAATTTTTAATTTTTTGTTTTTGATGTTATTTAATTTGTTAAATTTAAGTTTAAATTATTATTTTTTAATTAGTTGCAGTTGCTGGTCGTCTCTGTGTGCTTGTGTGTGTGCGTGTGATTGAATTTTCGAATCTAAGAACTGTTAATTTATCGGAACTCGAAGCCAACGCGATCTTAGCTTAGCTTTATTTTGTTGTTCTCTTTGACATTCAAACTATATATATATACATATATATATATAGCTGATAATCCTTAAATTTGCATCTGCAATATGCAGTTGAAAGAGCGAGAGAGATATAGATAGAGAGAGAGAGAGATAGATCGATAAACAGATAATAAGCAAATTAAAGATGCTTCGAATGGAAACGGAAACGGAAACAGAAATGTGAAAGGGAAGAATAAAACTTGAGCTGATTCTCTAAGGGCAAACACAGGTGTCCGTCTGTTCCTCTAATACGTTTAGCTTTTTCGAACTCGAACTGGAACTCGAACTAACAGAGATTGATAAAAACCAAGTTCATAAAAAAAGTATATTTATATATAAACAGACATATATATATATATAGGACGTTGTATAACACGATAATTTGCTACTTAATTATTTTGTTCACATTCGCTTTTGCTTGTTCGCTCGTTTCGTTGTGTTTCGTTCCATCTCGTTCCGTTTCGCATTGGTATAGTTTTAAAAATAGTATGTTTTTCAAATTTTATTTTCGGCGTTAACGTCAACGCATGTGCCGTACGTTCTTTCTTCTCTCTCTCTCTCTCTCCCTTACCCCCTCTTTCTCTCTCTGTCTCTCTTTTTAGAGGGGTGCAAACGGAACGGGGCGGTTGGAAATTTCGGGCAGATTGAATTGTGGATTTAGTACATATTTGAAATAATTTTCAAAAAAAAAAAAAAAAACTCTCGCACATAACGCACGTATGTATGTCTGTAGGTGCGTATGAGCTACATGATGTACGTGTGTACACGAACGGGGGGTCTTAGACTTTGATTGAGAAGATTCAGATATATAAATATATATATTAGCTATATATATATAAGATATTATATTAAGATATGCATATATCTATACATATCTGAACATATATATATATATATATATATATGTATATATATAATTGGGTTCCGTTTTCAAAAGTATTTAACACAAATATCTCGGCAGTTCTTATTCTTTTTTTTTTGTATTTATTTTCGGTTTATACACTATATATATACATATACATAGACATATACATAAATATTCTATATATTCAGATATATGTATCTATATGTTTAGTATGTATATATATATATATATATATATATATATATGTATATATATATCTATACCCAACTCGCACACACACTCACATACGACAGATTCGTTATTCGTAATTGAAAAAGCTTATTTTTTTAGATATATAAATGTACATATACATATATTTATATATATATATATATATATATATATATATATATATATATATATATATATATATATATATATATATATATATATCTATATGTATGCTTCTATATATGTTTTGACGTATTTCGTTTTGAACAAGTCTGAACCAAAAAAAAAGTTAAATATATATATTTTTTATAGTTTTTCTTTTCTTCTCGTCTGTGTTGTATGATAAAATCCAAAAAAAAAATTGTTTTTTTTTTTAAAAAAATATGAAAAAAAATGTGGTAATTTGATTTGTATTGAACCAACAACAACAACGACAACGACAACAACAACAACAATAACAAAAAACAACAAAACAATATATGTGAATATACAATTTTATGGAAATATCTACGTTTGTCGCTTGCAAAGAGAAAGACCCGCTCGCGTTGATAGCCAACTCAAAACTGATGTCGCGCCAGCGAAAACTGAATATCGTACGTATGCGACGACCCAGAAGTGGCGGCAGTAGCAACAGCAGCAGCAGCGCAGCAGCAGCAACAGTCAAAGAAAACTGTGCAGCAGCAGCAACAAAAAGAACAACAAAATGCACGACGGCGATCGCCTCTCGTTGGCACACACAAGCACACGAAGATGCCCGAACGAGCATGCGCCGAAACGAACACACGAACAGGCGAGCGAACGAACACACACACGCACTCGCGCACACGTAATACATATGCACACAGTGGGAGTGGGTGGCAGCAGTCTAAAGGCAAAGCAAAAACAAAGAAGAAAGTATGAATTCGACCAACAGACAATTGTTGCTGCTGTTGTTGCTGCTGCTGCTGCTGCTGACTGAGGCTGAGTGATGCTGTGTGTGTGAGTTAGCTTTTGCATGTATGTGTGAGTGTATGTGTGCGTCGTGCCTCGGCCATGCTCGATAATTATCGATATGCATACGAATGCAAGAGCAGCGGCGACAACAGGTAGAATCTGTTAGAGCAAATGCCGTTAGCTTTTCGAAATGCAACAACAAAAGAATCAAACAAACGCACTCGCCTCACGCACACGCAGACAACTCAGAGTCACCCTGTGTGAAAACAGCAACTTGTTTGCTGCTGCTGCTGATGGTCAATGCGTGTCTGTCAGTTGATTTCTGTCCGTTCGTCCGTCCGCCTGTCTGTCAGTTCGGGGTCGAACTGTCGCATCATACCGCCCCCGCATGGCTACAAAAATAGCAAATTGTTAATTTCGCTTCGGAAACTCTTTTCCAATACAAACACACATACATACATACACATATGTGTATAGAGTGTATGTTGGGGCGGCGGGCAACGAAGGAGGCACACACATGATTTTTATTGGCATGCCACTTGGTTTTTCCGTGCAAAACTACTCTGAATATGCCGCCTATTGAACATGCATGTGCGTGTATGTGTGTGTGTATATATATATATATAAATATACACCTATATATATATTATCTATAGACTACACATATCTGCATAAACATATATATATATATATTTATCTCCTTTAGACAGATTATTTATGAGTTTTATTAAACATTTTATAGCTCAAATCTAAATACAACACACAACAAACACACACACACATACACATATATACGTACTTTGGCAATGGTGAGCTTTTACTTGGAGTAAAACTCTCTCAGAAGGAGCTGCACTCGCTCGCTCTCTTACAAGGAGCTGCGCTCAGTCGTTCGCTCGCTCGCTCGCTCTCTCTCAAGGAGCTGCACTCACTCGCTCACTCACACACCCCTCCTCTCTGCCTTCTGCACTGCTCACGCTGTGCTCGCTCAACTTCCAGACAGACATGCTGGATGGAAGAAGCAGCAGAATCAGGGGCAGCGTATTACGTGGTCGCATCCCACCCATCTAATCGCAACTCGGCCCAATAAGAAATAATTTATTTTTGGCCCATTTTTTGTGCGTCGTCAGCGGCAAATTCTTGTTGTTTTTTTATCTTTTTTTCGAAAACAATATCTATTTTTAAAGCTTCTGTGCGTTAATACCATATTTCTGAAAATATCTATTTGAACGCAAAACATACATAAATTTAATAAAAATTGAAAGAAATGCCCGCCACGGATCCACAGACAAGCAGACGGACGGACAGACAGACAAATTGCCAAGGAGATGGCCATAAACACCAGCGGAAGAAAGTCTATTCCACGAGTAACAAATTTTATTAAACAAAAACTTTAGTAACGATTTGACAAAATGTTTGGTCGCATTTTAATAGGCTATCCAATTGGCATGCACACCTTAAGAAACAAAACAAAAATCAAATTAGCAAAGTGAACACTGTCCAATTAGCATTCAAAAAATTCAAGTGAATTGGAATTTTGTTATCATACAGTATATGCCGATTCCAACTGGCAGAGCTCTCATAACTATGCGCCAATTGGAATACCGTTGCTTTAATCTATCCTATTAGGATCTTTAAGGATAATAGAACAAAAAGAAAACTAATTTTGTGAATATTTTCGAGTAGTTGATATCTGTTGCTTCTTAAGCATTCCAAGGTCTCTAGTCCAGTAAGTCTTAAATAATATTTTCCTCTTATAAGACCAATTTGTTAATTGGTCTTGACAATAAAATGACTGCAAAAAAAAACCTTGCAGAAAAAAAGACAATTTACGACAATTTTTCCAAACTAAAATAGAAAAGTGTTGAAATATTAATTTTTTTAAATTAAAAAGAATATATATACATATATATATATATAGATGAAAAGGTTTTCACTGTAAGTATAAATACCCACAGCTCGATCTTCGAACGAGGTTGATCGAATACCTAATGCTATAGTTAAAGTAAAACAAAATTGGATTTCGTCATGTGGAAAAATTAAAAAATAAATTTGTATATATATAAATTATTAATATTTTTATGGATTCCGTTTCAAGGACAAATCAAGAGCAAACCGATGCTTAAATCACAAATGCGCCGGCCACGCGCGCTCCACAGCGATAGCGCTCAGATGCGCTTAGCGTGTGTTCACTGTACACACGAGACAGACGCCAATGCAGGCCGCTTCTTCCAACAGGGACAAAATTCAAGGTAAACGAAAACACTTTCGCGCAGAGTGAGAGAGAAAGAGAGAGGTATATATATATATTTACATGCATATATATAAATATATATATCTATATATATATATATATATATATACATATATATTTATACATGTATATATTAGTTCGCATGTATTTTATAACTTGTGGATACAATTATTTTAAGAAATAATTACAATTTGCTTATATTTGATATATGCATAGGTGTGTGTGTGTGTGTGTGTACACACATAGTTGCTGCATACATACATACACGTACATATGTGTGTCAGCCAACGCCACATTCATATAACTGTATTATTTTATATTTTCTTTTTGTTTCTGTTTTATCGTTGAATCTTAAGGAAAACATTTTCTAGTTCGCAATAAAAAAAAAACATAACATAAAATTATAAATAATATATATTTATACATATATATTATTACAAAAAAAAAATACATATTTAGTATATTATTGTTATAATATGCATGTTACTAATTAGACGAAGAATAAAAGTTCAGATCAGATTTTTGAGGGAGCGGAAGTAGGGGTTGGAGGCGTGGTTGGCAGAGAAATGCAAACAAACTCAATCACAATGAAACATTCGATCGATCGCCGTTGCATGCAACACATTCGATCGATAACAAGCGCATCGCATCGCGTCGCATTCACTCGGGCTTCAGGATCAGGCCTGGCGGCGGCTGCAACTCCAGCTGCTCGATAAACAGCTCGTCCAGCGGCCGATCGCTGATGATGCGAAAGAAGAAGAGATGATCCAAGCACTTCAGGCTAATCGAACGCAGTGCAGGCAGTCGCAACAGCAGCTGGGCAAAGCGACCATCATCGCCCGGATGCTCCAGCCGGCAATGCTCGTCGAGGCAGGCGTAGACCTTCTCGCGGCACAGCTCGATGTCCTCACGATTCTTAATGCCTCTAATATCCGGATTATACAGAATGATGGCCTTCAAGCAGGACAGCTCACGCCGATCCAAATTGAGGCGCTTCATCTTGACGCTCAGCTCGGAAAGTATGCGATCGAAGATGGCATGGACGCCCGCTTTGATCGCACTGTTGCGATGGTACGAGAAGCTCTGGCTGAGGAACAGCTGCTGCGGCTGCATCACGGGTGACCGTCGCTCAAAGCCGCTGTCATGGCCCACTCCTGCGATCGCCTCGTCCAGCGATTCGATGCTGCACCATGCCACATTCGCAATAAGTAGCTCATTCCACGCTGCCTTCAATAGTATCACCTGATCGTCGAGTGGCAGCTGGGCAAAGTGAGGCATTAGCCGCGCATATTCTACCATCTGGTAGAGCTGTTTGTTGACCACCTGGCAGAGCGCCGATACGGCGCCTTTGTAGTCCGGCTGCACCGTCGAGTTGGGCCCGACGCGCAGAAATGCCAACGCCCGATCGCCGCTCTGCGCCTCCGCCCGCTGCTCGGCGTCGAGGAGACGTTCAATGGTAAAGTCGCGGGACACGCTATTGGGCTTAAAATCATCGGAGGCACTATTGGCTCCGCTGCCGGGACCTCCACCCACGCCAATGCCAGAACCAGTTGCACCGCCACCAACGCTCAATCGTCCTGTAGAGGCGCGGGCACCGCGTTGTCGTTCCTCCTGCACAGCCTCGCGCTTCATGCCGCACGTGAGGCATTTCTGATAACGGCAATATTGGCAGCGATTACGCTGCCGCTTGTCAATGATGCAATTGCGATTCTCGCGGCAAGCATATGTGAGATCCTTGCGCACTGTGCGCTTGAAGAAGCCCTTGCAGCCCTCGCAGCTGTAGACACCATAGTGTTTGCCACTGGCTCGATCCCCGCATATGGAGCACAAATGCTTTGACCCGCTAAGCGGATGATTTGGCGGATATTGTTGTAGTTGCTGCTGCTGCTGTTGCTGCTGCTGTTGATTGGGATTATTGTTATTGTTGACATTCACCATGTTCATGGCCTGCATAAAGGGGCCCGGGCTCTCGGCCTTGGGCGAGAAGCTGCTGTTGTTGCTGTCATTAAGCTGCGATATGTCCGGTTTAACCTCCTCCTTAATCGGACCCAGCCGAAAGCCTGCGTCCTGATCGCAATTGTCCATGTTGTGCTGGGGCTTCAGTCCCGTTTTTGCTCCTGTCTATTGTTCCTGATCTTCTGTCCAATGTTGCGTATTTCTGTCTATGCGTGTGCGACTTTCCCCACTGCAGTTTCACTTTGTGGTCGACAGGTACGCCACCGTGTCGAAGAGTCTGACAAACTTGTAAAGTGCATAAAATTCAGTTCCTTGGATTTACATAACTTGCGCTTTGCTTTCGCCACTTTGTCCAGTTGTACGTCGTTATATTTACTATTTGAATTAATTTCCCAATTTAGAGAATTCGCATAGACAGGCTTTTCTGACTAATGATTAAATACTTTTCGCGTCGACATTTTTTTTCTCAACAAAGACAAAATTCACCACAGCCACATGAATTCACCAGCTGCCAGTGTTGTCCAGCGGTTATACATTAGTGGCGGGTCCCAAGCGCAGTCACACAATACCATACACATCTCACACTACATGAGTATTGTACAAGAGAAATTGGGTAATTGTATTTGATTTTGTGCTCCTGTGTTTGGCAAATGACAACCAAATATGCATGCCTTGCAATTTTGACGGTGCAACAACCCTGTTTAGAGCAGACGGCGACTATCAGCACCACCACCACCTCAACAACAAAAGAGAAAGAGTTCTCACCACACAGAGCAACTCTGTGTCTGTCATAATACAATTCTTGTTGTACTTGCAAAAACGCAAACACGCACACAAGCGCAGCTAGCCAGACGACGCAAACACACACGTACACGCAGACAACAGCGACCCTCCCTGCAATTATGTGCGGCATATGCAAAAATACACACACATACATATAGGACAAAGCGCCAATTCCCCGGCTCCGGCCTCGGCCCAAATAATCGACATCGACAAATCAACAACAAAACAATAAACCCCGCGAGCGCGCCTTCAAAACCGTCTTACTTATGGCCAACCACGAATCAGCAACACAACGAATTAAGTCCACATTGTGAATCGAAGTCAAATGAATGCTAAATTTAATTTAGTCGTAGCTTAATGCACGGTGCAACTTACTTGCATGCGCACTTGTTTGATTTCATGCAATGCGATGCCTTGACTGTTTAACAGTAATCGCACTATATTGACGCACACGCGCACAGGCACTCATTAAAAATTGATCAGACACTGAAAAACAATTAATAGATGCGTTTATTTGCAATTATTTTTACTGAACTGATCTGCCGTCCAATTCAAACACACTGCAAACAAAATACTTAAATATGACAAATGTGCTAAATTTTACCAAATAAAATACGGCTGTGGCAATAAACAGTTATCGATACTAGAGACTATCGGCACAAAACAATGTAATGCTACTGCACATTTTAAGGGGATGTTTTCAGTTCTTATCGAATTAGGCCGTGCACACATACATGCATTTCTAAACAGCTGATGGCTTAGTGTATTATGTACATAAATATATATATATATATATATATATATATATGCATATATGTATATTAATATTTATATTGTTTTTTTTTGTTTATTCTGAGTCACTGTTACTATCACTACTTAGCGCCAATTTGACCATTAAAAACGAAATTTGTGTGTTCAAAAATTCGATCTCCTCACGGAACAAATCCGATTCATAAAGTAGATTTTGAAAGTCTTGGGTTAAGTCATCTTGAGCATTCCTTTGTCCCGCTCCCGAATTCTGGCTTTGGCTTTGATTTTGGCTTCGGCTTTGGATTTGACTATGGCTCTGTTCCGAGTCCTCAAAGCTTAAATAAAGCTGAAAGAACTCCTGGCCACTGCTGCGACAAACGGGGCAACTGTTTGATCTATCCAATGGAAATCGATTAATCTTTGTTTATAGTTTCCGTCCAAGTATGCTGAACTTACTCCTCCCACCAGCGCTGCAGGCACTGCCAGTGGAACACATGTCCACAGCTGCCGCCATAGATTTTATCTGCCGCTTTATACCGCTCCGAACAAATCGTACAGCTGACATTGCTGCTCCTGCGACTGCTGCTGCTGCTGTTGCTGCTGCTGGCACTCATTCTAGTAATGACTTACTGCCTAGAGCACAGCAGCAACATTGCCTAGAAGCCAGTTGCAGTTGGCTTATCAGCTTCCAGCTGCCCACCCGCTGCGCTTGCCAAATCTGACTGTGTAACTGAGCTTCGTATAGTGTGGACAGTGGGACAAGCAACAACTTTGCCAGTTAACTTACAGTTAAGGGAATATTCTGTACGTATATGAGCTCTATAATATGACGAATTCAGTGTAAATATTTATTTGCCAAAAGATTATATCAGCGCTCGCTCCGAATCTCTCAAAATTTGTCACACAAAGTTGAGTACGGAATGTATTTAAGTTGCTGCTGATTTCTCTCAGTGTCGAACGTAGCGCTCATGCATTGATCGTGCCTGGCACATACATAGACGCGACAGCTCATTTTCTCTATCTCTCTCTCTCTCCCCCCCCCTATCTATATAAGCGTCAAGCAGATTAGTATTTGCCAATTGATTAAAATATGTGTTTGATGCATAGAATTCTTCTTGTGTTTGCATGGGCATTTTTATATTTTCGATTGCTTAAAGTGCAGCGCATATAAACAAAATCTATTAAATATATAAAAAAAAATATGTTGAATAATATAGGTACAAATATATATATATGTCTAGGTAGATCTACAAAAAAGTGTGTATATATATATATATATAGATATATATATATATAACTACATACATGGAATGGTTTATGACAAACTAAGACTAATCGAATGAGGCCCATGGGCCCCAAGTCAAGGTCAAGATGATTGTAGAAAAAAAATAGTAAAAAAAAATTATTTATATATATTATAAGTGGAAATAAGCGATAGTTGATAACGTTCGCCAAGTCGTTAGTTGCCCGACATCGAACATAGCCTTAACAGTGTGATGTTAACAGCGCACGAAGGTAAAGTTCAATATATTCCAATTTTAAAGTGCTTTATAAGAAATTCGAAATAAATGTTTTGAAAAACGGACCATGAGCCGTACGATTTGTGTATGCTTAACGGATGGAGGGATTTGATCGCTAACGGTATTGATCGATGGATATATGTGTATATAAATAGAGCTTAGTTTAATGGTTAATACTAAGAGCGGACAAACGATAAATATCTAGGCTACGATTACGATATATGTACGTGTGTGTGCGTGTGTGTACCGTTTACGATATTCAGCAAACGAAGTATCATCTTGAGTACTATTTACGATACTTGCATTTAAATACAAGAATCAAACCATCTGCAATACTTAGTAATCTCTATACCGCTTACGACATACACATATCGTAATCGCCATGAATCACTTAATGTATAATTTACGAGACACATTTGCCTATATCGTGAAGCATATGGAGCACTCACTACACCATGAATAAGGTGCCGCATACGATATAGTGAGAACAGAATACAATTTACGATATCATAGACAAGCATGCCGCAATCGTTATTGAGTGTACGATATATGCTATACGATATACGCTAAATACATAGCGCACGTGTAAGAGGGGAATGTAACAGTTACGATATTTGGAATTAAAGCATTTCGTTAGTCTTTTGGAGTTGGAGACTTTGCCGGCACTTTGCTAGCATCGTCCTGGACCGGGACCTGGATCGACGCCTGCTGCAGCGCATCATCCTTGACTGTCGCATTGCCGCTATAAGATTGGTTTCTCTTCGGACTGTCGATGTTCATGTAGATGGGCGATTTGGTTACTTTGCTGGCCACCGTCGTCGGACCGGGCAGTTCCGTTGCGGGCAGCTCCTCCTCCTCCAGTATGATGTCGTCCCCCACCATGGTGATGCGACGATGCCCCAAGGGAGCCCCCAGCGAGCCAGCTGCGGGTCGGTAAACGCCGCTGCTCAGGCTGCTGTTCCCCCCGCTGCTGTTGAAGCCGTTGTTGATGTAGGAGTGATTGCTCTTCTTGGGCGGCAGCCGGCTGCTGATGCTGCTGCTGCTGCTGTTGCTGTTGGTGCTGCTGTTGGCTGCGAGCGTTACCGATGGCGGCGGCGGGGCTGGCGGCGTAGCCAACGGCGGCAAATTCGAGCGGCTTATCAGATCGGGACAGCGGGAGAGAAGCTCCAGTGACTGCCCCGATTTGGTTGCCGGCAAGGACGGGCAATCGGATGTCGGTGCGGACGCCGCTGCCGTTGGCGACGCCGCTGCCGCCGCTGCTGCGCCGGCGGACATCTGGGACACAAGGGTGCGACTGTGGTTGTTGCTCAATCCGGTGTCTTTCCATTTCTCTAAAACAAATTGTGACCGTGACTTAGCGGATGTGGTTCGCATGCATTAATCCAATTCGGATCCACCCGGTACGTACCTGCAGCACTATTCGCCCCATTCGATTTGCCGAAGGGTAGAAGGAGGCGCGCCGGCTGGCAGAGGACAACCGTCTTGTAGGCCTTACGGTACTGCTTGTTCATGATCACGTAGATGATCGGATTGATGCAGGCGGACAGATAGAGCATGATGTAGCTGAAGATGTGCAGACTCGGATGCTCGACGTCCTTGTCGGCCACCTTGACAATTGTGATTGGCAAGTAGCAGACGACAAAGGACAAAAAGATGGCCAACACCATTTTGGTAATGCGCCACTCGTTGCGCTTGGCGCGCACCTCGCGCTGGTCCTTGACCCGCGTGGTGGGCTGCTTGCCCCCAGCTGCGGCCACTGCCTCGGGCACATCCGTGGAGCAGCTGCTGCTGTCCGTGGAGACGCGACTGCCCGCCACAGTTTGCGATGCGGGCTGGTTATCGGGCTGGTTGACCGCTCTCAAATTGTTCGGTATGGAGTTCTGCTTGTTCGCATGTCGCTTCATGCGCTGCTCGGACTTGTGCACCACCCAAAAGATTTTGGCGTAGCACGCTATGATCACCAGACAGGGTATCACAAAGGCCGTTATGAACAGCGTCGTCTTGCTGCTATGCCCATGCGCATCGCTCATGATCGAGCACGTCTGGAGCCGCGTGTCGTAGCCAAAGCGTCCCCAGGCGCCGAGCAGCGTGGGCAACTGCATGCCATAGGAGACCAGCCAGCAGGCGGCGATCATGACGGCGATCCAATGGCGCTTGTAGATGCGCGCATAGCAGCTGTGATGCGTGATCATCACATACCGATTGATCGTGATCATGGCGATGCACAGCAGCGAGACGCCAATGTTGCCGTACTGTATGAACGGGATGACACGGCAAAGGATCTTGCCGTAACGCCAGCCGCCCTGCACAAAGCGCAGGCCCTGGAAGGGCAGTACTAATGCGCAGAACAGCAGATCAGCTATGCACAGGCTGGGAAAGCAAATTACAGGGTATAAGCAAGCCGATCAGCATGGCATTGGCATCAACTTTGTATCGACCTACCTGATAATGAAGGCGGCAGCCACGTTGCGCACTTTGGGGCACTTGAGCAGCGCGACAACGGTCAGAAAATTGCCACAGATGCCGACGATCATGATGAGAAAGGTCATGATCGCCGCAAAGGTCAAGAGCGATTGCGAGAAGCTGCAAGTGTATGAGATAATTAGTTTCACAGATTTCTAGATTAATTGCTAGACAAGGCGCTGATCCTTAAAGAGTTCGCGATTTTGATAAGAAATGTCGCGATCACCGATCACCGATCGTCGATCATCGATCACAAATGTCAACAGCGATTGCAAGTGCTCAAGAACATAAGTTGTAAGCATCCATAGTTGGTTGTAATTGAGCTGATTTCCGAGGCGATCGCAGCGCTGATCCTTGAACTGATCGTGTCGACCTCTAGGCCTGAGCCGCATATGATATCTGCAGTTGCTTCCGTTGGCCCAGAGACGACAAGCATTGTTGTTGATTCTCTCACACACTCGATCAGTCGCGATCCCAGCCGATCCTCTGCTGCCATTGAGTGTGTTTGTGGAGCGGCACTTGCAATGGGCCACGTAATATTAACGATCGGTTATCGGACCTTTCACACTGCGCTATAATTAACCAGCGCGGCTGGCAGCTGATAGGGTCGAGGGCAACCTACCCACTTTCATCCACAGCATCCAGTCCGATCGTCGGTGCCACTGAGGCAGGCAGCCCACCATCGCCATCGCCATCGCCATAGCCCAGACTCGGAGTTGTGTCGTCACTCATAATGCCAGATAAGCTAAGAAGTTCACATAAACAGAAACAGAACGAGAAAGAGCGAAAGATAATGAAGACAGCACAGCACAGCACAGCAATAAATGAGTTTACAGTTTTCAGCTTGAGGCAGGCTTCAACAATGCTTAGCAGCTCTACCTGATCAGCAGTGCCCTAATCAGTACTTGTGTACTAAATACTCACTCAGGAGTCGCCCAAAGCAAGCAATGGAAAGCAGAAGGTAGGAAGAAACAAACAAACGATCGACAGCCGAGCACTGCCAACTGGCAACTGAGAAATGGGAGCTCTCAACGGGCAGCTCGACTTTGCTGCAAGTCGGGCGGGGCTTTGGTGTCGAGACGAGCTGACGAGCTGGCGAGTTTTGTTTCTGCTAGCTTGCTGTTCCTTTGGACTACAATAAATTAGTGTCAATTAAATAATTTAAAGAGGTCACAGCGCACACTCAGCGGCCCAACAGACATCGTGCAGGCAACATCTCTTTAGCTGCGGGTGCAAAGATCAACGCCGAACCTTAATTAATTGAGTGTGCTTCATATAGAAATATATATTTATATATATATATATATACTATATACTATATACACACATCTGTGTCTGTGTGCGTGTGTTTGCGTGACATTGTGTACTGAAATACCGGAACACTTTTCATGTTTCTATATTTCTGAGTAGCTGACGCCCAGTTGTATGATATAAATATTTACTTTAGTAATAGATCGGTGCGGCTAACCGTTCGTGGATACACTTAAGTCTTGGAACCTAGTCACATATAGCCAAATCCAAACCGTCTATCTGTTTACTTTCGCACCGATTGATTGATCGATCTAAAACTAAACAGTTTTCTATGACAGCTTTTCATAGCTTTCCAAAAATCTTACGCCCTTCCTAATTATCTTCCAAATACATTTGTAATGCCTTATCAAGTCTTTCATTAGTATATGTAAGTTTCCAAAAAGAAAAACTTCTGAGTCTTAAGCCCATTAGGACAGATGCTATACTATCGATATGGAACATCACTTCTGAACCCCCTCCAGATATCGAAGTCTTTCTCTGACAAGTACATATTAATATAAGGCTATAAATGTATTTAGTTGAGTTTATTTATGGGAAATGTGGGTTGTATATATTAGTATTAAGAATCCAATAAACAAATGATGTTTGTTTTCATATATGAGCTGAGGATTACGCATATCTGTACAGGAATCTGAAGTGCTTATCACATTACCATATTTTTCTCAGAACTGGGAATGCGGAATTGCAGGAAAATAGCTTTGGATAACAAGTTACTCGATCATTAGCTCTCTAGTATGTGCTATTCTTACAGCATTTGATCGACAGGCAGCCATACAAAGAACACAGTGCGTATACGTAATATTCAACCTCTCATTATATACTAGAGGAGGCGAGTCATTTATTTTACAATTGAATGTTTTGAACATCGTTAGATCACACAAAACAAAAGTTACGTATACGCAATGTCTGACAGCTCACGATCGTTTAGCGCTGAGGCTGCCCAGTTCTAGGTACATTTATGTACGTACTTGTTATGTGTCTGTGGTATATATTTATCTTATCAGCATATAGAACTCACCTGGTTTACTGGTGTGGCACATGCGATTGGTAATCACTATTAGACTGCTCCCCCAGCTGTGCTGACATTCACGATCCGATCACTGGATTGCACACAATTCACAAATCACGAATTAGACGCTTATCAGGCAGCACTTTGCTGTTATGTTTGTTTTTCTATTATTATTTCACGTAATCGCAGCTGGCCGATAGAGAGAGAGAGAGCGCGCGAGAAAGACTCAGAGAGGTAATTTTTGCTGATGCGACTTCAAGTCAGAGCCAGAGTCAGAGCCAAGTCAAGTCCAGGCAAAGCAAGGTGCTTATGAGTAATAACTGAGCCGAACTTTGTGCAAGTGAACTGAACTGAGCTGAACTGAGCCGAAGTTGACTTCAGTTGAGCTGAGCAATGTAAACAGTTTACGATTCACGTTCTCTGCTGGCAATGGCTTATTCACGAATGCTGCGCGAGGGAGTGAGCGCGGGGCCTCGTTTGGATGATTCAAAAATGCCGCAATGCTCGCTCACAGTCATGACTAATACATTTGGGATTCAAGCATTTTGCAGACTTTCGAAGACGCAGGTAGAAATGTTGCAAGCATGCGGCACAGCAAACCACACCGCAAACGCATTTGTCACGTTATCAACAACAACCAGAAAACCCACAACAACGGGAATAACAGCCAACTAAGGGAAGAGCGCGATCAAAACAAAACGCACGAAAGCAAATTAACTGTAACGGCTAAATGGAGTTCGACTGCGCGCGCGCTTATTCTGCGTTCGTCTACATCGACTGCACATTATCGAGTGCCCGCTTTTGGGGCGGCAGCTCAGTCGTCGTCGTCGCCGTCGCCGCTGCTGTCAATTGATATTCGCTGCTGGCCGTTGACAATTTCGTTCTACAAGCAAGCGCACATACGCACATACTCTCACACCAGCTAACATATGACACTCTCTCCCACTTTACGCGCTCGCTCACTCTTTCGGTTCGGTCGCATTGACAGTATGCTCTCTCGCAATTGCTGCTGTTGTTGTTATTCTATATATTTATCAGTCGGTAGACCAGAGGGCGGCAGAGACATACATATGCGATTGGCGATCGCGTTAGATATTGCAGGCATGCATGGGTGTGTATGTGTGTGTTTATTTGTTTGTATATTGTTTTTGTTTCTTGTTATAGATAAGCGATACGCACAACGCGAAGTAAATGACAGTTTCAGCAATTCCATCACCAAATACAGATGCAACTATAGCACAGTGGATCACATTCATACATATGTAAACATATATTTTATAGCTCTGTCATTTCATTGAATACTCTTCAAACATCCAAACATCATCAAATATTTTATTCAAAATGAAGACTGTCAAAACTAATCGGATTCTAAAGGTTCCTTTTCTCTGAATCTGAATTTTGTTTAATACTCTTTCTAAAGAGTTATTCATGCTTAATATTATAAGAGACGTTTATGTAAGCTCTATTTAAATCGCATTCTCACAAAAAAATTGCATAATACATGTGTGTGAATTTGTGTGAATGGCTTTATTAGATAGTATTTCTGTCCACTATAATTGCTGCCGCCATGTTGCTTTGCAAGGAAATGCAAACATTTGCTTCATTTTGTCAAAGGTAAAGAGGCAGAAACAATTTCGGTTGGTATGGCTCAACACACGACAAATATGAGAAAATTCCAAATAAATGAATTAAATAAATTGGCGAACTTTCCAGTGCATTAAGTATTATTGAATTGCCGTTGATTGAGCGTTGCCACCTAGCAAATGCTTTAGTTTGCTTTGTGAACTGTCAAAGCTACACTGTTTTTTTTTTGTTGATTTTCAGATCCTGAGTAGCCTGGTGTGAGGTTTTAAATTCCAGTTTGCTTTGACAACACAAAAAAATTAAAGCATTTGGCCTTGTTTGAGGCATTGCCATTCAGTTTTCTTAAATCAGCTAACTATAAAAGCAAGTCAATTTTCAATAATATTCTCGGTCCACGTATGAAATGGATTGGTTAGCTTTAACCTCTTATCTTCTGTGGTTCTTTGCCGCCTTTAAGAATCCGTTCGTGCATATATGGCTAAGACTGGAAGGATCTCAGTATTACATTCGTATCGCTATCCCCGAGGTATTTAAACCGCCCTACAACTCAGTCCTTGATTCGAGCTTTCTGCATAAGCGTCCAATGCAGAAGTATGGCGATCCTTTTGAGGATGGTGTAAACGCAGAAGATGGGGATGAGTATATTGGCATGGGTAAGACTAAATATAAATGGCAATGGAAAAAAGGAGAGTTACCTAATACAGAGAATAACAAGCAAAGTCTGCCGATCTTCTGGGTGAATCTTAGCAAATCCCTGAAATTGGTGGCCTACGATAATCCCAAGTCTGTCTATCTGCGCTATGAGAGAACTTACAATGGAAAGAATCGTGTTACCTGGATCAATATTATTGCTGCCAGCCACTTGCTTTGGATTGCCTATTTGATCGCCTTGGGCATCGGGGTAGTTGCGATGGCCATCTATATGCTGTGCGGCATTGTGAGATCTGCAGTAAATCTGGTAAATAAAATCGATGTGTTGTGCGTTCGGGAGATTATACGCATATTGCCACAGATAAGTCACCTGGAAGCCATGACATTGCTAAAATCATTGCTTCAGCGCTTTGGGGAAAACCAGCTGGAAGCGTTTCCTGCCGACCCTAGTGAAGATGTCCAGTTGAATGTCGAGAGTTCCGAAAGCCCATCTGATGTCAGTCCTACGGCTTATCCATCTTCGAGAACATCTGACAGGTCCAAAATTCAAGAATATCGCCAATGGCTTATTAAGACTCCACATTTCGATAACAAATCAGGTGCAAACCGTCGGTCATCCGACTTGGAAAGGGAAAGTCGCACCGAATCTGAACACAAGTCAAACGCTCAACGGTCGTTAGCTAGAGAAGCAAAAAAAGAACCAAGAATAGCTCTTAGTATCGAGCAAAGTGAAGGGACTCTAACTGTATCGAGCAAAATGATTATTTTATCTAAGAAAAATCTGTTAGAGGAAGAGCTATCGGATAGCTCAGATCTCTATATAAACATCAAAGAAGTTCGCAAGCTTCTAGGGACTGTACGACCGACAGACTCCGATTATTGTGTCTCTACCGAAGACTACTCTGAAATGTCTTCAAACGTCGAGAGCACCGAAAGGACTCTGCTTGCGGGGCATGTGTATGCTGATGATGCCGAGGGACACTTGTGTGTTGAAGAAAATGGGCAGGGCGATGGCGCTTGGATAAATGAGGATACGAAGCGAAATGATAGCATTAGCGAATCTGAAGAACACTCGGAGAGTTCATTTCAATATAACATAGAACAAGATCAGTCCATAAGTAATATATCCTTTTCAGACTCTTCGGATGGGCATTCGAGCTTACAAGAATTCAAAGACTTTGAAGAAACCGATATGTCCGAAAACTTTTACTCACTCGCAGACAGCTCCGACACATCTTCAGATAATTATAGAACCACCAGCGAAACTGGAATTGAAGTGGAAACCCTAAGCGAAGATGATCCACTTGAATCGCCTAGCGAAGTTATTGATGAAAGCTTGTCAAACTTAGGTGCTGTCCAAGAAGGGAATCCTTTCGGGATTCAAGAAATTCCATGTGGATCCGCATGGAACTTACCGTCTTATTCGAGGCGTACGAGACCACACTCGTACTATTCTGAAACGTTCTTGCAGATGCAAGATTTGATTGAGGATGACGACTTCGAAGATGGTTTATGTTTCATTGAATGTCCTAACCCACGTTTTAGAGCTGAGGACAACTGCAGCGGGCTCTCTGAAGATATCTCACAAGAGACGAAATTAGATAGTAACTGTGAAAGTGATAGTATGTTGCATATGCAATTTGAGAATTTATTAAAAATATCGGATCGTTCTGAAAATGTTCCCAAATCGAAGCATCTTAATCAGGAGGATGGCAACTGGGTCGATTGGAGCTTGAGCGAGCATAATCAGAGCGGAACTATGCGACAATCGCATGACGGGCATGACGGGCATGACTCAAAAGACTTTGAAGACTCTGAGCTCTTAGAATACCTGGATCTGCCACTATCTGCTTCCTCTGATGAGCTTTTAAAGGACACCCAGAACACTGGGTCGCATGACTCAGAGTCAATCGAAAACATGTCTTTTGATATCGAAGAGGTCGAAGACGATTTGGATGAAGGAATGGACTGCAGTGTATCCGATGAACCGATGGAAACTAGTTTTATTCAAGAAAATATCGAAACATTAAGAAACTCATTAAAGATTGTTTATGATGCTGAAGCAGATCTCATGTAGAGTGCGGAAGTCGAACAGAAGGGTGTGTAATGGGTTAGTGAAGTAGATTGTAAACAAGCTAATGATCCTATTATACATATAAGATTCCAAATTACAAGCTCATTTAGAACACTTAATTTCCTTTGCAGATCTCCCCAACTATTTGAAGACAAATCAATGCCGCTGATAAAGCAAAATAGAAAATAATATATTGATCGATTCAATCCGGAGCTCCATCGTACACCCAAGTGTTTCAAGATCTCATTTAACATCTGGATCTTACCATAAGCCCACCTGTTCAATACCATTCGCCACTCAGCTTTCTTTTTTATCGAACCATCCGGTTCATTGCCACATTAATCGCATAATGCCCTATATGATTCAACTTAAATTTATATCGAATTTTACAGCATTTTTATCCGCATCCGCATCCGCATTCTTAACTATTATGACAATCCTCAAGACTCAAATTGCACCTACTCCATTGATCTTGTCAGGCGTCTCAGATCCTCCAACCAATATACTTTGATGTCTGCTTTCAGTAACTATTTTCACATCACATTTTTGCATGGGCTTAGAGCTACAAGTGCCTGATTTCCGATGTTTCACATTGGGTTCAACCGATCTTCATATATGCCACTTGCTGATCACTGGCTGCTCTACATTTATCTATTAGTCATGCTTCAGACTCAGCTGATATAGTATACGGAGAGACATACACGGAATAGTCTCACATGAGCAGCTGTCATATTCTGTAAGCGCACATCCCGATATTACGAGCAGCCGACATAAGATGGGAAAGAGCAAAACCTGATGTTGAGTCATAGACAGCTCAGAGATGCGAGGTGTGTAGCTGGCCTCCGGCATTGAATTTCTCAGCCCGGTCGCTCCGGATGCAGCTCCGAGTCGTTGCGACTCAAAGTGAGGCGCATAACCCACTACAGTGATGGCCTAGAGGAATATATTGAAAGTCTGGTGAACCGTATGCTGGTGTAGATTATAGAACCCACAAGTGGAACTGATGGAACACAATGCCCAGCAGAATCCGAATGGAACTGTGAAAATAACTATCTACTTGCCCGATTGCCAAAACCTTAGAGGTTAACTATACATATATGGATCTAGATCTGACTGCTTTAACTACTTTAATGGACATTTCAGCTCTACAATAGATTTTGAAATATATTTATTTTGATATTCGAGCCTGTTTCTTGAAGTCTTAATGCAAACACCAGCAGGGAGCACATTTGAATGTTAGTTTACTAAACTGAGCGTTCACTGTACTGTGACTGTCTGAAGTACCGGGAATTACACGCATTGCTTGAATTGCTATTGATAAGCGATAGAGGCAAAGGGCACATAAACACGGGAAGGAGGGACCAAGTTTCCGACGTTCAGCTTCGGCTTCGACTTCATACTTTAGAAATGTTTACACAACTCGAGCAGACACGTTTGATTGCGCGAAGAACACGATCGCTTATAAATATCGGGAGTAACTATATCGAAAGAGAGAAGAGAGGGAGAGTAGAGAGTGAAGAGTGAAGAGTGAAGAGTGGAGAGTGTGTATGTACATGTTTCTCTCTCTCTCTATCTTTGAGCTGTCCTCTAGTTGCATTGAGTTCAAATCATTTCTGTGGGTTTCTGTTTGCATCTGATTAGCGGTCAGTTGGCTTTATATACTTAAATATATCTATATATATATGTATATATACATATGTGTGTGTGTGTGCGCCTGCATAAAAGCAAACATTTCACACATTCGAGTTATGGCAAAGAGGAGACGAAGCCACGGGGCGTAGTCGGTCAATTTTCAATTGTTGCCAAAGAGTTTTTCATTTGACTCAGTTGTTTTCTATAAAGTACACACACACACACACACACTCGCACACACACGCTGGCTGAGGCACACTCTCACTCTCACTCTCATTCTCATTCTCAGTCCCATACCCATTAGCCGTAGGCACTGCCTCAGCCCCTTTGCCGCTGGCCCATTCAATGCGCTCTACTCAATGAACCCGGAGGCCGGTGGCCCCTAATGTGCTCGCACCCAGCCAACGCCCCTTTGCCAAGCCCCCGCCTGTGCCTGCTGCTCCTCCAGCTCCGTGACTATTTCTTTTTGTTTGCTACATTAATTAATTAAGATGACGCGAGAAGAGACCATTATCTAACAAACACATAGATATATATGTGTCATATATATATATATATATATATATGCATATATTTATATATATATATATATATATATATATATAACATATATATTTATATATACATGTGTGTATCCAGTGTTAGCAGTTTCCAAAAATCAAATCGAGTGGGTGCGCTAGGGAATTAGTAGAGGAGCAGCGGCTGGGGGTCATGCTTGGGGTGCAGTTAGCTAGAAAATTGGCCTAGTCAATCGTTAGATTTGGTTATGTGTATAGCAGCTCTGTACTCCCATACATATATGCAGTATAATACATAGTGTGCAGAGTTACTCTATATAGCTTAAGAGCGTCATATCGTATAGTGCTTATAGCCTGAATACCCTGTAATTTTAGTTGATACTCTTTAAAGTGGTTATAGAGCACTACTTGATGTACCTATAGCGACACTTATATGCCATGTGCCTAGGTTCCATTCAACTCTATCAAATGTATCTGGAATATATACCCAATACTGCCCATATAGACCCAATATATGACCATAATTTTGGTTTCGAGTATTCAGTGGAGCAAGGAACTTCATAAAAGGGCAATCATGATTTATTATTACTATTTATAGACATTTATTATTTATATATATAAGATTTCTATATACTTATACATATCTGTATTTAGCTACAGAATCGTGTCCAATTTCAGATGCTATATGTTTTATATGAGCTGATATCTTTAACCTATATACGCTTTTATTCCAGCCTCTGGTCCGGCGATGCTGCTCCACTCGGAATACCCTATAAGCAGAGTGTGTATAAATACCGACGAAATTTATGCTCTTTGTGTTGATAGCGGTCGTAGGTGGTGGCAACAACTCGATGTCGAGATGTTTGTCCGAACTTGGGTGGGGGGAAAAAGTTCTATTTGGAAATGGTGAGAGGAAAACCTAAAGAGTTTCGTGTTCATATTGGTTTTTTATTTTTTATTTTTTGAGTATAGTAGGCGGAGCTGGTGCAGCCCTGGTCTGTGTATGCTCTAGTTGGAAATATCGAAAAAGAAACAATGCGAAAGGCAACAAAAGTTTTTGTAGAAAAGGCCAAAATATAAGAACAATGTAAACAAAGCGCTCCGCTCATTTCAAATTACCCGATGATGAAGTCAATTGTTGTATACAATAAAATTTGTTGTTGTTTTCCCGCTCGCAACTGTTGGTATTGGAGCGTACCAAAAATACCCTGTAATTTGGCATGCTCTGACCAAATGGAGCCCAAAGAACGAGGAAGCTAGGGCATGTGAAGGGCATGTCGAGAGTAGCAAAATATAAAATAAAATAAATTAATAAAAATAGAAATCTTTGATTTTAGTAATAATATAAAATAATACTTTAAATATATATAAATATTATTTTATTATTTATTATATAAAAATATTATTTATTATATATAAATATTATTTATTGATATAGTCACAGAACTTAGGGATTCATTGAGCTGACGGTAAGGACTTCTGCTGACTTCAAAGAGCTATGCTTAGCAGGGCAGGGCATTTGGCAGTCGTGTATGCCCTATGCAGCGCATGGAACACAATTCATTGTTGCTGTTGTTGTTGTGTTTGTTAATTTCTTTGCTGGATGCTTTGCTATTTGGGCTAGTGTCGATGTATAGAATTTAGTTTAGTACAAAAATCGGCGCAGGAACGATCGCGTCATAGTTTTAAACGCCGCATTCCTTGGCTGCATACAGACGCGCGCACTCCCACACACACACACACACACACACACACACACACATACACACACATACATATACATATATGTATGTATAGCTAGTCATATATGTATTTTATATATTTACCCCGCTAAACCCGGCCGCACCACCTAGCAGTCGGAGCCACAGTTAAGTTGGCTCTGGTTAACGGTTAACATTGAAGCATGATGCACCACCAGTGGAATGGTCAGTCCGAGCTGCTCGGCAGTAGTCAGCCAGTAGGCTTGGGTCTAGGACTGGGACTGGGCTCGGGTTCCGGTTCCGGATCGGGATCGGGATCGGGCCTGACTCGCAAGGCGTTGTCCGCCAATCGAACCAGCGTGCTGGAGAACGAACTGTTCGAGGGCTACTCGGATGAGCTGCTGACCTTCGCCTGGATCGCCTGCATTGTGTTTATCATTGTGGGCGTGCCCGGCAATCTGCTGACCATTGTGGCGCTATCGCGGGGCAGACAGACACGCAACTCGACGGCGATCTTCATCATAAACTTATCCTGCTCGGATCTGCTCTTTGGCTGCTTCAATCTGCCGCTGGCCGCGTCGACGTTCAAGGAGCGCGCCTGGACCCACAGCGACTTGCTCTGCCGACTATTCCCGATGCTGCGCTATGGTCTTCTGGCCGTCTCACTGCTCTCCGTCTCGCTGATCACGATCAATCGGTATATAATCATTGCCCATCCGCGGCAGTATCCCCGGTAAGTGTCCCGCTCGACTGGAGTCGTTATCCAATCCCAGCTAACGACGGCTGCTGCTGCTGCCGCTGCATCTCCTTCCATTCCCACTTCTTGTACAGCATCTATCAGCGACGCTACTTGGCGCTCATGGTGGCGGGCACCTGGCTGGTCACGTTCTCGATTATGATACCGACGTGGCGCGGGGTTTGGGGTCGCTTCGGGCTGGACACGAGCATTGGCTCCTGCTCGATACTGCACGACAAGTACGATCGCTCGCCCAAGGAGTTTCTCTTCATAGCCGCCTTCATGCTGCCCTGCGTCTGCATTGTCATCTGCTATGCGCGCATCTTTATTCTCGTCCGTCAGGCGGCGATGCGGGCGAGCGCCAAGAGTGTCGAGGTGGCCATCACGCCGCCCATTCAAACGCCGCCCGCCGACAAGGCCAAGGATAAGGGCAAGCCCAAGGGCAAGGATAAGCCCACAGAACTGGACAAGGACCGCAAACCCAGCTCGGACGAGGACTCTGGCCAAGTGCATCCGTTTGTGGTCAGCGAGTATTTGGCCTACATCGATGACAACGCCTCCTCGGAGAGTTTTCCCATCTCGTACAGCGTCAAGCAGGAGACGCCCATCGATGCGAACGTCGTGCTGCAGGACAACAGCCTTACCAACAATAAGCACTCCCTGCCAGGATCAGCTCCAGCTGCGGCCCCAGCAGCAGGCGATGCCAACATCAATAGATCGCTGACACAGCTGGAACAGAGTCGCAATTCGTAAGTGGCAAGTCTTTAACATCTACTTTGTGTTTACAACCAGCTGTCAAATTCCAATTCATGAAGGGGTTACACAAAAACGAGGGAGGAAGAAGAAGAAGAAGAAGTAGAAGTAGAAGTTTTTGCTTATCTATTATATATGGAGCTATAACATATTAAAGATTCACCTGCTGGCATATCGTGGAATAACATTTACAACCGGGTTGTAAATTTCAATTGTGATTCCTGGGAATTAACTGCAGTGAAATGAATCTTAAAGTTGATAAAAAATGCATTTGTTTTACAATTAAGTTAAACACTTACTTACAACCAGGCTGTAAATTACCGCTGAAAAAAGAGAGGCAAACGCAACTAATGGAATGGTTCAGGTTTCTGGTTCAGCAGAAAACTGCGCCAGATGTAGGGTCTTTCCATTTGCCTATGTAAACTTTTTACAGAAGGTTTTTAGATAGGCTTTAAGGGTAACTTATAGATATATCGGATAAACATATGGGAGTTAGAGTATATGATCTAAACAACAATAAAAATATCTCTCTCTCTCTCTCTCTCTCTCACCTCTCTCCCTACCCATCTCTCTGTCTGGACATATGACTTGGCAGAAAGAACCCAATCACCACATCGCTGCGCACCTCCTTTACGCGTTTTAGCCCACGAAAATCGCACTATGTCTCGATGGGTAACACATCGAATGCCTCGTCCATATATCCGGGCCGGATGAGCGCGAAGGATCGTCGCTTGCTGAAGATGATTTTGGTGATATTCGTGTGGTTCGTCATCTGCTATCTGCCGATAACAGTGGCCAAGATCTGGAAGAGTGCCAACGATGTGCACATCTTCAACATAATGGGCTATCTGCTGATCTATCTGACCACCTGCATCAATCCCCTGATCTATGTGCTGATGAGCTCCGAGTATAGGCGCGCCTACTGGAACCTGCTGCGCTGCCATCAATCCGAGCAGCAGCAGCAGCAGCAGCGAGCCCTGAAGAAGCATCTCGAGTCGAATCGGGCGCTCAAAACGTGATCCGTGTCGATCGAAAGTGGAGCCGCAGACGAGTTCCGTCCCAACCATCTATGAAGTAACCTAGAGCCAATCGCCAGATAGAAAAGGTTTTCCAGTAAAGGTATGACCGACATCATCACGTATCGTATAGCATATATCATATATCATATATCATATATCATATATCATATATCCTATATCATATATCATATATCATATATCATATATCATATATCATATATCATATATCATATATCATATATCATATATCATATATCATATATCATATATCATATATCATATATCATATATCATATATCATATATCATATATCATATATCATATATCATATATCATATATCATATATCATATATCATATATCATATATCATATATCATATATCATATATCATATCCTATATCATATATCATATCTCATATATCATATATCATATATCATATCATGTGTCATATGTCATATATCATATATCATATATCATATATCATATATCATATCCTATATCATATATCATATATCATATATCATATATCATATATCATATATCATATATCATATATCATATATCATATATCATATATCATATATCATATATCATATATCATATATCATATATCATATATCATATATCATATATCCTATATCATATATCATATATCATATATCATATATCATATATCATATATCATATATCATATCATGTGTCATATGTCATATATCATATATCATATCATATATCATATATCATATATTATATATGTATCATAGATCCGAATATATCCCATCTCAATATTAGGAATGGCGTTAGATATATCAAATTGGATGATACCTATCTGTAGATAGGTTAAATATCACTAACTCGATCATTTATTATCATATTATTTTTGTTCATAAATATATATAGCAATAATATGAATAGAGATATGAAAATGTGTCTAACTTGACTATATATATTCCGTTTCTAGTTCCAGTTCCAGTTCCAGTTCCAGTTCCCCCATTCCCGACTCCTGCCACCAAACATGAATCGATAAGTCGATAAGTCGGAGCATGTAATCGATAAAAAGTGTATTGTATTTTATACCAAATGACTTTTTAATATCTGGTTGACATTTTGAATTCCATGTTTAAGAACAATCGATGTTTATTTATTTGCTTGCCGCTAATTATTGTACCAATACATCTATATATATATATATATATGTATGGCATATATATATGCATATATATATGTATGTACGGTATATATATTTCTATTATGTATATCCTATGTCATCAATAAATGCTTCGAATAATTGATATATGTAGTTTTGCGTTGTTTTCTTCCGGTTTACATCGGTTTTTGAGAATTTCGAATAAAGTTCCAGATAATACCAGAATATGTGGTGTAGCTTAATACATAATTATTATCAATATACATATTGTATATGCCAGAGTGTGTGTGTACGAAACGTGGACTACTTAAGGCTAGTAACACAACTAAATGATCCAATATTCTGGTAATACTTATCGCCGAACGATAACGCTAACGATAAATCGTTTCGAAATTTCAACTGCCAAATGGAACTCACGGATCGAACCTTTGACTTTTTACTCTGTCGATCACTCACTCTCCCTCTCTCTCTCTCTCTCTCTCTCTTTCTCACTGTAATGTATAAGCCTATAAATGTGTGGGTGTATATAACATTTATCGTATAATAGTATCGTATATTATATATATATGCTGTATATATATATACTATATATAGTATTGTATGCATGTATATGAATAAAATTATTATTATTATATTTAGATTTGAAGTTTTTGTAATTGCGTTTGCGATTGCGATTGCGAAAGGTTTGGCCCTTCGGCTCAGACCGACTCCAGATGCTCGGATATCTCCAGTATGGGACTCTCGCTGAGCGGCTTGACCAATGTCTGCCAGCTGGGCGTGAACAGGCTGAGCACCGGCGGCGCCGATGCGGCTGTTGGCGCCCGCACATGATAGTCGGACTCGTGTCCGTGCACCACGTGGCTGTTGAGCAGCGCCTGGGGCGGTGTTGCTGGCGGCGTCGTGGACGGCGGCGGCGCCGAGCTGGACGCCACGGGCCCAGCTGTGGGCACAGACTCCGACTGGCTAATGTAGGAGGTCTTCAGATTCATTTGGCTAAAGGCGTGTGCGCCCGGCATGGTCAGCGAGTGCTGCAGACGCGGCGGTCCGCTGCGCGGCCGATCCAGCATGGCCAGCTCGTACAGGTCCTCGGCCAGATGGTGCTCGGGGGCGGGCGCTGGCGGCGGCGGCGGCGGCGGTGCTGCATGCACCAGACTATGATTGTAGTGGACATGGCCATGGTTATGATGGTGATGATGATGCTGATGCTGATGCTGATGGCGTCCAGCCAGCTGCGCCTCCAGAGCGTATTGCTTTTGAAAGAGCTGACGTTTCTGCTGGAGCAGGCGATGCTGCAGCAGCTGCTGTTGCAGCGGCGGCTTCTGCATTGGCGACATGGCCAGATGCTGATGTTGATGCTGATGCGGATGTGGGTAGACGCCCGGCGCCGGTGGCGGCGGCGGCTGATAGCAGCCGTGTCCATGCGAGGCGAACAGCTCGCTGCTGGCATCCAGGTGCAGCGGCGGCGGCGGCGGCGCCAGAGGCAGCGGCGCATAGGACAGCTGCTGGTGATGCTGCGGCTGCAGGTGGTGCAGCGTGTGGTGCGGCTTGATGGGCATCGCATAGAATTGACCATGTGACAATTGACAATTAGCCAGACTCAGCTCCTCCAGACCCAGGTGGCCATGACCATGGCCGTGGCCGTGGCCATGGGCATGCAGATGGGCGTGGCTGGGCGCATAGACAGCCGCCTCCTGCTGCAGCTGCTGTATCTCTAGCCAGCCGTGGCGCTTGGCCTGCTCGTAACGATAGCTGCCATAGACGCGACTGGCGCCCAGCAGTGAGCTGGAGCTGAGTAGGCCTTGGGCCACCAGGCCGTCGCTGGCGCGGCGGCCCTCACGGAAATGGATGGGCGAACGCTTGTCCGCAAAGGGCGGCGGCGCCGGCTGCGGCGGTGGCGTTGGCGTTGGCGTTGGCGTTGGCGTTACCAGCAAATTGACCGCGCTGGGCATATGGATGCACGAGTTGTGGCTGCTGTACAGTGAGCGCTCCGACGAGTGCTCACTGGAGACAGCGGCCGCAGCGGCTGCGGCAGCGGCCAGCATTGAGTTGCTCATGCAGGAGGGCAGACTGCCGGCTATGTCCGGCACGGAGGGCAACACGAAGTCCAGACTCTCGTAGGCGCTGCAGTTGCTCTTCGAGGAGCCGCGACTCAGGTTCTGGCTGAGACTCTTCGAGTAGCTGCCGGCCAAGACGCCGCTGGAGCTACTGCTGCTGGCATAGGAGCGGGTGCGCGTGTTCGCCTGGACGCTGGTCAGATCCGTGGACGACTGGGAGCCCTCCTTAGCGGCCAGCTCGTTGCCCTGATCCGTGTCGCAGCCCTCGTCCGTGCTGGAGCTGCCCTGGGCAAGCACCTTCTTCTCAAAAGTCTTTTTCTCACGGCTACAACAACAACGACGCCCGATTAGATTCGACTGTGCCGCACAAGCGAATCCTTGGGCGGAAAATCTCACTCACCCGTCTCCATTGGGCTTGGGCTCGTTTCCTTCGCTTTCCTCCGCAGCTCGGACCGCCTCGCTGCCATTCCCATTGCTAATTGTATTTGCAGCCTTGCGCTTGGGTTTCTGTAGCGATAGAAGAGTTAGCCGAAATGAGGACGTGCTTAGAAGAAATTTCCCAAGCTTGAACTTGGACAGTGAATGAAGGTGGGCACAAGGTGATTGAAGTGGGATGATGTCACTGGTGGTCACTAGGAAAGGGCGAAGAGATCATGAAGGGGCTATGCTATGCATCCTACTGCGGCTGAAATTGATGCTACTTGAACTGGCCTTCGGGTAGGATCAGTCGGTAGCAGAGACTGACTAGGGGCAAGGGGAAAGGCTAGGTAGGTAGAGAGGGGTAACCCAGATGCTTGAACGCGTACGCACCTCAATTGGCAGTGGACTCTCCTGGAGGGTCTGGAAAAGTCGGTTAGCCTCGGCGGACATTTTGTAGCGAAAGCTCTGGTTGAGATTGGCGGTGGAATCGAAGCTATTCGAACTTGACATGACTTTTATTGTCTTATTATGCTCGGCAGTGGGCGTGGCAGCGCTCGAATGTTCCATCGCCGATGTTGGCAGTTGCTGTTGCTGTTGCTGCTGCTGCTCCTCCTCCTCCTTCTTCGTTTCGGCAACAGCCGTGGACTGCAAGAGATTGAAGATGTGAGTGGATGTCATGGAAGATCGGTTTTATTTAGATTGCGGGACGCACCTGCTGCAGCAGCTGACGACAGTCCTCGGTGCTCTGCTTGATGATGTACTCGCTAATGGTCTGGTGCAGCTGCTTGGGCGCCGGCGATGGCGATGGCAAATGACCCAGAGGATGCCCCTGCTCCAGCTGTTGGCTGGCATTGAGCAGCAGCTCGCGACACCTCAGATTAGCTAGCGATGGCAGCGGGTGTCCGCTGCTGTTATTGTCGATGCTCAGCGAGATGCCGACCGGTCGCTGGCTTCCGGCCGTGCTGCGAGCCGAGCTGAGGCTTTGATGGCTGATGCGAGCGCTGCCCGGTGCAGGCAACGGGGTATATCTAGTGGGCATGACCAGGCCCGCGCCCTCATCGCCGTTCAGGTAACGGGCGTGGGCGTGGGCGTGGCCATGGACGTGGGCGTGGGCGTTCGCATGGGCGAGGATGTGGGCCTGCTGCTTGACCGCATAGTAGGGATCGGCAGTGGGTCGCTCGCTCATCAGGACAGTCTGATGGCGACTAAGTCTTTTGTGTGTCGGATCCTTGGCCAGGATCGCGGTGGATATTGTCTTTCTTTGCTGCTGCTGTTGCAGCTGTTGCTGCTGCTGCTGCTGTTGTTGCTGCTGCTGCTGCTGCTGCTGTTGCTGATGCAGTTGCAGCAACTGTTGCTGCTGCTGCTGCTGCGTGGGCAACTGATCGAGCATCAGTGACTGCTTGCTCTTGTAGAGCAGGCGGCTGCTTGATTCGTTGGGCTTCGCCTGCTCCTTCTTGTGTGAGACGCGGTCCTGCAACAGCAGATAGATGGCTGCCACATGATCGTAGGTATTCTTCTTGAGGCTGGCGCGCGTCTTGTCCGGCCCGATGCCGACGTACTCGGACATGATCCGGAGTATGTCCTCGCTCGGCTCCAGCACCGCCTGCCGCTCCATATTCAAATTGTATTTGGCAATCAGCGCATGCTCCAGCATCTCGGGACACATCCAGCGATGCCGCTTGATCTGCTCAATGGTATAGCGACGCGTCGGCTCCAGGACCAGCATGCGACGTATCAGATGCTCGCACTCCGAGCTCATGAAGAAGGGTATGCGAAAGCGGCCCGATAGCACGCGATCCCGCAGGCTCTGCAGCGTGGATCCATCAAAGGGCAGCGCCCCACACACCAGCACATAGAGCACCACGCCCAGGGACTGCAGGAGACATAAGGATTAGCTAAAGCAGTTATATGTATAGGCACGGGCGTAACCCACCCAAATATCGATTTCGGGTCCGGTATATTGCTTGCCCTCGAATACTTCTGGCGCGGCATAGGGCGGTGATCCGCACCAGGTGGCGAGCAGCTCGCCGGGCTTGAAGTGATTGGAGAAGCCAAAGTCCGCTATTTTAATGTTCATGCTAAAGTCGAGCAGCAGATTCTCTGCCTTGAGGTCCCGGTGCACGATGCCCTTCTTGTGGCAATACTCCACGGCGGAGATGATCTGCCAGAACTTGAAGCGTGCCGCCGACTCGGACATGCGTCCATACTTGGCTATATAATCTGGAACGGAGGAAGCAAGCGTTCGGATTGCTAGCATTTGGGCTCACGCATCTGGCTTACCAAAGATCTCGCCCTGGCTGGCGTACTCGGAGACAATGTAAATCATGTTTTTCGTTTCCATCACCTGCAATGCTAGAGAGGATTAGCCAGCCAGTCGCTGCAGCTGGAGCCAGATCTGTGCACTCACCTGGTACAATTTGATGATATGCGGATGCTTGAGCTTCTTCATGATTTCCACCTCGCGATAGACCTTCTGCAGATTCGTATGATCCAGCTGCGATTTGTCAATGATCTTGATGGCAACCTCGTTTTTGGTGATGCGATGCCGGGCCAGCTTCACCACAGCAAAGTTACCCTTGCCAATGGTGCGCTCTATGTCGTAGAAGCCCACACGCATTGGCTCCTTTAGCTTGAGCAGCTCCTTGGGGCCGCTGCCGCCGCTGGCAAAGAGCTTCTGTGCTAAGAGCACATCCTTGCAGCTGGCCAGCACATCCATGGAGGAGGGTGTTGCCACCGCATCCACATCCGCGTCGGCATTCAGCTCCGAATCACATGTCTCCTGCTCCTTACCATTCGCTTGGGTGCCTGGCTTAGACGGCTTCTGTTCCAGCTCTGGCTCATGCTCGTGTCCATTGGCCTTGGGTGGATCGGGCGGCGGCGGCGGCGGCGCCGCTGGCTCCTCCTGCTTGGTGGCGGCCGCTGGAACAGTCGCTGCCGCCGACTCCTTCGTATCCTTGGCCATCTCGCATGCGCTCATTTTCCGGCTTCGGCGACGGGCTGCGCTGGGCTAGGCAAGCAGTGAAACGTTGCAGCTGCAGCTGCTGCTGCACATGCTCCCGGCGCATGCAACTGGCTCTGACTCTGACTCTCGACTCTCGACTAACGGCACTGGCGCCCCGCCCCTACAGACGCCTCAACGCACGCTCCTCCATTGCAGCGCACGCTGCCGATAGACAACAACAAATGGAAGAAGCAAATAATAATTGAAACGAAAACAAGTTCACAAATTTCAATACTCTGATAAGAGATTAGCTCACACGCACACAGGCCCAGCGCGCATGCATGTGTGTGTGAGCGAAAATGCATGCGTGTGTGTGTGCGTGTGTGTGCGTGTGTGTGTGCGCGTGTGTTTTCGTTTGCAGCATAGAAAAATCAATAAGCCACTCGCCGCGCGTCGCACAAGTCTCTCTCGCCTTGGCTAAACGCCGCCTTCTCACGTGTAGCTCCTACAGATACACATAGATTACGCACACACTCACACACACATACACGTAGAGAGAGCGACACAGGCACACAGATCTAATGAGTACACAAATTACCGTTAGTTTCTAACGAGTTCGTAAATTGTTTTTTTTTGGTTTTTTTTTTTTTGTAAGTTTTTATCCTTAAAGTGCCGTTCCGTTATTTGTCTGTTTTCTTTTCCTTTTCTTTGTCATTCGCTTTTGCAATTTGTCCAGTTGCTGCCTGCGCCCTCCCTTGCAGCACCCTTCCGGCAAACACTTAATCCAAGACGGAGACGTTGCCAACGACCGACGACCGACGACCAACGACCAGCGACACAACAAGGCAACGCGATTCTGCCGTCGATCTGACCCCAGAAAGTGCAGAGCGGCCAGCACAGCCAAAAAGCCAAAGGGAAAAAAAACACAAGCGTGCTTTTAAGGGTTGCCAAACTTTTGCAATGCGGCCGCTGCTACGATTGGCAACCCAGTGGGGCCCACTCTGTGGCGCCTCAGAGCGCCTGCGCCTGATTCGACCCCAAACTGGGTGTACATGTGTGTGTGTGTGTGTGTGTGTGTGTGTAAGGGGTATATTTGAATCATGGCGCCTACATATCGATTATTATAAATAATTCATCTGCCCAATCAATAGACTAGAAGCAATATAGATCAGAACTGTACGACCCTATGTAGAAGCAGATATAGATTTCTATTAAATTATGACTGTGCTTCATAGCACATCATATCTTCCACTTCGTAACATCCAATTAGATTAGCTTACGTACGATCTACTGCCAGAGCTGAATCGGCTATGTTATAACTAATCCATAAATATCATAAAATGAACGTGGATATATAATGAATAAAATATATTTTAATATGCTTTCAACAGATTATAAAATATGGGGCAAACGGAATATTAAATAATACAACAAATATTAGACAGCAATATATATATAAATATATATATATATATATATAAATGTGTGTATGTGTGTGTATGCATGTAAGCATATATGTATTTGAATATGTAGAAGAATCGTTGAGCACCTTTGATTCTTGAACCGAGTCTAGACAGAGTCCAGCTTTTCAATCTAACACAATATTGATTGAACTTTATAATGCAGCAGTTTATATAGGGCATATTCGTGAGATGTTTCTAAATTAGAACTGAAGTTCTTCAACATTTCCTAATTATATTTTACAAATTTGTTGTACTTGCTACACTCCAGCATATCCATATAAAATACACGTTAGCTATGTGCACATTTTGACTTATATTCAAGATCGCATTAATCATTATGGAACAGGTTTCAAATAATAATAATGTTTTGTACAGTGGAACTAGAGCATGACAACAAAAATCTCTCGCTCTTGCCCTCTCTCTCTCTCTTTCTCTCTCTCTCTCTGTGTCATTCTGCTTCTGTTTGTTTCTCTTTTTTTGTGCCTTCCGTCTCGCTTTACCCCGCTTGTTGATTGTGGCTGACACGTTCACTAACTCATATATAATTTATGTATATATTAATATATAAATATCTCTCTCTATATATGGATATATATATTTATACATATATATACATATATTAACTGATATATATATAAAGTTATATACATAGACCGATGTACATTGAAAACTTGTAAAAAGCGACACTAGACGAAACGCATTAAAAGCTTAATAAATAGGCTGAAAATAAAGAGTTGCACAGGCGCCCAGCCCCGAAACCTCAGGCAAATTGCTTTAGGATTAGCCTTCAGATTGGAGCATCTTGTGGTACCCAGAGCAGCTAGTGGCTTCCAGTTGCCATGCCGTCCATCCAATTGTCGCCTGCTCTGCTAATTGTATTAAATTCTGTTTTTGATCCTTGTTTTTCTTCATCTTTTTTGTTGTTGATTATTTTTTCACTTCTTGGGCAGCATCTCGGTAGCTGGCATGGCGGCAGTGCTCACATTGGCATTGGCTGCGGTCGTCGTCACGGATGTGGGTGCAGTGTCTTCCGCTGCATCTCCGCCGTAGCAGCGCCGCTTGAAGTCGCTAAATAAGTCCGGACGTTGCTGCAGGTTGCGCTGTGGATCGATGTGCACCGATTGTGTTGTGTTTCTGCCGTATAGAAAGCAACTTAATTGAATCTAACTTTTATTTTGTTGTGTTTGACAAAGATATTGACGCACTCACCTGGTCTTTGTTAGCACTGTGCAGCCATTTTCAACGACCATGTTGAGCGAGTAGAGCGTGGCCAGGTTGAGCAGGCTATCCTGTTCGTAGATCTCAATATCGGGCAAACGGATTTGAGTCTGACGCGGATCCTGCAGGAAGCGCGCGAGTCGCTCGTTGACGCTTAATTTTATGCTGAAACCTGGTCGATCGCCGTTGATGCGCCGGCAGCCGGCGCGTATCTCGCGCACCTCCAGCATTTGCATGGGCGGCGACGAGGAGAGGAATGGATTCGATGTCTCACCCGACATCTCGCTCTCGATCTGCTTCACAATTGCTGGCATGCCGTTCATACTGCGCTCCGTGTCCATGCAGATGTTGACGTCAATGAAGCCAACGCTGCGATTGGCGCCTCCGCCACTGATCTCAATCGGTTCTGAGCTGGCGGCCAGCTGAAAGCGTGACAAATCCTGCAAAGCATCTGACAGTGGAGGCGACTGCGAAGTGCCGCCGCCGCCGTAGCTATCAGTAAAAGGCATTGACGCTGTGGCCTCCGTGCCGGACATAAGCGTATCGTCCTCGCCAATCGTATCGTCGGAGCGTATTTGGGGTAACAGCGATTTCTTGGTCAGCTTACGCTTGGGATCGTATTTGCCGCCGGGGCCGAATTCATTGCCAGGCCAATCGGTCAGTTCGTCATCACCCTCGCGATCTGTATCGTGCAGCCGATGGCCATCATCGCTGTCCGACGAGGAACTCAGCGAACTAGAGCTAAGAAAATCGTAGAGCTCACTGCAGTCCATCGACTGCACCTGCAGCGATTGCGGCGTTTGGCAAAAGCGGCGTCTGCGATGCGCCTTCGTCGTCGAGGTGCTGCCGTGTATATGGCCATAGTGCGACTTCTTACGATGCACATGATTATAATCTGTGATTGCGCTGTCCACAGACAGCTGCAGCGGCATTTTGTCTGAGTGATTCAGCAGCGTCTCTATGTCGCTGACAGGCACAAGTGTTTCCATGCTAAAGCCACCAAGGCCAGCGGCACTGGCTGCACTCTCTTTCAGGTCCAGCTGCTGCTGCTGCTGCTTGACCGCTGTTGATTGAGGCAGCACCTGAGCCTCCGCCTGCTCCTGTTCCAGGCACTCCTCCATGTTCGATGTGTTGTCAGTCTTTTGAGCTTGTTGCGTTTGCGTTTGGTTTTGCGCAATGCGATTTATTTTGGAGAGCAGCCCCTTGTTGAGCGGCAACAGGCGCTCACTATGCGGCTTCGATGTGGATGAATAACTGCGGGGACGCATTCGATGGTACTCTTCCATGTGCGTGTAACGTGGCATGCTCGATGAATGTAAATTGCTGGAGATGGCGCAGCCGCCGCCGTCACGCGCATTGTCAGCATCCTGGTCGAATTCGTGATAGCGATCACGATTGGAACGCTTGCGTTTTCCGCAAAAGAATAAATTTGAGCGATTTCCACTCTCCGCTTTCAGCAGACGCTTGCGCACGGTACCCGTGCCGGAGATGCTGCCCGTGCAGCCACCAAGCATGCTTGGATGCAGTGGTGACTCTGTGAAGCTATGAGGCGACACAGCTAGATTGCTGTCTTTACTGAACTCAAACTCCATGGACATGCGCTTTATCTTTCGTTTCCGCCGTGAATTCGGCTTGTAAAAGCTATAAAAACAAAGCATAATTATTTGCCTAGGTAGCCAGCAGGTGTGTCCACTCACCGAGCTGGACTGAAGTTGGTCTCGTTCAACGAGTCCGACTCGAGGGCGCCTATTCCCATGCGAACGGCAGCTGCCGCATTGAGAGCTTTGCCGGGAAGACGCAAGGGCAGCATTGCCTCTGCCTTCTCATCGGAATCACTCGCCGGCAGCATGTCAATGTGTGTGTGAGCATCCAGACCATCGACGTTCGCGTTGGTGTTCGAATGTGCCCCGTGGCCGTGTCCGTGTGCATTATTCAATGTGTCTGTGGGGCTGCTCGACGAATCTTCTGTGGGTTGCGGCGCACAAGCTGCAGGTGAAATGAAGTGGAAGTGAAGTGGTTTTTATGCTTTCAGGGAGAGGGGCACGTATATCTTGGCTCAAATACTTACGCAAATTACCCGTTGATCGAGTTCTTCGACGCGAGCCCCACCTACCGACGCCGCACGCCCTGTCCATAAGCGAGGTCTCCTCCAGGGCGAGGGTCAAGTCGTGCGAGAACTGATCCATTTGCACCAGCACACCCAAACTTTAATTGCGTTTCATTAATCTATTGCGTGTGCGTACGCAAAAAATTTATTACAAAAAAAAAAATACGAATCTAAAGACAAGCCTCAACAATTGGCAGCAGTTTATTTCGATGGCAATATCGATTTTATACTTTCTATCGACAGTATTTCATACGTGTCTGGTCACATTGAATTGCAGAGAAAGTAAAATCGGTTAAAGTATGTTAGTCTTGACAGTTGAATGGTTCACTGCTTGCTGTCATTTAAATATATATTTAATTTCAATAATATATGTATACATATATATATAGAAAGAAAAAAAAACATACCTTAAACTTATTTGTTATAAAATGAACATGGATAAAAATAATTCTTTTTATTAATAATAATAATACTTTTGGTTTTTGTAACGAAAAAAAGCCAATAAGAGTCAATCTTGGAAAGAACTAAAAATATTGAAGTAAACATCATCAAATAACTTGTCTGGTGTAAGGATTTATTAATTATTTACCTTCACATAATACCAACTTTCTCTATAAATCAATAGGATTTTAACCCCAAACGTTGGGTTACTTCAATAAGGAAGTTTTTATCGTTATGGCGTGAGTCCAATAACCCCATTTAACTGAACTTTAAGTATCGATAGATTAATTTCAGTGTATTTCGTTTATTGTATTGTAATGCTGGTATTTTTATATTGCACGTAATTTTTGTGTTAAATGGACTTGGTCACATCAAAGCATTGACACAGTGAAATGCAGAAGCTCATGTTCGAAAATAAATTTTTTCGTTATATTTTGCACGTTTGCTTCACAATTTGATTGATTTGACGTAAATTTCGTTGCACACCTAAACTCGACACACGCAACAAGTGCCAGCCAGCGACGACAATTTGCATACGCAGCAGCTGCTCCGTAGTCTTAATTGTGCCGGTTGCCAAAAAAAAGGAAAAACGCCGCATTTTTTGCTGTGCGACGTGCTGCTTAATTGGTTTGTTGTAATTCGTTGAAAGGTGTTTCCAAAATGAGTCGCCGACGCGCACACGATACCGAGGATGAAAGTTTTGGTGAGTAAACCTGTTCAAGTTTAAATGTCAATAAAGTTTTAAATCCTTTTTATCTGCAGACCACAGGCGAAACAAGCGCCGCCGCGTTTCGGAGAACCAGGAGATCGAAGATCGCTTGGAGTCACTGATATTGCGTGTGGGGGAGCGCAGCACTTCGTCCGTGGAGTCGAATCTCGAAGGTCTTGTCTCAGTGCTTGAGGCCGATCTGGGCACATTCCGTTTGAAGATCCTGCGCATATTGTCCGATTGTGCAGTCCGCATGCCCGAAAAGTGCACTGTTTACACGACCCTGGTGGGTCTGCTTAATGCTAAGAACTATAAATTCGGTGGCGAGTTCGTCGATCATATGGTCAAAACGTTTAAGGAGTCCCTTAAGCTATGTCGCTGGGACGCGGCCCGGTATTCGCTCCGTTTTCTGGCCGACTTGGTCAACTGTCACGTCATCTCGGCTACCAGTCTGCTGCAGCTGCTGGACACAATGATTGATGTGTCCAATGAGGACACGGTGCCGCAAGTGCGTCGCGATTGGTTTGTGTTCGCAGTACTCTCCACACTGCCGTGGGTGGGCCGTGATCTATATGAAAAGAAGGAGTCGGCACTGGAGTCGCTGCTGCTTCGCATTGAAGTGTATTTGAATAAGCGCTCGAAGAAGCATCATAATGCGCTGCGCGTTTGGTCATCGGATGCGCCACATCCGCAGGAGGAGTATCTGGACTGCTTGTGGGCGCAGATACGCAAACTGCGGCAGGATAACTGGGCCGAGAAGCACATACCTCGCCCGTACCTCGTCTTCGACTCGATACTGTGCGAGGCACTGCAGCATAATTTGCCGCAGATAACGCCGCCGCCCCATCACGATGCGTTTGAGTATCCAATGCCGTGGGTGGTCTATCGCATGTTCGATTATACGGATTGTCCCGATGGACCTAATCTGCCAGGTGCCCACTCAATCGAGCGTTTCCTGATTGAGGAGCATCTGCATCATATCATCGAGACGCATCATCATGAGCGCAAAGATTGCGCGGCACAATTGCTAAACTTTCCATTCAAACACAAGATCCCATTGGAATACTGCATTGTGGAGGTAATCTTCGCAGAGCTCTTTCACATGCCGACGCCTCGCTATCTCGACATTTGCTATGGCTCCATACTGATCGAACTGTGCAAGCTGCAGCCGGGCACCTTGCCTCAGGTGCTCGCCCAGGCCACCGAGATTTTGTTCATGCGCATCGACTCCATGAACACGTCTTGCTTTGATCGCTTTGTCAACTGGTTTAGCTACCATTTGAGCAACTTCAAGTTCACCTGGTCCTGGGACGAATGGGACAGCTGCCTGCTGCTCGATGCCGAGCATCCACGTCCCAAGTTTATACAGGAGGTGCTCCAAAAGTGCCTACGGTACGATAGATATCCCAACTCCAGTTTTGCCTCTCATCTAGACGAATGATTTTCTGCTCCTCTTTCAGCCTGTCCTACCACCAGCGCATTACCGAAATGATGCCCACAACATATGCGAAACTGATTCCGGTCACACCTGTGCCTAACTACAAGTATACCAATGAGGAGGCTGGTGAGTTTACAGACTCCATTTTTACTAGAGCCTAAGCGGGGTTTGAACTGGGTTTCAGACTTTTACATGTCCTTCTTCCTTCGAATCGCACAACAAAAACAACTCATTTTCCATAATATATATTTTTCTTTAAGAAAGTATATAATAATAATAGATCTGTAGATTTATTTAGATTGCTTTGATTGACAAGTTCAAGCAAAAAAAAACAAATATTAAATAATTGAACTGATGTACCCTAGCTATAATAGAGTACTCCGTTCCTTAGTCCTACACCGTGGGTAGCCGTTTCTCTGGCTCTTGCTTCGCTTACAGTTCGCTTAGACATAGAGTTAGTCAGATTTGGGTGTCTAGCTGCGCTTTACCTCGTTCTCATCGTCATCCACGATGATGGGTATCTCCTCGCCGTTCTCGCCGACCTTGATGCTGACGGATTTGCTGACCGACTTCTGGGTGAGCACCTCGACGACTTCACCAGCTTCCGCAGGCGATGCAACTGTGCTGTTCGAGCTGCTGCCACTTGTTGCAGGTGCAGCAGTTGTTGTGGTTACTGCTGTTGTCGACGTTGTTGTAGTTGCTGTTGTTGCTGCTTCTATTGCTGCTGGCGATACGGTTGGAGGCATAAAAACCACCTTCGACTCATGCCGGTGACTGCTCTTGGCCCTGCTATCTAGACCAGTGGCATTTTCCTTGCGGCGCTGCTTCCATTTGGGTGTTGCCGGCTGTACCGTGGTGGTTGACGTTGTTGTCGATCTGCCTGCGGTGATGCGTGGCGTTGTTCGATAACGACTCAATGCACGCAGCGGCGTAAAGCTGGTTGAGGTGGACACAAAGCTTGTTCGACTCGTGGGCGCAGCACGCGTGGGGCCCATGGATGTGCTTGTGGTGGTCTCTGTGGTTGTGCTAGTGGCGGTCGTCTGTGTGGTTGCCAGTTTGGACTGCTTTTGACTACTAGCGGGACGCTGTTCGGGCTGCTGCTGTTGCTCCTCTTCCTGCTCAAGCAGCTGCTTCTCGTCCTGCTCTTCGCTTTCAGAGCTATGCTCAAGCTGCGTCTGGGCTGAACCGTGTTGCTGCAGTTGTGCTGCTTCGTTTGTATAGTTCTGTGGTGCGTCCAACTGCAGGACATCCACCGGATGCTGATGCACATAGAGCGGATCCGGCTCCGAGTACCGATAGACGGTCTCCTCAAGCGGCTCGCTCTGCACAAAGGACTTCTGCTCCTCCTCCGCTTCGGCAGCTGCGCCTGCATAGATCAGCAGCGGCGACAGCTTGGATGCGTGGTACTTGGCTGACTGCTCATAGCCTGCTCAGCCATTGTTGTCCATATGGAAAATTTAAATTTCATTTGAGAGAATGATATGGGTTGAAGGAATCTAGATCTCCTTTTTGTCTTTTTCTCTGCCCAAACGTATATAGAAAATAATTGTTAGCGGGCTAGTTACCTGCATAGTTTTGTGGCACGCGCACAAGTGGATGCTGCTCCTGATCGGAATGGTCATCCTCGCCCGGCTCCAAGGACTCCGCCGAAGCTGGTTCGCGGTGCACTGGCAGCTGGAAGCCACTATGTGGATGGTGCTGATATTGCTGCTTATGATGGTGATAGGATGGCGATGGAGTAGTGGGTGCTGCAAGGGTTGTCAATTCGGGAACGAAGCTGGACGGACGAAAGGCGAGATCCGCATGGCCAGATGCGCTGCCATCGGCCAGGCCATTGGGCGTCATATAGAAATGATGATGAAAGTGATGAGTGATTGGCGGATTGGTTGGCGCGCCAGCTGGATCGGTGGCACCCAGCTCGTTGGGTAGCGCATAAGGCTCCGGTGGAGTGGGCGAACCGAACTTCACCGGATAGCCGGGTCGATACGTGGTGGCCGGAATGTAATTGGGACGCAAGCCCAGGTTGAAGAGGCCCGGAAAGAGCTCCAGCTTGGGCGGACCTTTTGTTATATCCTCCTTCAAATACTCACCGATGTTCAGGAGATTGGGCGGTGGCGGTGGCTGAAAGATGCCACGCACGAACGTCGCCTGCGGCTGGCGATCCTGACGACGTTGAGCCAGTGACTGCTCCTGCGTTTCCTGGTAGGTATGTCGGCCAAAGCTCTGCGGATAGTCCGACTCTTTCTGGATGTAGTTCTGCGGCGGCCAGCCATTGCTCGTGGCCAGCGGAGACACACTGAACTTTAACTCATAGTGGAAGCGCTGTGGCAAGCTCCGAGCAATGCCATCTCGATGTCGAATGCGCTGAACTCGCCACAGCGCGCGCACTTGGCTGCCCGGCGTACCGGCCTGCTGGGCATTGGTGTGGCCCTCGACAAAGCGGTAACTGCCATTCGAGGACAGCTGCTCCAGCCGACCGGTGGCCAGCGTGACAATGTCGCCAAAGCGGGATTGGCCCTGCTGCTCGTGCTCGGCAACGGGCAGATACGGCGTCTGCAGAAAGTCGTGATAGTCGTGCAGCTGGCTGCCGCACAGAGAGTTAGTGGCGGGCGAGCGAAGGCAGTAAGGAAAGATCTTGCACTCGGACCTACCTCAAGTTGCCGGCAGCGGCGCCCATGGCGGCGTCGGTGAACAGCGTCACATAGGTGACATGCTTCAGGGTGCGCTCCCAGCTGCGCTGGACTGCTGTGGACTGCGCCTCATCCTCCTCGTAGAAGATGCGCTTGCCGTTCAGCTGGAGCGCCTGCTTGGGCGTCAGCACCAGATCCCGTCCGGCGCCCACAATGGCCAGCACCTGCTGCTGTTGCAGCTGCAATGGGCAGTTAGGAATCAGTGCAACCACACAACAACCACTCAACAGCTGCACCACTTACGATCGCCATGAGCATGCAATAGAATTTCCACATTTTCACATTAACAAAAAAGAAAAGAACAAAAAACAAACAAAGTCTTTGAAAGCTCTTTGGACAGCGCGACGTTTGTGCCGCGCGCGCACGTTAGCTCGACTGAAAGGCGTTCGCGACGTGCGCACCGCTAATAACAAACCCACAGACAGAGGGGCGAACCACCAAATGTTGCTGCTGCTTTCGTTGGAGCAGCCAAGCGGCGCATCGCCAGCGGCGGCAAATTTCGCAATCTTTGGCAACGGCCGCGTTTCTACCAACAGCAGCAGGTGGCTCTAATGTCGGTGCTGCGGGTGGCGGCGTGGCTGACGCGCTTTTATGCAACACTTGCGGATGTTTAGACCCGCTTCAAGCCAAAATTCAAAACCCAAAACCCAAGCAACCCCAAAGCCCAAGCGACCCCGCCTGTGCGCTGAGCTGGCGAAACTTTTTGTTTTGCTTTTTGGCTACTTGTAAAATGTAAAAAACGAAACAACTTGAGACTTGTGGAGCACCAACCCACACCACTGCTCTAGAGATGCCCTGTGAGATATGCTGCTCGCTTCGCTGAAGTTCAATAGTGGAACTGGCCACCAACAGACGCTGTTCCATCTGATTGTCGTTCTCATTGCGTTTGAGTTCACCTTGTCTCAGGCTCTATTTGTAGAGGGTAAAGATCACACAAATGATGGGCTACCAGAGGTTGCACCGAAAGCTGTGCTATTTCAACCAAGACGCGAGAAAGTTCATCAGAGGGAAAATGGCATGTTGGCGAGCTGAGCATCTCTCAGATTCAACAGCTCAAGAACAATAAAACTTTATGAACTCACAAGAGGAATTTCTATAAAAATCGGCATGGCTTGCCTTAGTTCATTAGTATGATCCTTGAGATCCCTTTATCTCTCTTCAGCAAGGGCTGGGCATAAGTCTTGTGACCTTCTTGCAAGAGTCAAGTCTAGGGCCTTGTTTAGCAGCTGTGCTGCTTCTCACGACTGTCGCACATGCAGCTTGATCATAACAATATGCGACTTACGACTTGTTACTCTCCATGAGATTTTGCGAACTTCCGCTTTGTTGCTGGCATTCGTAAACGTTGCATGACACGCGCTCGTCTTTAATTGAGATATTTCGTATTGATAATCTGGCTGACCGCAGAGAGCGGAAGAAGGTGAAGAAGAAGATAAAGTAGCCGCAGCTGGACACGTTGCGCTCGATGGAGCAGCGCCCTGATCTTTGAAGCGACCTGCCTTGGACATGCCCAATTTGAGCTGAAAGCCAAAGATCCGTGAAAATATACACAAATTTGTAGCATCAAGTCAAAGCAAATGCTAATAATCTGGGGTGCATACCCTGTAATCAAGGGCAGCAGTCAGCGGGGAGTGCCGATCTGGAAAAAGGTGTACGAGCTGCAAATATGATTCTTGGCCGCTGGGCTGATCAAGCAATAAGAAATCGATAAATGGCGAATGGCAATTGGTAAATCGATAGGTCTCGATGGCGTTCTTACCACAGATGATTGTTATTAAGATTTTCTACTCTAGACTCTAGTAGTCTACAGACATACAGGGTAGCTTAAGTCGTGAACCTCGACTCCGTTGCTTCTTTGAGCTGTTGGCACCAGGTAATAAAGCTGTTCTGTTGGCTTTTGCTGCTGTGCGAACTTTGCTCGCTGATCTTGACACGTTCTATTGTGGACAATGTGATTCTTGAGATGCTTAGGCTTTGTTCAGCTTGATGGCCGTGTGGTCAAAGTTGACTGGCAAATGGGGTCGCGCCGCTCAGTTCCGCATTGTCTGCATTAATGCGTTTTAAATGCCACTCGAGGTGGATTGAGCTGCTGTTTAACACGCTTTTCATTGACATAATCGACTCAAGTGCCAATAAATTGCATGTAATGGCAGCTGTCACGAGGCGTACATGCAGGCATGGCGCTGTGAAGGGGATGGGGCGGGGTACAAATCATTAGTAACGCATCAGACGGCAGGCAGCAGGCGCTTGGGCTGCTTAGGAGTCGGCCGCTGTGCAGCTTGTTGCCGCTTGGTTCCACGCGGCGGCGCACCAAACGCAATGCAACTGGCGCAAGCGAAAGTGTCAACTGTAGCAGCAGCAGCAGCAGCAGCAGCAGCTGATCCCCCCAACCTGTCCTAGGCTCAATCGTTGCTCGAAATAAATACTTAATGATTTGTTGCATTCAAAAATGATTTCCTTTTCGTTTCGATATGCAGCCAATCTGCCCGGCATAACGGTCGCCCTGCAGCTGGTCGGCGCCATCCGGCAGAAGTGCACGCCCGAGGAGGTGGTCAACATATTGAAGGAGATACCCAGCAGCGGCTACAGCGGCGAAGAGATGTCCGACGGCAGTTTCAATGCACTCAAAATCGATGTCTTTGTGCAGACGCTGCTTAACTTGGGCTCGAAGTCCTTCTCCCACAGCTTTGCGGCCATATCAAAGTTTCACGTGGTATTCCGTGCGCTTGCCGAAACGGAGGAGGCCCAAATCTGCATACTACATAACATATATGAGCTCTGGTCGTCGCACCAGCAGATGATGGTAGTGCTGATCGATAAGCTGCTAAAGCTGCAAATTGTCGACTGCTCGGCGGTTGCCACATGGATATTCTCCAAGGAGATGACCGGCGAATTTACAAAAATGTATCTCTGGGAAATACTGCATCTGACCATCAAGAAGATGAACAAGCACGTAATCAAGCTGAGTGAGTAGGCGCCAGACAATTTGAGCTCGGCTGCGGGGCTTTAATTGACACATTTATTTAAACAGATACTGAGCTAAATGATGCCAAGGAGAAGCTCTCCAAGGCGGACTCATCGTCCAGCGATACGGATGAGGATACGCCACACAAGCGCAAGAAGCCCATCACGCACGCAGATAAGCCATCTGAGGAGGTGAGTCTAACATTTAATGGTGTATTCACCTTTACCTTTAACTCGAACTCATTCACTCTCTCTTTTTTTGATTGCCAGGTCGTCGAGCGCATGGAGGAGAAACTGGAGGCTGCCAATGTCAATCAGAAACGTTTGTTCCTGATCGTCTTCCAGCGTTTCATCATGATACTATCCGAGCACCTCTTGCGCTCCGACACTGATGGACGCGATCCGGACACGGATTGGTATCGCTGGACCATCGGCCGCCTGCAGCAGGTCTTCCTTATGGTAGGTGGAATATATAGCCGAATGCGAGCGCTTAGATAATCTCCTTTTAATTCTTTTACAGCATCACGAGCAGGTGCAGAAATATAGCAGCACGCTGGAGACGCTTCTCTTTACATCCGATCTGGACTCCCATATACTGGAGGTGTTCCAGCAGTTTGTCGCATTGCGTGCCTAACATACTCCAATAACAAGAACAAGAAAAACAACTATAACAACAATAATAGTTGCCAACTATATTTTGTCCACAAAACGACAGTGGACCAGGGTCATGCGGCATGGAGCAGCCAAACAACTGCGCTTCAGGCAGCGTTTTAGTTCAGATTTAGTTTTTACTTTTTTTATATATGCATACAAATGTAATATTATAATACAACTTTACAACACACACACAACCCCAAAATCTACAGAAAAAATGACAAATTTTGTATTTGTAAACAACAAAATGAAAGAATTAAAGCAATGCGAAATTAAAAGCTAAATTACTAAGTATTCTAGTCATTGCAATGCTTAAGATTGAACATCGTAACATATATCCGGGCTTAAAAGAAGTATGTTAACGAGGCCAAAAATGCTTAATTTCAAAACGTGAAATTTCAAGAGTGTAGGTTCATGTATATGCTAACCGCGCAGCGAATGTACGAACTCGAATTGGAATACAGCTGGTGTCAATGATTATTTTCGAACTCGAATATACTTAGGGCAGCTGGTGTTAGAGAGATCGATTAAAATTCGACATAAAGCATATTGACCTTCATATGCATGTGCTCATTTCGACAAAAATTGTTAAATATTAAGGCTCGTTTATTTCAAATTACATGCATTACTTGCGTATAGCCACATTTTGACGTTCCTCATAGGCACAGGCGACGTTCCTCGTGTTAGTTTGACAGTCACTGCGTCACGGCTACAGTTAAAGAAAGTTTGGGGTTGACTGTGCAAATGATAATTTATGCAAGTAACTAAAGCGAAATGAGGAACGTGGAAGGCATGTGGAACGCAAGAGAGGCACAGCATACTTTTAGGCATAATCAAAATAAAAAATATGCTTATTTTTCATAAGTAAGCTTGAAGTTTATTCGCACTCAGATCATGGTCAATATATTTATGTATTGTATATATAGTATATGGAATGCATTGCACGTATGTATATATATATATATATCTGTCGGCCTTTGTATGTTTATAATATTTATGAAAATATATATGTTTTTCTCTGCACATTTTGGCACCGGTTTCTGTTCCAGGCATCAGGTTCAACAGCAGAACTGTGGATCTATGAGGGCGGTAGGGGGTGGGCTTTACTATTTGTTTTTGATTGTTGCAGAATATCATCTACGAGGTGCGCGGCTGGCTGGGCACATACTTCTCCGAAGGCTGATACTGCCACTGGGCGCAAATGGTCTCCTGCTCCGTTTGATTGTAGCCGGCTCTGGACGAAAAATATAAAGTGAGAAGAGGTAAGCGATATATAGAGCGAGAGGGAGATACAGAGAGTGCCGCTGCAATGAGGTGAGCATTCGGCTAAGATGTGCTTAATTTATTGTTCAACGTCAAAAATAATAACATAAAGAACAGAAACAAAGAGTTCATAACTTAGGAGATAACATGCAAGTACTTTGGACATGCTGACTATGAGTGCGTGCCAATCCGGTCCAGCTACTTAATACTGAGCGGGCATTGAGATGCTGATGGGGTGATATGAGATGAGCTCAGCTCCAGCCGTAATCATAGCTGTAGGCATAGCGCGGCCTCGCCGCCGGCCGCTCGTAGTAGTAGCCGCGTGCGGGTGGCAGCTCTCGACTGACCGGAGCATGCAGGCTGTCCCAGAGCAAGCGCGGACGTTGGACCACCTCTCGCAGTATGTTGACGGCGGCCAGACCGACGCTGGCGAGCTTGACGCCAAAGCGTCGGGCAGTGTGTTTAAGCGGGGGCAGCGGGGCGGCGAGGGCGCGACCCTGCGGCTGATCTAGGATCTTGGCAATGAGATTCTCGGCATGCGGCGGCACATAGAGATCGGCCTGCCGATACTCGAGCGGACAGTGACGGCCGCCATAAAAGTAATCGTCGAACCTTTGGTGCGCCGAGCAGGGGCTGCGCTCCTGGAAGCACGTCACCTGCACCACATTGTAGAAGATGGCGCCCAGCGTGTTGGCCGTCTCCGTGTTGGCCGCCTGCAGGCAGCGCCTGAATCGCGCATCACAATCGCAATGGGAGCGCGTGAAGGTGCCCCGATTGCAGAGACCGCGCCGGCAGTCGCCCACATTGAGCACATCGGGGCACATGTCGTGCTCACGACAGCAGCGATCCTCCCTAGCATGCTGGCCCAGATCGTCGTAGCTGGTGGCGGCGGTGCCCGGCCCGCACCACTTGGTGCCCGGATAGATGAAGCCCAGGCCGCCGCGAAATTCGTGCCCGTACGATCCCTGACGGCGGCACACCTCCTCCAGCTCCACGACCGATTCGCGCGGCACCTGCCGTATGCGACGCGGATCCGACTGCAATAGCATCCGCTGGATGTCGCCCCTGATCAAGGAATAGAAGCAGCTTACAGTTGCAGTTGCAGTTTGGCTCACTCACTGGCTCACTCACCGATCCGTGTGCATCTTGCAGAAGGGATGCCTCGAGGATAGCTCCACCATCATGGTCATGGTCATATCCGATATGAGCACCGCGGACCCGAAGCTCGGCGTCAATCTCTGGCTGAGCAGCAGCGCCAGCAACAGCGAGGTCAGCGTCAGTGCCTGAGGCTTCATGGCGTCAGCGCGAAGCAAGTTAGAGCGAGCTGCAAGGCAAGAAAAGTGGATGAGCGAGTGGACGTGGAGAGGCAAAGAGTATGGAATCCGGTTGGGCTAACAGGTATGGATTATTCGACTGGTCTGGGCTGAATCCATACCAGACTACGAGCGATTGAGCTCGTGAACCTATTCTAGGCGCTACCTGTGGGTGGCTCTGGAGCTGCAACTTCAGCTCAATCAACAGTTCGATTGGAGCAGACTGAAGAAGACGAACTTAGATCAATATCAGATGATCGTTTGGCGCTGTTCGTGTCACGCGCTCATCGCTAAGCGCTTGTAAGAATTGTTTGAGCATTGAGGCTGACTGAAGCACTGGCCAAGAGATATGTGGGCCAATATTGGCCTCTAATTAGCAGCACAATGCTGGCTCACCCGCATCGCGGATTTTGCATTTCCATGGACCGGTCAGCGCGATCGGCTGACCTCGCACAGTGGGCCGCTGGCGTGCGAAACGCGCTGAAAGCCGCTTAGCGGACGTGGAGCGAGCGACTGGCACCACGGTAAGCGCTGAACGCGGCGATCAAAACAAAATCTATGAACAGGCCAGAAACGAACAAAAAGTAGAAACCAAAACAAAACAAATTTGCAACATAAAAGACGCTTCGGAAGCACCAAAAAGCCAAGCGTTAACTAATTATGCAATTTTTCGGTTTTTTTTTCTCTTTCTTTTGGCAAGCTTTGAGGCGAGTCAAATCGCTGGGCAGCGTGGGCGGCGCAGGGGCAGGGGCAGGGGCAGCAGCTGTGGAAGTGGCGATGCGCCACAGTTGCTGCCTTAATTGGCCTTTCGCTGTGTTACCAATTCTAGCCAAGCGAGAGGTCAAGGTCACACGGCCTCGCCCACGTCCACTTTCCAATTACAGCAGCTACCGAATAGGTCAGCTGTGCCTGCTGTGCGGGTGGCCAACGCGCTCAGCAAACGTGCAACGGTGCGTAATGTTTAACAAGCAAACAGTTTGCCCGTTTGCCGTGGCTTAAGCTGAGAGGGAGTATCGAGTTGAGCAGTTGTTTTGACACACAGAGAGAGAGAGAGAGGGAAAGAGAGTGAGAGGGAGAGAGAGAGACAGAGAAGAAAAAGTGAGAGAAAAATATGAGAGAAAGAGAGAGAGATGGATAGAGAGAGAGAGAGAGAGAGAGAGAGAGAGAGAGAGAGAGAGAGAGAAATATAGAGAGAGATATAGAGAGAGATAGAGAGAGAGAGAGAAAGAGAGAGAGAGAGTAAGAAGAGAGAAAGAGAGAGAGAGAGAGTTCTAAACAGATGAAGATAGATAAAGAGCGATCGAGAGGGAGAGGGAGAGAAAGAAGGCGGAAAAGCAGAGATATAAATGGCTACAGAGAGACAGATAGATTGATATAGAGGAGTAAGAAATAGAGAGATACATAGAAGAACAGAAAAATAGATAAAATAAGAGAGAAACAGAAATAGAGTAAAAGAGAGTAAAGAGAAAAGTAGAGAAGCGAGGAAAGAAGGGGTCAGAGTAAGACACTGACTAATTAAGAAATATAGAGACAGATGGGATGTTACACAAAGAGACAGAGAGGGCGGAAACAGACAAAGAGAAAGAGAAGAGAGAGTTAGCGAGAGAGAGAGAGAGAGAGAGGGAGGGTGAGACGTGTAACTCTTCTCTACTCTACAAGCATTCAGCTCTTGCCTGAATGTCTATTTATAGAGCACAGTGTTGGATAAATGAACAGTGTTGTATAATGTATACATAATCAATTTACTATGCACAATTGTTGTCTTGCCAGAAGCCCTCGTAAGAGCAGAGTATTTGGAGTGCCATCAGACTGGGTCAAGCTGAAGAGTTACTTTTCTGTTATGTTCAGTTGTTTTGAGTTATTTTGTTGACCAGCAGCGACTTTGGCTTTTTTGTCTGTTTATTGAACAAGCACAAATCAATTTTTTATATTTTGTTTTTCTTTCTTATTTACTTTGTTTTTACCAGGTAAACAACAGAAATAGCATCGACGGTCTTTACGGACAACTCTCGTTTGAATACGCTCCTAGAGCGCCGCTTGGGCAGTGCGCAAGGGAGATCAGTAGGAATTGAATGTTCTTTAGCTTTATTCCTCTCTTCCCCTGCATTTTTGGGGCCAGAAACTCAAACTAAATTCCAGCCACATTCTCATAGAGCTTCTGTTTCATATGGCTCTGTCTTCAGATAAGTATTTAAATGACAAGTTCTTCGGCTATTTCGACTAGGCTCGGCTGAGCTACTAGCTTTAATCCGTGCCCAGTCGAACTCTTTTAACATATAATATTCCATGGCAGCTTAGCTCGCAGTATTTCAAGCCTAGAGCGTTAAATCTTGTTGCATTCTCCCTCAGTTTGCTTTGTTTCTTTGGGAGGGACATTGAATTCCAAGGCGTAAACTTGGTACAGTTCACGTCACGTCGGATTATTACAAATAATTAATGATGACATTTCCAGAGCCGCTTATTAGGTATAATAAGTCCGGTATTTATGAGTCGCCGAGAGACTTGACATACTCGCTGAGTGCCCCCGCACGTCAGACAGTCTGCAGTCGGCAGTCGAAGACAATCGGCGATCGTTAAACAATTGCCAGCTGTCTGGGGCTAGATCTGGTGGGCGATCAAACGATCCATAGGCAAGCAATGCCTATGGAGGAGACGGACAACAAACACAACGATCAATCTTAATTCGCAACTTGTCACATGCTGTCGCTATTCGGACAGATCGATTCAGCTATCCGTGCCGTTTCGTTCGCATTCAGAACAATGAGATAGAAGTCAAACGATGGCAACCTTGATCTTCAACCCGATCTATTGCTCAACCCTGATCTTGAGCGAGGACTGTCTGTTCGTCTGTGACCCGCTCTTCGGCTCCTTCACTCGTGGAGTGTCGATCGCAGATCGATCTTCTAGCCCAAGTCGTTCACGATCGATACATGCTGTAGCTTGTAGCTAGCTTTGTTGCCATTTGAATACATTTCAATAGCAATGCGATCTATTTCCATACGGCTTCCATACGATCTGTCGATCTGTTTGAGTCGACGATCACCATTTGCTGCACTCTACCCTTCAGCCGTTCGCATAATTTTCAATGTCAATGCTTTTTAAATTCATGGCATAAATAGACAGCGCCGCTGAGCCCATCGGGTCGATCAGCGATCGACATCAGCATCGCGGCAAAGCTCCGTCGTCGCCGTCTTAGCGTCATTTTGTGTTTGGCTGTGCGAAGCACAAGATAACAAAATCAAAGTTCGATTTGCTCAAGTACAATGACCGCGGCGCTTGAGCTCTTGCGAGATCTATTTAAATGAAATAGGCCCTCCCCGATCCCTCCGACTGGCGACTCCGCTCTCTGGCCTGATCTCTGGTCCAGCAGTCGACTGTGCCTAGCGATTTGTTTGGCTTCTTTTTATGGTTCAACAGACGATTAAAATGATAAAATGAAAATAAAACTAATATCGTGTTGGGCTTAGGCGCGCGGGGGCATGCCCCAAGCTCTTACTCGTACTTTATGGCCCATCAAGCTGTGAGCTACTGTTAGCCCTCAATAAACTCGTTCAGCCTGCAATTAAATGCGGCGAAGGCGGGGTTCGTTTGTTGGCTAAAGGTCGCTAAGCTGCGCCGGGCGTGGCGCTTGGATCATTAATAACAGCCAGAGCCAGAGCCAGAGCCAGAGCCCAAGCTAATGTTGTTCCTTAGCCGAGAAATCTTAAATATTAAAGTCTTCTTCCCACTGTTCCAACCGCTGCCCCTGGCCCTGTACCCGTACCCGTACCCGCACCCGTACCCGCACCCGTACCCGCACCCGTCCCTACCGCTGGCTAACCCTTCACTTGCCTTCAGCGCAGTGTAACTGGTTTATATTTTTGTTTATCGTTGGATACATTATCTGCTTGTGCTTAACTTGCATTTCGAATGTCGCGCCATTCGGAAGTCGATTCTGAGCCACTTCCAAAGCAAACGCAACATAAAAAAAAAAATTCATAAACAACTGAGGCAGACACAGCTGCTTGAGACAGATCACACGGATGATACAAGCCAGATTTGACTGAGAGCTGGTCTGGTCTGATCTGCTCCGATCTGATCTACATATAATTTACATACTGCTATTATCTGGGCAGATTCAATATCTAATCAAAGCTGCATTTTGATATTTATCGAAGCTTAACTTCGTCTGCACTCAATCTTTAGCTGTGTGGGATTTAATATAGGCCACGTTGTTTTTTCTAACTCACTTTAATCGCCACATGCCTTGTCCCTCGCCAGCAGCCCTGCCCTTCCGGCTCACACGCTTGCGCACTTACGATGACGGCTTCAAGACTTGTCCGAGTTGTTAACTTTGGACGTGTAATTGTCGTACGCAGTGCTGCCGCCGCCCTGCCGCACCTGGCCCCTGCCCCACGCCTCTTTTTACCTGTCCCTGTAAACGATCTTAATCGCCTTGCTAGAGGTCGCAGACAACAACGTGACTGGGCGGGTCCTTGCCCATAAAATGCAGAAGCAGCAGAGCCGCAAAACCAGAATTGAAGCCTGTGAATTGGGGTCAAGTTGAAGAGCAGTCAGAGCCGGATTTGAATAGGTAAAGAGGCGGAGGGTTGACTTATCCCCCCCCCCCCTACACTTCCCTTCTCACGCCCCTCCACTGCTGCGCTCCCTTTGACAGTAACCATAACAGAGCGTCGGCTTTGTGATGGACAGCGGCAATGACAGTGGCGGTCATTGAACGAGTTGCTGCTGCTGCTGCTGCCAGGTGAAGGTTAACCGTTATAGCCACAAGCACAGCCAAAGAAGAAACACGAACACAAACAAACGCCGGGCACAGTTGCCACCTGTCTGCAGTGCACGCTAATTGCAGAGTCGCCATGACTCTTCGAATTGTTCAATTCTCATATACGAATTGCAGCTTAATTGCTGCGCCAATGGCGACAAAGGGGCTTCAGGGGGCTTCACACGACCAGCAAGAAGTTAGAAGCGTGATAGAACTGCTATGTGCGGAAGCTACTCCAAGCCCTGAACACTTTTACGCAGACTAATTCAAGCCCCAAGCTCAAATGGCACTCTCTATGAAACTGAAGGTGTTAAAATCTAATTCAAATGATAAATGATATGGGGTAAGACGATGAGAAGAAAGGACACACGCAAGGACGAACGAACGGATGAACGGACGAACGAATAAAACCTGAACAGAGATGCACGCAGACCTGGCTCGATCATCTAAGCAATTGCAGACCAAACGCCAGTAGCACCTGCTTAGTCACATCCAGAAGCTAGTCAGCTAATCAGCTTTTGGCCTAGACAGAATCTTCGCTTGTCAACGGGGCGCGGCCTTAGCCAGCGCTTGCGCTTTGCTAAACACTATGCAAATTTTGCAGAATTCGATTCGTGGGTGCAGGTGTGTGTGTGCGTGTCTGACAGGTGTGAAAATGTGCGAGAGGGTGGCCAGCGGTGCCAGTCGGCGCGGAGGCCAAGCTTATCGCATATGCAAATGTTTGCTATTCAATATTTGGTTTGTTGTATCCACAGATAGTTCTATCTAAAAGCACAACTCAGGGGCGTTATCTATATAGACCCATGTATATATCAAGTATACGCTAAAACTAGAAACTATTAAAGTTTCTCTATGAACACTACAAATCTTCTTCCAGGCTGTCTCAGGCATCAGCCAATTTGAGGCCTTAGCCAAACTTGTTGCCATGTCTTAGTTAGTTACAATATAGCCGACGATACTGGGAAGCTCTTGACGCACATTGAATATATATATTTATATATATTCAATATTCAAGGTCACGTTTATGTCTGCAACTTTAGGCTTTAGCTTAAGTTTTTTGCTACAGCTACTAGCTTTAATTTCTAGGCCAATTGATAAGCTTCGGCTTGCAGCCCAGTTTCACAGTTAAGTTTCGCTTTTGCACTTTCACTTTTTGCTGTTGCGAGAACTTTTTCGTTGCAGTCGCAACCACCACGAGCCGCCGACGCTGGCCACCCGCCCACAGCCCGTGAAGGCGCCACCTTTTGACATTTGCTCGACACTGAGTGCTCTCTCTGTCTCTCTCTAGCTGCTCTGCTACCTGTCCGTCCCTTTCTCTCCTCCCTTTCGTTTTGCGGCCTTCAGTCCTGATGCGTGGTGACCTTCAAAAGGCAGCCAGAGGCAACAGCAGCAGCAGCAGCAGCAAGGATGTAGCCGAAACCACGTGTCAGCTTCGCATAGAGAGACACACACACACACAACACAGCACAAACACACACATGAACAAAAAAGTAATGATAGATGTTGTATATTCCAGGCAATACAGTTAAATATTGCGGCATGCCCGTTAATCGTTTCACCCGGCTGCATTTACCTGAAATTTTTGCAACGGCGCCTGTTTTATTTTGTTTGTTCTTTAACGTTTATAACTTTTAATGAATGTTTGTTGTTTACTTTGGCTCAGTAGCTATGCAAGGAGCAGCGCGCGTGGCTGGGTACAGGAGGCTGCTGTTGCCGACGATGCTCACAACAAAACATTTCCGCAACGCGTTTGCGGCGCGACTGAACTTGATTCTGGCGCGCTAAGCGCTGTTCAACTTGGACTTGGCCAAAATTGAAAAGCAACCGTCGATGGCAACAACAACAACAGCACACATATCCACACACATGCACACACACATTTACACACACAGACAAGCAGCAGACGCGGCTAGAAGCTTGAAGCGCGCGCAGCGGGGGCGTTGTATCCGTCGGAAGCTGCAGCAAGCGAGCAAAATTCAAGTTGGCAGCGTTTTTAATTGCATTCACACGGCCAAAAGCTTAAAAAGCTGCGTTTGACCACTAGCTAAGCTATAACAAAGCCACCAAAGTGTGAACAAGTGCCTAGCAAAGCTGCGAACCAAACAATTCTACTTGATATAATGTGGATGGTAAGTTAGTGTGGGGCGTGTCCAAGCTAATATGGGAATTCGATTCAAAAATAACGCTTAGCTATGCTACATTAATATATGCACTATATTTGGGCTACCAAAACAATATATTTGGGAAACTGACAACATCAAAAACAATATGTTTGGCCAAGCCTGCTTAGGAGAGTTGCAACCTAAATATTTTGTTTAGTGTGGATGGGAAGTATGTGTGGTGTGTGGAGAAACTAAAATTCAAATTCCATACTGGTCGGCAAATATATATAAAATATAACGTACAAATTTTACATATACTGCTGTAAATAATATACAATAATATAATACCGATAATAACAGAAACCTTATTGCAAACACAATCAACTAGGCGTGTCTTCAACAAGGCAAGTACCAAGTGAGCGTGGTTCGTGTCCAATCTAAATACAAGCACAATTTTAAGAATCGATACTTTTTCAATTAAAATTCCGTTTTCATTTGAAATTGTATAAATTTATTAAATATACATGTGTTACGTGTATATGTGTTTGTGTGTGTATGTGTATTGAAGAAAAAAAAAACAAATATATAATAATATATTGCAATTGCAAATAATTTGAGCTTACAAGCTAAGCAAAAAAATCAATTTACTGTTATTTTTTTAGTATACAAACAAAAAAAATGCATATTTATATCTAGTATAGATTTCAATTATTTAAGTTTAGGAGCTGTTGCATTTAGCTTTCTTATCAGTTCTGGTTCTTGGATTAGAGTTACAATTAGATCATGATTAGCGAATTGATTAATAGACACTATACATACTTAAGACATAAACACTATAATTTTTGGACCTATTGTATAGCTATATTCTGGGATTGTCCAGAGAAGAATAGAAGTAGGAGTGGGATATGGGAGGAGGATCATGTGATCATTTGACTAAGTTATAAGTTCATATTTCCTTTTAAATATATAGCGCTGCACCGACTCAAATTTAGTTGTATTTGCGATTTTTTTTTTTGTTTGGGTGTTCGTTCAAAAGTTAATCCACAATTCTTTTCAGAAATTTGCCCCGGCCCAAAACTTAGAGATAGAGATGTATCGAAACACTTCGACAATTAAGTTTAACATAAATTTAGTAAATATTGTTAAATCAACACATATTCACATAGTGCCTTATGTGGATACGCCTAAAGTCCCCGGTTGAATGATTGGTTGATTGATTGGCTGATTCGTTCGTTGGTTGATTGGTTGGTTGGTTGATTTATTGGTTGGTTGTTGCTTGCCTTTGGCGCCTCTCTCAGTCAACGCACGCCCAATTTGGCGGGGCATGTCGTTCCTCCCAAATCTGAGCAGCGAATCTATCTGATGTTGGCAAACAGATTCAGTACAGACTTGTTCTCCTTTTGGCTGCGCGCCTTGCTGAACACATTCCAGAAGCGCAGCGTCTCATCGCCGGCACCGGTGACAATTGCCTCGCCGTCAGGACTTAGGGCCAAGTATAGCACACGATAGGAGTGACCAGTTAGCTTAGCCACTTGCGTCAGCGACGGATATTTCCACACGAGTATTTGGTTCTGAGAGTAGCCGTGTGTGGAGACCAGCTCCGACGAGTGCTTCGACCAGGCCAGATTGCACACCTGCGAGCCAGTGTCCACGCACTGCATGGGCTGGCCCGTCAGCGTGTTCCAGAAGCGTATGCATCGGTCTGCTGTGCCCCCGCCGCTGGCCAACAGGCCGTGATGATGTGGCGACCAGGCGATTGCCTTCACCGCGGCCATATGTTCCGTATACGACTGCACAGGATTAACGGAGTGCTGGTTCCACACGTACAAACGATTGTCATTGCCGCCGCTGGCCAAATACTGATTGTCCGGTGACCACTTCAGTCCGCACACCTCCTGACGATGTCCGGCCAGGCGACGTTCCGACTGTAGCTGTGGCGTTCGCGTGTCCCGTTGAATGATCCAGCGATCTCTTGAACCACTCGACAGTATATCGCTATTCCAGGCCAGTGCGCCCACACGCGCCGAATGTCCATTTAGTTTATTGATCTGCAAGCAAGCGACATTTAATTAATTGTTTGGATTTCACAAAGAACCAGGCGCTTCTTTCGTCAAGCACTCGTTGCTTCTTACTCGCTCGGCTGCTTACACCATCGACTAGTCAATATATAATACTTCTAACTTATTACTTGTCTCTCGCTGGCTCTCACTCGACTACAAATACTAAACTTTTAACTACAAATATAATTATAATTATATATAATTATCACAACTGCTGCATTTTACAAGCCTCTCGTTAGTTTTGCTTGTTACTCGCTGCTTGACAATACCTACAATTGCTATAGTTGCTTTATACGCAACTCGTTTCATTCTTTACTATTTCCAAATATGGCACTTATATGCCGCCATTAACTACAATCTAACAATCTAACAGAGCAGTAGCTACTCGCTGATCTTAGTCAACTGCCCCCTTCATCCACTAAGCTGTTCTCTGTCTGTTAAGGCCACACGTTATTCATCATCCATTTCACTGGCCGTCATTCGTTACTCACCTGCTTGTTTGCTGCCACGTCCCAAACGGTCACGTAGCCGTGGTGTGTGCCCACGGCAACTGTATTGCCACGCTCGTTCCATGACACTGAGGTGACTGTATTAGAATCGGGACTGAGATCGCACAGCCGGGTGACCTGCATTGGGAAAAGTGAACCAATTAGAGCTGAGTTTAAGCTTGAAGACTGCATCGCCTCTTACCTGACTGGTGCAAGCGCTCCACAGATACACACAGCTGCCGAGGCCGACGGCAAGCACGTTTTGCGACGACCAATCGACCAGGTTTAAATAGAAATCATCCTGTAGTTCCGGCGCATCCAATACCTTAAACGGTATTCTGGATATCTTACGTGTGGCCTTGCGCGGCGATCGCAGAAGTTTTTGGCTCTTGGCGCTAACTGGCGACAACGAGTACGGGCACTCGCCATTGTAGTCCTGTGTCAGAGGGAAAAGTAAACATCAATTAGAAAACTGTTCCAGTTGCAGCCAAGCAGCAAATTGGCCAAAGCGAATCGCGCTCTCCCGCCCACTTCTCCCCTTCACTCTGACTCGCTCTCTGTGGTCAAACGATTGTCAAATTTGTTTGCTCGCCGCGTACTTGGCGAGGCAATTAACGCCATCGTGCTAAAAGCAGCGACCGCGTCCGCAATTCATCTGCCTACCATCGAGCGCCCCAGATCCCCACCACCACCCCCATCAACGATTTTTGCATTTGGACACGCACTGCGTGTAGCCCCATCTCGCCTTTCCGCTCGTTTGCATAGAAAATGCGTACGGCAGAAGTGTGTTAAGCGTATGCGTGAATGGCTCTTCACACACCTCTCTCTATAGAGCTGGGGCTGCTTACGCAATGCGACATTTGAAATGCAAGAAAAAACAGTTGCGTGTGCCCCACATTTGGACAGCGCCACAGCAGCAAGATGAATCAAATCACAATTGGATATTGCTGCACTTCTTCACTCTTAAAGCTAACAATAGATCTGCACTCTATTTATCTAGCTAAAATAAAAAGATCAAGCTGCATTCTTATATAATCTGATAGCTCAATCAATGCTGACTGCATTCCTTCCTTCAATCCATCCTCAATATATAGTTTAAGTTGCTTTCATTCGACTTTTGATTAGATCACAAGAACTACTATAATTTGAGTCACATGCAAGAGGGCATATCAATCAGCTCGAGTTGGGTTAGATCAGACGATATTGCATCAATAACTAACCTGTCAAGACAGTTCCCAATTCATGTTTTGGATTATTGATCTTATCACTGATTTATGTATATATATATATATATATATATATTATTGACATATATTTTCTGCTTAAAAACTGGTTTTAACCCTCAATTGAACTTTTCACAGCTGACATATTTGGAATTCGCTTATTCTCTACTTACTCTAGTCACGTTCGTCTGAGCAACCCTTTATCAAAAACGATTTATCTAATTTTTGGAAATGCAGCGAGTCTTCCAACTTGTTCTTTTTGGGTAATCCATTCGAATTACTTCGAAATTTGTCATCGTTTGTCATTGCGAGCATTACGTGGTCAGCGGTTCTTGGGCTTTGGGGCGTTCACTTCCGCTCCAAGTGGCAAACAAGAGTCGGACAAACAGACAAACCCCACTTTTTCCAAAAAAAAAAAAAAAAAAAAAAAAAGAAGAAACAGAAGAGGAAGGAAAACATGGATGGACGTATGTAAGTTTTGAAGTGTTTGAACGCGATAAGCGTGCTTCAATGATGACTTAAGCCGGAATTTCGGCTGTGTTCTTAATGCGTTTAGCAAATTAAAATTTAATTCAATTAACAGAGGGCAAATGCGAGCGCACTATGAACTAAGAGATGCGATGAGAGTTGAGGAAAACAAAAGTACGCGGAACTTAATGACATTAACAACGACCGAATTGTGTGTGTGTGTGTGTGTGTGTGTGTGTGTGTGTGTGTGTGTGTGTGTGTGTGTGTGTGTGTGTGTGTGTGTGTGTGTGTGTGTGTGTGTGTGTGTGTGTGTGTGTGTGTGTGTGTGTGTGTGTGTGTGTGTGTGTGTGTGTCCGCTTCAAATTGCGTGTCGCTTCAATGGCTGAAGATGACGCGAACTGTAGGCAGCCAACGCGGGCAGGGTGTATGGCCCTTAGTGCTCACTTTGCACTTGGCCAGAAGCAAAAGAGTAGAAAACAACAACAACAATTTTTAATGGCTCTGTTTGGACTGTTAGCTGTTGTTGCTGTGGGTTTCCGCTTTCTGGGAATGCCGAGCATACTGGCCAGTGAAGCACTTTTAAATAGCCGAGCACCGACCCGTCCCGGTCTCGTCTCGTCAGCTCTGTGGGCCCATAAAGCGTACAAGCAACTGCCATTAAATTTAAATGCTTTTCGATGCCAAGTGCCTGCGTGCGTACACGTGTGTAAGTGTGTGTGTGAACGGGTGTGTGTGTGCGTCTAAGCCTATTAGAAATTCAATTGTGAAACTGCCAACAAATACCAAAGAGGAAATCCAACTCTGAATTCACATACAACAAATCTTGTTCCACGCTTTTTCGATTAAATCTTTCTCTCTCTCTCTCTCTTTCTGTCTCTCTTTCTCTGTCTGTTTATGGCCTGGCCGTGGCCTTTGGCAACGGCTTCTTCTTCTTATTATGTTGTAGTCTTGTTTGTTGTCATTTGAATGTGTCATTCGTCATCAGTTAACAGACGTTGTCATTGTTCTTGTCGTTAATAAACTACGCAAATACCCTGTAAACCTTGATTGGCACGATAAGTGCACGACTGACATATATAGCCTAGACTCATTTTAAGTTCTCATTAAAGTTCATTCGCTGAGGACCTGCCACTCTTTGTGCTAATACACATTCGAGTCGTGTCTTTTAAGGCGAACTACCAAGTACAGGGTATATGCCAGTCGATCGCTCCATGCGACACAGCGCTACCGGCCCACTGCTGTTAACGCTTTTTTTTTCTGATATTCCCACAGAAAGTACAGTCTCCACTTTTAGATCACATTGCGCTCAGATCCAATTATTGAAAAGCTTCTTCTTCTCATTCTTCTCTTTTATCTTTTCGTTCTGTTCGACAAAATGGCCGCGATGGCAGCCAATAAAGTAAAAGTTGCTTAGATATGGCAAAGCGTAAGAAATCGAAGCGAATATTGGAACGAAACGGAATCAAATGGAACACAAATTGAATTGAAAGGGGTGTGAATGATGGCAATGAAATATGGGCATTGGTAAAGTTGCCGGCCGGCGTTTGTTGTTGCTGCTGCTGCTGCTGCTAAAGTGCTTTGTGGGCGGCGCTTGGCAGGCAAAGTTTATAAATAAAATAAACAAACAGCCAACCAGCAGAGGCAACAGCAGATGCGAAGCAGGGGAAGGGGCGACAGGCCAGAGGAAGCAGCATAGCTGACCCAACGCGGGGGCAGGCGACGAGGGGCCAATGTGAATGTTAATGATCACGATAATGGGAAAGCGAATGGCTTTTGGGTATGGCCAAACGGCTGGACTTTGGTTAGCTTGAACCTGTCGGCTTCTACAGAGCTGAATCACTAAATTAGCCAAGCTGACCAAGCTGACCAAACTGGCCAAGCTTAAAGCCAGCTTAATTTTATGCTAATGCAAATGTCTGCTGCATAAATTAATATCAATAATAACAATAAAACAAACAAGTGCCTCGACGACTCTTCGCTACAATTCTATAATAGACCCCCAAACGTGGACCATACACAGGTGCACGGGCTGTTCAGGCGACGGCCTTTTTATTATATATCCATTATTTATTTACTTAATTTTATTGTTCTTTCTTCGTTTTGGTGAGCGGTGGGCCGAAAAAAGGTTTTCTAAACACGCGGAAAACCAACTCAAAGCCATTAAATCAGAAAACTATAAATAAATTATGAGTCTTCCAGGTGAGCCAAGTGACCCTGACTCAACGGCTTTAACTAAAACGCTGGGCTTTTCCTTGTGGACCTCTCATCATTTCATTTAACTCTTTATTGCAAAGCTCACACTACAAATCATGTAACAATCAAATGTTTTATAGCTGTGGGAACACGGTATTCACAATATTCAAACCTAACTCCCACTCAGCTCATACAACACTCTTATTTCAACTCTTTCTTCTTTAACCTAAAAAAATCTCTAATTCACTTAATGAGAATCGCATAGTAAGGCAACCATTGGAAACTTTTTTTAAATATTATATTTTTTTCAGCTCATACAGCCCACATTTTCCCCGCTTTCTCGTGTTTTCTTACAAAATCTCTACTTCACTTTATGAGAAGCGCATAGTAAGGCAATCATTTCAAACATTTTTTTATATTTAAATTAAAATCTTGTAAAATGCCCTGAGATGTCTAATTATATATTATACAGATATATTCTATAGTTTATATATATAGTAATCTATCTTTAGCTTCAACTTTTTTTCATATATATTTATAATATATAAGTTTAAGTTATATATTTATACTATAATATTTCATGCACACTTGTTTATTATCTAATATTTACCATATACACATTTCAAGAATTTGACGAACATTCTCTGTAGTTTTTCATCGAATATAATTTTTTATTTACCTCTCTAGCCATTTGTCCAGCTAAAAGCCGATCTGTCTATCTATTTATTGTATTTGTCTATTAATCTCCGTCAACCGGTTTGATGAGAAAACTGTTTGCGTCAGGTGGCTTGGGATATATCTATATGAAAAATGACTTTACTCAATATTTGGCTCTTTCTTTCCCTCATTTTCCCCCGTGCCATGCCCCGTCTCTCTCACGCTTGCAGACCGGATCGGTTCAGCTCGATTTGGGGTTAACACACTTTGATTTGTTCGCTGTTGTTGTTGCTGCTGTTGTTGGTACAGCCGGTTCTTAGTTGATTTGTTCAAGTGTTTGAACGTTTTAGATTCTGTTAGGTTATTTCTTTTTCTATTTCTATTCAACTGTTGCCACTTGCCACTTGCTGCTGCCACTGCACAACTGGACAATCGTTTTGCTCTGGCTGGGGCTGGGGCATCTCTTTGCAATGGCGCGCGTCTTCATCAGCTTTTGGGCTTGGACATATTTGTGCGCTTATCAGATTTATGCTGCCTCAATTGCTGCGCCGACAGCCGCACGTCTCCAAGTGGCTTCAACAACGGTGTTGGCTTTTGCTTTGACTAATTTTTGACAGTTGACACGTTGCCAGTTGCCAGTCAAACAGCAACAACAACAACAGCAACAAAAGAACAAAGCCCCATATTCTGTGATTCGAGCTACGAACCTGAGGCAGAGGAATTGCGTCTGCGGCTCATTTGCCCAACTACTTCAGTGGTCTAAAACGACACTTGAGTCAATAAGCGGACGCATTGAATAACCCAGACAACCGAGCACATCGAGATCGTGACTTCAGGCAACCAGCTGAACATGCCAGGGGCCTCTGGGACGGGCGGCAGGGGCACATACATGAGCATAAGTGCGCGGCAGCTACATTATCATGCCATATTCTGGCCATATTTATTTGGCAGCAAGACTCACAAAACATGAAGCTCGTGCTAGTCGCCAGTGCTCGACTCGACCATACCCTGTAGCTAGCAACGTTTCTACTTCTACTCCAATCTGCCTTCTCTCCAGCTAGCCTCATGTCAGATATTTATCGATATTATAGCTGAGCGGTAGGCTCGATGTCATTCGAAACTCAAGTAGTTTGAGATATATTTTTTGATGTAACATCGAAGCTCGTTAACACGCTACACTCAATACACTCGGCTGGCTATTTGCGTCTACAATATTTACAGGGTATAGAAATGTGGCGAGGCATTTTGGGTTTTTGATTAATGGGCTCAGGAATTCGCTTTGCGAGTGGTTTCTAAACCGGAGGCCCACAACCTATGGAAATTGTCGCCTCAATCAGCGGCCATTCATCTACATCACGCCCACACAATTAACACAAAACAGTGAACACTCCCAGCGGCGGGGCAGTGGAGCAGGGAATCGCCATCGGCAGTCAAATGTGGCCAAGAGTTATTTCATATTTTGGTTATTTTTTTGTTTGGTAAGGGGAGCGGGACGGCGGAGGTGCCCTGGTCATAACAAATCATATATAATTCAATTATGTGCGGCCGCAATGTAGCTGCCATAAATAATGGCCAATACATTGGCCCACACGTACGCACATCATATAAAGACAGTAGCAGCCCCGCCCCTCTACGCCCACATTCAAAAGGTATGCGTCAGTTGCTTAATAAGAGAAAAGACAGTTGACTAGCTGGACGGACAGCCGCTGCTTATCTGTGCTGCACGATCGCTTGTCTAATTCATAAAACATATTCAAATGTTTATAATTTATATATTTTTTGATTTAATCTTTAAACTCTTTCATATCTACATTTGACATATTCTCTCATAAGTCAAGTTGATCTCACGAGACTCCCTCAGTCTCAGCTCTAACTTGCGATTAAAATAAGTCGAGAATGGATCAAATATGTTGGCTGTAAATAGATAACAATAGAAATCATCTATATATCGAATATCAAGCTAGATATCTAGACTGAACTCTCTGAAATGCTGTTTTGATACTTTTACTGTTAAGTTCTGTCATATGTCTGAACAATCGGCTTTTACCCAGAGTCTCAAGCAGACTCTAGACATGAGAGTCCATGACCTGTTCTGCAGTGCATTCAACTCAGACGCATCGCCACCTTACAAAAGAAGTCTCAATTAAATATTAAAAAATACGAAAGAAGAAAAAAATATGATAAGACTGCCGGCTGCTAACTCAATTAATGCAATATTTTAAAAAGTATTTCACAATTGCCAAAGTCAAGTCGACTCGCCTCGCCTCCCATCTAGGGGGAGTTGAGAGGAGGCGCAGCAAATGACATGGGAAATCTTACCTGCTTGGTGGGTGATTGATATTTGAAGAGGCTGCGCTTGGCCGCCGGCGTATAGGAGTTCTCGTTCCGCTCCTCCCCGGCGGTCTTAACATCGTCTATGGCCGAGCCAAGGAGCTCGTTCTTCAATAGGCACGAATAGGCCAGACTATCGCGTGCCGTTTCTCCACAATCGCGCTGCTTCTTGCTTGTCTGCGGCGAGTTATCATTCGACTTGTTAATGGACGCAAAGCTCGTTTGCCAATTGTTGTGCGCCCTGCAACGTACATCGAGAAGAAGAAGAGAAGAGGAGGATAAGTTGGGATTAGATTGAAGCAAAAAAGTTATAATTTTTATATGTATATGATAATAATTGCAATTAATGTAAATGAAAACGGCAGACTGAGATTTTTTTAAATGTCTTTGGTTTCTTGATGGGCATTCACATACATGTATACCCTGTAATCTGAATATAGATGAAAGACGGCTATATACTTTTATATATTAGAAAAAAAATTGAAGCTGATTTTGTTTATTTGGTATTTGAATGTTCATTCAGTTGATTAACACACTTTAACTAGAAGAAAATTTGTTCATAGTGTGTGTGTGTGTATTTATGTGTATGTGTATTTATGTGTATGTGTACTTATGTGTGTGTGCACTATGCTATAGTTTAGAAAGACTGAAAGAGCAGGGTAATTGCAAGTCGGACACTTCCGACTAGAGCAGTCCTACTTGCTAGTACAATATTTACCACAATTTATATAGCATTTATAACTTATATATATATTATATATATATATATATATTATATATACATTCAACTCTTAAGTTGTGCTATCTCTTTTGCCCGACACTTCTTTAGATACTTTCATTTTAAGCCGCTCTACAATGCAGAATATCGCTTTTATATCTCCTTGTTTTTCTGTGGAAAGTTTTCTGTATTTGCTAGATGCAATGCTTCATTCGAGTGCTTAAATACTTGTGGCTACAAGCCAACTGACGGCCTGTCTCTCGCTTTACTATTGTTCTATGGAAGCGCTGTAAGTTGGCCATAGGCCTCATAGACCTAGGGCAACTTCTAGTCGCGGCCCTCGCGTTAGGCACATTCTTCGATTTGTATCTCTTAGTCAAGCGCAAGGCACAAAGCATGGCAAAAACATTTGCCAAAATATAAATTATTTATACAATCAACAACAACAATAGCAACAACAACAACAATTGCAAAACTAAATTTATGCAAACGCGTTCAAATTCAATTGTTCGCCGTGTCTGCCGCGAAGGGGACCCCAATGACTCTTAACACCCTTCGTGTCTGTGCATGGTGCGGTCACCTCCGCCCGCCCCGTCCCGCCCCACTCCCTTCAGCGCCTCTTTATGTACCTGACGCTCCACGTAATGCAAACAATATATTGGAACTGAAAGGGGGAAGGGGGCAGCAGACAGGGGGGCGCTGGGGCCAATTGTTATTATTTTTGCTCATAAAACATAAAAAACGTGTGCAACGTGCAAAAAGCAGCAACAGAAATTCATATTTTGAATGTCAAATTCGCTAAATTTGCACAAATTGGCAAATTCGCAACGATTTGCGATTTGCGATTCGCGATTTGCTAACCTGGCGAAATCGCCATGAAATTTGCTGCTTCCAAGTGTGAGAGAATTTTAACCTCCCCCCAAATACAGACGAGCAAACAAAAAAGAAACATTTTTATATTAGAGGAGGGCAACACACAGGAAGAGGGCTATTGAATTGCATTGCACACACGCACACACTCACACAGACACACACGCAAAGCCAACTGTTTATGAATGCAACTTGCGTCGCTTGCCGCTTTACACCTAAGCCCCTCGCCAACCCCCTTCCCTTGGCTGCGTAGCTGGCAAACGCAGCATTTGAAGCACTTGCTTCCACCTACAATAAATTAATTTCATAAGCAAATTCGCAAGGTAACTGACAGCGAGAGGGACGAGGGGTGGAAGGGGAGAGGAGTAGCAAGGCATACGGACAATTCAATCAAAGGCAGCAGCTGACACAGGCAGCTCCCAGCTGCCAGCACTGATAACAGCGCAGCCCAAGCGACAGAAAGCTAACAGCATTGCAGCACAACTTAACAGCAGCTGCTAAGTGTTAACGACAAGTGTCAAGTGCTTGCTGTGAAGAGAGACTCATAAGAGATTAGGATCTACCTCTAAAGGTACAGTGGAAATGTTGCTTTAAAATGAAAATTAGTGCATAGTGCTTAGGACTGGAGAATGCCTAAGAGGCAGAGTTAACTGCGATCTTAATCTGTCAATTTGTCTTGTCTCTAGTTGGGCGTGCTCGACTAGCAGATACTTCGCGCCCAAGCATAGCTACTTTTTCAGTCATAATGCGCTACCTTTAATCTTACATGGGGAACAATACACACAAAACTCGAAATAATCAAAATCTAAATAAATTTAAAACTTTCAGATTTTAGGGTATTCTCAGTGTAACTGAAATAAGGTAATGAGCTCTTCACTGCTTATGGTAATTAGATATATTTATTTAAGATTTTAAATCTCTAGTTTTTGTGGTTTAGCAGATCAAGTATGTATATACTTTATGGGGTCTGCCACGCCTACTCCGCCTTCAGTATAGCTTAAACACAATGAGAATCTGTCTGGAAACGCATTCAGGTGCAGAAGATATTACGAAAATTTATAGTTAATGATGTGGATTGATGGAAAATAAATAATACTTTACAATACATTCAAATGTTGCAAAGGCTACAATAAACAACATGCTCTAGCAGAGAGAGGTGAAGCTAATATATAGGAAAAAGTTAAGCATTCAAATATGACACAAAATGTAAATGAGTTGAGCACAAAGAGATGCGGAAATGTAATTATTATGTAACAGAGTTAAACAACACACAGATACTAAAGGTAAGCAAGCTCGTTAGCAACAGGTGGAGCAGGGAAACGAAAGGGAAGGGAAGGGGCCTTGGCTACTGGGCAGCAATTCCCATGTTTGAGTGTTGGCGCTGCTTACAGTTCCGTTAGCTCAACGAGTTGCAGCCAGGCGGAAAATGGGGGAAACAACATTCGTTGTTGTTGTTGTTGTTGTTGTTTATGGTTATGGTTGTTCGCCAGCGGAAAAGGTGACGTAGCAGAAAAACTAACGGCTCGCCATGTGGAGCCGTGTGGACTGTCGGTTTGGGTTGGGAGGGCTTATCGTATGGGTTCACTCACCTGCAGGGTATAAAACGATCCAGCGATGTTGGTGTCGTCGACGCTTCGAGATTATCAAAAAGATTTCGAGCCACGGGACTGCAGTGTTTTAAGATGCGTATCTCAAACTCCGGACTGAACATTGTAAATATGTTTGTTGTTGCTTAGGTTATTGGCTATTATTAATGATGAGTTTTAACCTCGATTCGATTGGGTATTTAGAACTGGAACACAACACAACGTTTCCACGGTTCGCGTTTTAAGTCAAAAGCGCGAAAAAAACAAAACGTTGCCAAAACAAACAAAAAAATATATAATACAAAAATATATATATATATATATATAAAAATCGAGTGTTTCCAATTCCTTTCTTTGTCGTCTTCTTCTTCTTCGTCGTCTTTTTTTTTATTTGCTTTTTAACCAATTACAACAACGAAATGCCGAAAATTGCCGAAAAACATAAGTTGGTAATAGAGAGAGAGAGAGTAACAAGAAAATTTGGTTTTTTGGCTTGTTGTTTTTGACTCCTTCTTGATTTTTGTTGCTGCTGCCGCTTTTGATTCTTCTTCTTGTTCTAGTGATCTTAAACTTTGGTATTGCCGAATCGTACAATATATATATATATATATATATATATATATACACATACACACACATATATATATATATATATATATATATATATATATATATATAAATAGGTATTATGAATTTGTACTTGTATACATTTAAGTATATGTATTTGGAATATATCTGCGATATATATCTAAATCGAGACGGTTAGCTGCAAAGAGAGGGAAAAGAGACATCATGTTAGAGTTAATTGTAATTGATTTCAATTTGTTAGGCTGTTTCTTGCGAATACTCTGTAAATGAATACAGTCAGCATGTTGCTGGTCTTAAATGTACATACAGAAGTTATATAACTTATATGTATGTATATTATATTATTATTTATATTTTTATTTTATATTATTATTTTGCATTATTATTTTATTATATTTATATTTATATTATCTTCTTATATTTACAAATTTTATTTATTTATAAGCCGAAAGTCGTGCCATATGTTTTTGCTGTTTTGTACAGGGTAGTTGTTCGTGTCACCCCGTCAATTTGGACTAGTCTAGAAATTTGAATAAAATTGTAATTTATTTTTTGGTCGACAGCTTGCAAGCCAGGTCATTAATCAACGTCGTCTAGCAGCAGGGTGTACAACGTGGTGCTAGGCTTTACAGATATGGCAAAAATGTGAAACAGAGCGAGAGAGAGAGAGAGAACTGTTGATCAACGACAGCTAGTTTTGGCCAACTTTTAAGCTGGCTTTGGTTGCCAATGGGCTAGTGGGCGTATCAATCACAAGTGGAGCTAACCAAGCACTATATATAGGGTGTCTATGCGTCTATCTGTCTGTCTGTCTGTCTTGTCTGTGTGTCTCTGCTGTCCATTTGTAACGCCTGTCATGTTGTTCGAATGTTATGGCCAACGCATGCGACGCGCATACTGAGAAGCTGGCCATCTATTGAACTGGTGTTCTGGCCAGGCTTAAACGCCAGCTCGTTTCAGATTCAATTGTTGGCACGGGTTGCACCATCAATTGCCAGAGCTGCCCACTTGCCGTGCTCACTGCTAATTAGTGAATGGGCGTTAACTGTTGCTTGTTGCTCGATCGCCGGCTGGCTGGATGGCTAGCTGGCTGGGCTTTATAGAATTCAGAGAGACATGGGGCTGGGCTTTGGTCTTATACATACCCAGTGCAGCGTGAAATGCAAGCAGCTTGAAGCACTTCCGCGTTCACCCAAACACTCAGATACAGATACACATACACGCTCGGACACACAGACAGACACAAACAGTGCTCGTCTCTTGGGCCAGTTTTCAATTCAATGGTAGGATAGATTTTTGAAAGGATTTTATACAAAATATACATATGCATATATATATACATATATGTATATATACATATATACGCTATCTAATTATGCACATGTACACATTTAAATAATTGCATATATATATATATATACATAATTAACTGTATATGTATATATAAATACAGAATTTATCGAACTGGCTACGTAGACAAACATCAACTGACTGACTTGGCAAAGTCGGAGACTGACATTTAACTCTGCGGCAGGTAGTGGCCGCGGCTAACGGCAGGTACTTGCTGCACTTATACCAAAAACTATACACATGCACACACACACACACACACACAGACACACATGTATGCATATATCTATATGTCGTTAGTGTGGTTCAGACGTAAGCCGCGTTCCGTGCTGTGTGCTGATAAGGCCTTATCGCAGCACAAACATAAACAATGCGGGCACAAATGTTAAATGAGTCAATCCCAGGGAGTTGCCTGTTCGAACATGTCGCGCCCAGCTATGACTCGATAAGCAACAAGTGCCGCAAGGGGCGGCAGGAGGCGGAGTAGATGGGGGCAACAGGGTGCAAGGGGCAGCGGCTGGATGGCCCGGGAGCTTCGCTGGAAGCGCAGGTTGCATCACCAAAAGCGTTTCATTGTTTGAACCGTTCAAAGCAAACATTATTTCGATCGGTCCACCCAACCCCTAAGGTTAGCCACAAAAAGGTGGCTCTAGTTAAGACAGACAGAGAGAGAATGTTGACTAACAAATACCCTGTAACTCGCAAACTTGCAGTCATAAGATACGGAAAACTTCTTTTGTCTAAGCCCCATTTGAGTCACTTCACAACTTACAAGGAAAACTTAATGGAATTGATTTAGATATGCATTCGTAGTCTCTTGAGCAACTAGGCAAGCAGGCGCATTGTCTGCTATGAGTACAGGGTATATTGGATAAGTTCTGTAATAATTGCATAGCTAAAAAACTTAAAGCACACACATATAGACATATATGTACATAGGCATGTGTACACGTAGACTAAGGCATTACGCAACGCCTCCAATTATAGCCCGCATAATTGTCTATGGATTGGGTAGACTGTAGTGGCGACGGCAGCAAGTACAAAGATTAGCAAATTATGAAAAATAAATATGTATGTAATGTGTATGTATGTAATATGAGTAAACTTATTGATTTCACATTTGTCCAAGATATAATGCTTAAACTTTATTAGAGTGTAGAAAACTGGTTAAGGAAGATTTACTGTAAAAAATATGGCACAGTATAGCATCTCTAGTCTTTGGTCTCTGTGCGCAGTACTAAATCGTGCAGACTATCGTTAGTTGCATCTAGCGTATGCACACTGTCTTGGTGGCGGCTTGCTCTACGCTGGTCTGACGCTTTACTCTGAGTCGAAGGTCAGGAAAAGTCGACTAAAAAAAACCCCGTTCGACATTTATAGACGCTGAGATAATGCCACAAAACGGAGCACCACCAACTGGGGCACAGCTGCGGCTCCCACAGCGATAGACGCTGCACTTGAACTTTGGCGGCTATAAATACTACTGAGTGAGCGTGAAATCAGTGGAGGGAACGGGCGACAATTTAAAAAAAAAACAAGAGGAAAGTAAGCCGCACTCCCCATTCGACTCCGGTTGCAGTTACTGCTGCGGTTAGTTATCAGCAGCGGACAAAACGTGTGTGTGAGAATATGATGATAAGAGCAGGCGAAAAAAAACCATTCACATGTTCGATGACAACGGAAAAAAAGAGCAAAAAAGAACTAACACAATTTGCCACCCCTTTTCGGGAAAGAGCGAGAACACATGGCAGCTCAAGAGGACGAGTGAGTGAAAGAGCCAGGCAGGAGCAGCCAGCAGCAATCGATAGACATACACATACATACAGACATACACGCAATGATAGACAAACGGCCCCCTGCTTAAAGGGCATAACCGTAACGGAAAACGTAATCATGTCAAGGACACTGGCGAAGCCAAATCGCCAGTCGAAAAGAGCAAATCAATAGATTTATTAGCGGCTGCTACTGACTAAATATTTAATTTAAAAATTTACAGTAATTATGATTTGTTGTTGTTTGGCTTATTGTGCACTTACAAACACACACTGACGCACTAACGCACGCACCGCTAGAGCTAGCCAGATAGAGCAGCCATACAATGGCCAGCTGCATACACACACACAGAGAGAGTGAGAAAGAAAGGGAGGGAGACAAAACCGTACATGCATGCCAGCAAAAAAGAGACAAACTCTCTACCCTCGCTCACACACAATGTACAGCTATAGCTAGCAAATAGTGCAACGCGCATTCAAATGAACTTTAAACATATAACTGTAATTATACCATTATACAATACATGCACGCATAGATTGTATGTGAACACAAAGTGCACTTACGTTTTTATTTTTCAATTTTATGCTGCACACTAAATATGTTTCCTCGAATCAATTTTACGCGCAAAAACACAACGAAAACGGTTAATTTTGATTTTGTTATGTCTGCTGCATCGCTGGTATGAGGCCAGCATCACAACCACCACTGTTGAGAAACACAACTGTTTTTTGTTTAATTTATAATGGTTGCCCGACGCGAGGGTTGTTCTGGTTGCAATGACGTTAACAGCTTATTTTAGTCACAATGTTGCACCCGACGCGCTTTTTAGGGAAACACACTTGCGATGATTGTTTATTTCAGTTGTTGTTGGCTTTGGATGCGTTGCGGTCCGCGCTTGTACACCGCCGTTCGATCTGTTTCCAAAAGCAGCGTTTTTTTTTTTTTTTTTTGTCTCGACTCACGTATTATAGGGATGTTCACGACTAATCGATAGGCATCGATTGCTAACAAGCAACCCTAAATACGATCAGCTGTTTGCACGATACTATTTGGCCATAAAAAATACTGAAACGATACTTTGAGTGCCGTAAAATGTATCGATGCTAGAAGCAGTCGTTAACAGCTTGTGAAATTTAAATAAATAGATACTTATAATTATAGGCTTTTGTTTTATTATTCCAATAAAATTAGTCCAAATTTTCAGTTTATCATGCAGAGTACTTGAATCCATTTAGACTACCATTCCACAATATTAACGTGACAGTTGAAAAAAATCTCATCAACTTCCTGTACCTGTTCGCCGGCCGGTGAATTAGCACGTTGATGCCCCTTGCGCGGCGTCTCAATCAAATCGGCACTCCAGATTTTGCCTAGAATGTCCCTCATACAGTTCCTAATATAAATCAATTGGTCGCCAATCAAATTGCCATCATCCTTTCGCTCGAGCTGTATACTACATTTGTTACTGTTCCATCGATCCTCCAACCACTTTTCATCGCTGTTCTTCATTTCTTTTGCCGTTTCGCGAGACATTATTCGAAAAAAAAAGCTTTTACAATTTTGAAGGCTGAGTGAAAGGACTGCTTAAAGCTAGCTAGATATTTTTATTATATATGTATATATGTGTAAATACATATGTATAATGAACGTAGTTTTTGTTTTCGGAGACCTAATGTTTGTACATACCCCTTTTTTGGAAATATATGTCATAGGCGTGGCAGACTATATATGTATTCTTGATCAGGACGATGAGCTAAGTCGATCTAGTCATGTCAGTCTATCCGTACGTATTACTAAAATACAAGTGAAAAATCAACTCTGCCATATTATAGTTAGAATTATACGTTTATTAGAAATTAGTGAGTAATCTTTCCAAATTTGGAATAGGTTGACTTCTGCGTTGCACTCGAGTAACCGTCCTTCAATCAAGCTCAGAGCGGAACTGGCGCTAAATATTGATTTGATTGTCTTTGCTATAGCTAGCCTTGGACGTCACAAAAGTTATTGTTTATGTTGCGCCATAATTAGAATAATGAGGCCAATATACATAGAGCATATTGGCCAGCTGTTGCGTAGGTGAGGTTACCGTCGACCACCGTTGCCGCAAGACAAAGCTAGGGACAATTTGTGCTGCCGGCATCCAGTTTTCGGTGCTATCCTGTTCACAACGCACACGATGAACATTAGTAATCTGCTTCAGTTCGAGTCGATGGAGTACAAAGGCGCTCAGACCCAAGCGACGTCCATCAATCAGTTTGTGGCCAGCGCCTTGCGTGTCTTAATCGAGGACTTCTATCAGCGTGTTGCTCCATCATTTATGCTAATCATCTCGTGCCGTCGGCCCAGTCCGATGAACTTCTATCGCAACATAATGCAGCTGCTCTACGAGAGCGTTGACAACATGATTCTTCAGCTGATCCACTACAATTACACCCAACCGCAACGCATTGCGGGTCCACGATTACACAACCTGCTGCTGGTCGATTCGCTCCAAGCATTGCTGTACGTGACGGTTCGAATCACCAACAAGGGCAAACCCCTGAAAAAAAATACAGAAAAAGCTAGTGAATAAAATAGGGGTATATGCGTTTTGAGCGACGTTATACAGAATATATATATATATATATATATATATATATATATATGGAATATGCCTTCTATATATGCGTATATATATATATATATATATATATATATATATATATCTTATCCTTTCTATTTACCTTTAGTTGCTGATAGCAATGTATGTACATAGTATTTCCTTCAATATGATTGTCTTTACATTCCGTGGATTTCGGCTATATAGATTCTGCGGATAATAGAGAATATTTATATATAAATCGTATACCATTCGGTTCTCGTTTGATAGGGACATTGAGATACATACGTATACCTCCCGGAACGATGGCAGCGAGTATTACTTCATATTTCTGCAGCAGCGGGATGCCCTGATCTCGTTGGAGATGCAGGGCGTCTTTGAGTATTGTTGGCGGCACCAGCTGCTCAATTGCAATGTGATGACTCAGAGCGCTAGAGGAGAGGTGCTGATGTACACATATTTCCCATATGCGGCGACACACTGCGACGCTGTGCTAAGTCAGCAGATCAATCGGTTTATGGGCACGGCGTGGCAGCAGCCCGTCTACTATCCAGCCAAACTCCACAATCTGCATGGCTGCCCGCTGAAGGTGCTGCTGCGTTCAGTATTGCCCTTCTTCAGCGTGAACGTTGAGGCACCTGGACTTGAGGACCGACTGCTGCAGGAGCTGGCAAGGCGCATGAACTTTGTGGTGCACTCGGTGGCCGAGCACAATCCGGATGTGCCCTGGACAGAGCAGCAAATACTGCAAATGGTGGGTAGCTAAAACACATTTTTTTATCGATTAACTAAGCATATTCGATTGACATCTTCGACAGTTGCAGCAGCGACGCGCTCACCTTGCCATTGGCTATATACGCAAACGTGTGGAGCATGCAGCCAATTTAACCGCTGTCTTTCCACACTTCTCAAGTCGTCTGGTCGGCTGCTTGCCAATGAACGCGTACAATTTGACCAGCTTCGAGCTATTGAGTTATCCCTTCCAGAGATTTGCCTGGTTGGCCGTGCTGAGCAGCTTTCTGGCCGTTAGCTGCCTCATGCTGTGCTCGCGCCGTCGCATAGATCGGGCCACGGTGCTGCTCTCCGTGGTTGCCATTGCCTGGGGTCAGCCCAGTGTCGCCTCTGCTTGGCGACCTGCCCATCAGGTGCTCTACGTCAATTGGCTTTGCTTTACGCTACTAGTGCGTGCCATGTACTTGGCCCTGTTCTATTATATGCTACGGCAGCATATTCATCAACGTTTGCCGCGCAATCTTCTCGAGCTGATTGAGGGTAGCTATGCGGCCGTGATGAATCGCATTACGGCACACGATGTGGCCGAGGTGAGCAGCCTTCAAGAGCTTGTGATTAACATGCGTGCCATTGTCCTGGCCAGCGAAGTTGAGCGCGATGTGCTGGAGCAGATCGATCTGCGTCAGCAAAGGTGCATCTTTGGCATCATATCCAGACAGACGTTGCTATACGAGGCACAGCGTGCCCATAAGCCGGGCGCATATTACATTCTACCACAGCAAGTGCTGGAACAGCAGCTGGCCATCTATTTGCAGAAGCATTCGCATCTGGTGCAGCGGCTTGATGAGCTCGTTATGTCCATCCAGTCGGTGGGCCTGATCAACTACTGGGCTGGGCAGCTGGGAAGCGAGCGCTACTTTCGCAGCATCTTTATGTACCGGGACAAACGGTTGCGTCAGCCCGATCTTTGGGCCATCTATGCCATAGTGGGCGTGCTTTACGTACTCGCAACGATCGTCTTTTTATGGGAACTGGTCTCCGTGCGCTGGCGGCACATCAACTAGTTGGAAGCCTTCAAATTGAAAAGATCGTAATTACTTAATGCTTCGATAACGATAACAATAGATAACGCAATACCGTACATGAAATTGAAGTGCATACAAGAATAAAACCAAATAAAGACAACGCAAACCAAACGAATAATTTATTTTACAGTCACGGTTAATTAAACTTCGATATCGATAACATTTAAGTAATCGATGTAATCACAGGAGTATGCTCCTGCAAGCTTAATGAAAACAACGATGACAGTCTCTATTTCGAAAATTCGAAATCGATTACGAAACTGTGTATTAGAGAAATAAATCCGAACTATTTAATTCATTGCAATTCTTGTTACGATTTATTATGCAAATCACAAAGTTTAATTTATTAAATGCTATACAAAAATACACCAGATGAGTAGTTTAAAACAGTTTTAAAAATAGTCGAGGATGACGAATCGTCATCGTTTCCAATTTCAATAAATGCAATCCTGGCTTTAACAGTTTGACAGCTGTTGCTGTGGCTTTAAAGTTTCTGCAGCAGAATGGAGGAGGCGCCGCCGCCACCATTGCAAATGGAGGCGCAACCCAGCTCGCCGGCTTTCAGCGCGTGCGACAGATGGGTGATCAGGCGAGCGCCAGACATGCCAATTGGATGGCCCAAAGAGACAGCTCCACCATGGACATTCACCTTGGTGGGATCGAGGTCCATTTTGCGTGTGTTGGCCAGCACGACTAGAGAGAAGGCCTCGTTGATTTCCCACATGGCGACATCCTCCTTACGAACGCCTGCACGTTCCAATAGCTTGGGCACGGCAAATGCTGGTGCAATGGGGAAGTCAATAGGATCTGTTTCGGCATCCTGGAAGGAGACAATGCGTGCCAATGGCTTCACACCCGCACGCTTTGCGGCTTCGGCAGTCATTAGCACAACAGCGGCACCGCCATCATTTAACGTCGAAGCGTTACCAGCGGTAACTGTTCCGTTCTCTCGCTGAAACACGGTCGACAGCTGGCCAAACTTATCAAAGTTTACACGCTTGAATTCCTCATCCTCAGCGATGATTTGCTCTGGTTTGCGTTTTATCTGGATCTTTACGGGAGCAATTTCGTCGGCAAAGACTTTGTCGCTCCAGGCCTTGGCCGATCGCTTATACGATTCGATGGCAAAATCATCCTGCTCCTTGCGTGTGATCTGCATTTTTTTAGCCGTGTTCTCGGCACAGTTGCCCATATGGAACTTGTTGTAGACATCCCAAAGACCGTCAAAGACAATGCCATCTGTTAGATTGATGCCCCCATAGGGTGTAGCGCCACGTTTCAAATAGAAGGGCACATTCGACATGGATTCCATGCCGCCGGCAACAACGACATCCGCCTGGCCAAGCATTAGCGACTGGGCGCCCAGCATCACAGCCTTCATGCCCGATGAGCAAACCTTGTTCACGGTCGTGCAGCACACATTGGTGGGCAATCCGGCAAAGATGGCCGCCTGACGGGCGGGTGCCTGACCGAGACCTGCCGAAACTACGTTGCCCATGATCACCTCATTAACATCGCTTTTGGCTATGCCCGCACGCTGGATGGCCGCCTCTATGGCAGTGGCGCCCAGTTGTGTGGCGGACAGAGGTGCTAGCTGGCTCTGGAAGCTGCCAATGGGTGTACGAGCAGCAGAGACAACAACAACATCGTTGATCTTAGAGCTGTAGCGCCGCGCCTGAGCGCTCAAATGACGGCTGGTGGCTTGCAACATGGCACAGATAGCGACGTTTTATATAATGATCACTGGAATATTACCCGGGCGTGATCACGCTTTTAAATAATAATGGGACTAAGAACCTGTTGCTCTTTAACCGCTTGCGTAACGTGACAGCTGTTGCTGATGGTGTTGGGAAGCGACATAAATTTGAACTTAAAGCTTTTTTTATTACGAACTATTTGTAGTATTTTTTGGCTTGTCTTAAATATGAAATAACGTAATGAAAATAAGAAATAAATAATAGTCAGCTTTAATTTTGAATTTGCACTAATCTAATCACACGAGAATCCATATATAGCTATATATATGTATATTATTAAGGTGGAATGTATCCTATTTTTAAATTGTTTTCTTACTTGTTTATCTCTTAATTCGAAAAAATATATAGAGCAACAATTCATGCCAATCAGTATTATTTTGGTATTTGAGTACTTCCAAGCTGGCGGTCACACACTTCTTGTTACTGCAAAACAATAACAAAGCAGACGGCAGACAAGCATTACTTTACCGCCTGCCGCCAAACGTTTGCCCGCTCGCCCACCTGCCGCGCGCAACAAACCAACAACAAGCACTTGCTCGCAAATCCCTGGTTCTGGTTCTGATTTTGGCTCCGTTACAGCTGCCAATTATCGCTGCATCCAGCCATCGCTTCGTCTTGTCTTGGCCTTGCGTTCGAGTGTGGTTGTGTGTGTGTGCGTGTGTGCAGAACGCCGTTTATTCATTTTTTTCTAACGTTGCGCGCATGTGAATTTATAAATTCTTTTTAAATTTTTTTTATGTAGACCTAAAAACAACAAAAATATGACGAAGTATGTGCATAGCATAGGTATTATTTATTTGTAACAACAAAAAACATAACATCAACTGAAGCGCGACCGAAGAGCCGGACAGAGGGACAGGCGGACGGACGAACGCACGGACGGATGGATAGCAAAAATTGGTGCAGCGTGAAAGCAGCGAGAGACAATGAATAATTAATGCAACTTTTGCGCCAGATTGTGACTAATTACTGGAAACAAGTTATAGTTCAAATTCAAATCGATACTCTGTGTAAAATCAGTAAAATCGCTTATCACGCAACAGCAGCAAAAGTGACAACAACAATAGCAACATAGCCAAAAAAAAAAGTATTACATACCAACACAAGCAAACGATTTACACGCACGGACGCTTGCACGCACGCATTCATTTTTGCGCCCACTTTAAAACGGAAGAGAACGAGAGAGGGCTATTGCTAAGGAGCAAGCAAAGTAGCGTCATCAACAACAACTATAACTAACTGCACTGCAAGAGAGAGAGAAAGAGATAACTTAAAGCTTCAGCCACAGCTTAAGCTCAACCAACAGCAGCAACAACAGCAGCAGAAAAAAAAACAAAACAGATATAATCATGGTAAGTCCGCAGCTGACGTCGCAGCGCGCGCCTTTTTGGACTAGCACCAAATGCGGCAACAACAGTAACAACACCCACACAAACGCAGCTGCCGTTGGCGGCGCAGCCTCGCTTTGAGCGATTTTCAAAAACAACACAAAATCCGTTTTCAGTTAACGCGCTGATTTCTTGGCCAACGGTTTTTAGTTTCTAGCATCAAGCGCTACAATATTTGCATTGTGTATGTGTTGCAGTGACTGCTGCTGTTGTTGTTATTGTTGTTGAAGTACATATGTATATATAACACAGTTGAACAGCTAATTGATTACTCACCACAGCTGCTCTAGCCCACCAATCTTTTCGCCCGCCAGTGTTGTGTTATCTATCAAAATCGAGTTAGCTGCATTTAATCAGGGTGTTTCCGAGTGATAATTCATTAAGTATTTTTCTATTTTTATGCCTTTGACCCATTTTGACAAAGCTGTAATTAAACCAAATGTTGCCTTAGCGTATGCATATATGTATGGTACACATACATTCACATATATACATATATGCAAGTTTGTGTGCAATAGCGCTATTTCCATTTAGAGTATCTAACTCTCAAGTGTGACCCATCCACATACGAATTGTGAATCAGCCAGCGAATTCGACTGAAACATTTAAAGCTTGCGCTTAATTCGATGTTCATATATTTGACATACATATATTGCAGTTCGTATTTGAAAATATGATTAAAGTCCTTTTAAAAAAAACATTGTATTAATTTGAATAATTTATTTTGAAAACTGTATTCGTTACCTTTTTCGTGTCTTCTGTACCTGTCAAAGCTGTCGAACTTGTTGTTTCTTCGGTTTTGAGTGTAGGAAGAACAGGTGAGAAATGAGTTCCTAACAGGAAATACTTTTATTTTTATTGAAAGTCATATAATAAAATAAAAAAAAGTAAGCAACAAAAGATACATTTGGTTTGTTCAGAAGTTAAGTTTCCATGATTTATCGATAACAGTCCTATACATTAAACATTCTGCTAAAGAAACTTGGCTTAAAAGTCTCGAAAGTCTAATTTGAATTTATGCGATTCTCAGAGTTTACAATGTAAGCAGAGTGTGGGTACAAATAAAAAAAAGGAAATTTTTTTCGATAACACTGACGAAGCACATTCATGTATGTATACATACGTATATATATATATATATATATATATATATATATATATATATATATATATATATATATATATATATATATATGGATAGAGCTGGCATAGTACGCATCGTATTTATTGTCCCCATATATATTATTATTATTTAGTGTACTTTATATATTTGTAGTAATCAGTCGTTTGACTGTCTTGAAAAGCTTGTCGACTCTAGTTGCGGCCAACAAATCCAGCGGAAAAAGGATCTCAGTTAAGCGAACATTTCAGTTAAACCATTGTAGTTCACACGCTCTTAAAGCTCACAACGTTCAAAATAGCCCTCGTTATATTATATTATGCTCTAACGTTTCGCTCTCCATCGTTGCCACCCTGACATTCTCCTCATCTCTCTCTCTCTCACTCTCTCTATATATAAATATATATCTACCTGTCTCACTTTTTGTGTCGCCCTCTCTCTCCCTTGTTGATTCTCTCACAGAGCTCACCGATCGTAACGCGACGAGGCGCACAACAGGCCAAAATACAAACTCGCGCTATGGTCAAGTCGATGTCGGCGTCGACGTCTGCGTCGGCAGCAACAGCGGCGAACGCTGCGACGGGGCCAAACGCCCATGCCAGCGCCGTTGCCGGCAGCTGTGGGACGCGCAAATCGAGTCCAGCGCTCCAGGAGGCAAAACGTCGCGCGCGGAACATGCTGAAAATGCAGAGCAACGGCTTAGCTACCCAGCTGGAGCCAGTTATCGATATCTTTCAGAATGTGAGTATATTTAAATATATATATATATATATGTATATAGAATCGCGTAGCAACTGAAACCTTTTTTCTGCTTATTGACTTATTGACTATTAAAATTGATTGACAGACTAGAGAGTTATCGATAACTTTCATATTGTGATTACTTATCGTTTATCGAGTAGGTATTGATAACTTGTATTTAGCATGATTGAACTATCTGATTAATAATGTGATGTGATTGTTGGTTATCGATTGTTAGTTATCGATAAGTTCTAACATCGTGTATCGATTGACTGAAGAAACTAAAATTTGCTTTGACAGCGCAACTGTCTGAATGACTGAATTATTGATGGCTAGTGCACTTAAAGCTATCTCGTTTCGTGACAGTTATCGATAGCTTCAAATAGATTTGACTGTGTGATTGATGATTGACTGGCTGATGTTTAGCGTATATCTAAAACCACAATATATATATCAAGTTACTTATTACACAACAGATCATTCTGTTCGTGGTGTATCTGGACTATAGATACTCTTACTATATGTATTGCTAGTCAGTAGATTAATATGCCTATTTTTGTATATCCATGGACAGGCCGTCAATGCGAAGAGCATGCATCGGGGAGCCACTGCGCTCATATACGATGAGTCCATGAGTGAGCATTGCTGCTTGTGGGACAGGACACATCAGGAGAGACCTGAACGCTTTACGCGTACTATGGAGCGGTAAGAGCAGCTGAATATATATACAGACATATACATATTTATGCTATCCATATCTGTATGCAGCTGCCGCGAGCTGAACCTAGTGGAGCGTTGCCTGCAGCTGAAATCCCGCCTGGCCACCAAAAACGAAATCCTCAAGCTACATTCAATGGAGCACTACGAGCGACTGGAGCGGACGTCGGGCGTGCTCAACGAAGAGGCTATGGAGGAACTGAGCTCCCACTATGACGCCATCTACATACATCCGGTAAGAGGCACAGCACCAGCCACGATCTAATTATGCATAAGAATCATCCATTTATTCATTAGAAATCCGCATATTTAATTGGCGAATGGCCATTGTAATCGAAAGCCAGCCAAGCGTTTCAGATGCTCGGGCATTTCTAATGAGATTAGATTGCATCGAATGGCATTCGAATATAGTATAGCGTTTACAGATTAGAGCACATGCAAATGTTTGCCAAGTTGTCCGCCTTATCAGCTATAGAATGGCTATTTCCATTACACTCATAAGGTTGGATTAGATAATAACTTCTATAGACTAATGAATTGTATTACTCACTATTAATGCGGCTGTTCTGTTATCTCTCTTTGCTGTAGTCCACGTTTAAGCTGTCGCTGTTGGCCAGCGGCTCGACCATTGAGCTGGTGGATCAGCTGCTGCTGGGGAAGGCGCAGAATGGTATGGCTATCATACGACCGCCGGGCCATCATGCCATGAAGGCTGAGTTCAATGGGTATTGCTACTTCAACAATGTCGCATTAGCGGCCCAGCATGCACTCGATGCGCATCAGCTACAGCGCATCCTGATCATAGACTATGATGTGCATCATGGCCAGGGCACACAGCGTTTCTTCTACAATGATTCCAGGTGAGCTGGAAACACACATATATTGCCATAGATATGCTGACTCCCTCTCCCCCTCTCTCTCTCTCTCTCTCTCTCTGGTAGGGTTTTATATTTCTCAATACATCGGTATGAGCATGGCAGCTTTTGGCCCAATCTTCAGGAGTCGGACTACCATGCCATTGGCTCCGGCTCCGGCACTGGCTACAACTTCAATGTCCCGCTGAATGCCAAGGGCATGGGTAACGGCGATTATTTGGCCATCTTTCAGCAGCTGCTGCTGCCGGTGGCCATGGAATATCAGCCAGAGCTAATCATTGTCTCCGCTGGGTACGATGCAGCATTGGGCTGCCCAGAGGGTGAGATGGAGGTGACGCCAGCATGCTATCCACATTTGCTCAATCCGCTCCTGCATCTGGCCAATTGCCGCGTGGCTGTCGTCCTAGAGGGTGGCTACTGTGTCGAGTCGCTGTCCGAGGGCGCCGCTTTAACATTGCGTGCGCTGCTCGGTGATCCGTGCCCGCCGCTTGTGGAGCGCCTTAAGGTGCCGAGCATCGAGTTGCGCGAATCACTGCTCAACTGCATCTATGTGCATCGTCCATACTGGCGTTGCCTGCAGCTGCAGCAGACCTATGCTGCCACCGAGCTGCAGTCGGATAGCGCAACAGCAGCTCAGCTGCATGTCGTCAAGCGCATTTGGCTGGGCGGTCCGCCGCCAGAGCCAGATCAACTATATCCCACACGCGGCACCTCTGCCCAGTTGGCCGAGGAGGTCGTCGCTAGCAATGCCTTGCGCTTGTCCGTGCTGCGCGCCGAGACGCAGCTGGCGGTGCCAGCGATACGGGTCTGCTATGCATACGATGCCCAAATGCTGCAGCATTTCAATCTACACGACGCCACTCATCCGGAGCAGCCGATGCGCATACGTCAGATCCATCAGATGCACGAGGACTACCAGCTGCTGGGGCGCATGCATCAGCTGACGGCGCGTGCCGCCACCACGGATGAGGTGTGTCTGGCCCATACGCGCGCCCATGTGAATTCCGTGCGCCGCCTGTTGGGACGCAGCGTTGAGGAGCTGCAGCAAATGGGCGCCGGCTACAATTCGGTGTACCTGCATCCGCGCACCTTTGAATGCGCCACTCTCGCCTCCGGGTCGGTGCTCCAGGCTGTCGACAGTGTCCTACGTGGACAGTCTCGCAGCGGCATCTGCAACGTTCGGCCGCCCGGCCATCATGCCGAGCCGGATCAGCCGCATGGCTTCTGCATATTCAACAATGTAGCCATCGCTGCCCAGTATGCCATCCGGGAATATGGCCTGGAGCGCATTCTGATTGTCGACTGGGATGTCCATCATGGCAATGGCACGCAGCACATCTTCGAGGCGAATCCCAAGGTGCTCTACACGAGCATACACCGTTACGAGCACGGCGCCTTCTTTCCCAAGGGACCAGCGGGCAACTACGATATGGTGGGCAAGAATGCGGGGCGTGGCTTCAATGTGAACATACCTTGGAACAAAGTGAGTGCGCAGCGTGCCCATAATCTAACTGACCAGTAATATGTCCATTTCGCCTTGCAGAAGGGTATGGGGGATCTGGAGTACGCGTTGGCCTTCCAGCAGCTCATCCTGCCAATTGCCTACGAGTTTAATCCGCAGCTGGTGCTCGTCTCGGCTGGCTTTGATGCGGCCATCGGCGATCCTTTGGGTGGCTGCAAGGTAACGCCCGAAGGCTATGGCCTCTTCACCCATTGGCTATCCGCTTTAGCCGGCGGCCGGATCATCGTCTGCCTGGAGGGTGGCTACAATGTCAATTCCATATCATATGCAATGACCATGTGCACCAAGACACTGCTGGGTGATCCAGTGCCGACGCCACAGTTCATCCCGAGTGCCCAACGAACGGCCACGGTCGCCTTCCAGAGCTGCGTGGAAACGCTGCAGCTGTGCGTTGAGCAGCAGCGTCAGCATTGGAAGTCCTTGGTCTTTGGCTGCAAGCTGCCGCAGTGTGTCATGGGCGAGAATAATAACGAGGATTTTCTTGCTGCTACTATGGGCCAGTTAAACATCTCAAATGACAATGCTTTGGACGCAGCCGGCGGCGATGTCAACCAGCAGCCCGATCCCGGTCAGGATCGGCCCAGTGGCAGCAAGCCCAAAGTCAAGGTAAAAACGCTCAGCGAGTTTATGGCCGAGCACAAGGAGGTACGAGTCACAACCCGGGCAACAGTTGCTCCTCCACACACGCACACACCCACCCACCCAGCACACATATTTGCAGACAACACAACTAATCTCGTCTCTCTCTCTCTCTCTCCCTCTCCTACCAATCACTATTTTTTTTGTGTCTCGATCCGCTGCTCTTGCCAGGCGCTCGAGCAGCAGGATATGTTTGCCATTTATCCGCTCAAAAGCTGCCCACACTTAAGCCAATTGCGTCCGGAGAAGGCGCCCAAATGTAAGCGAAATTCCCATAACAACAACAACAAATGCAATTATCTCTGTCTCTGTCCTACTTGCTATTGCTGCGCCATATCTCTCTCTCTCTCTCTATCTCTCCTTCTCTTTCTGTTTCGTTACTTATCGCTTGTGTGTTTCGTTTTAAATGCTTTAATTTGGTTTTCCTTTGCCGTCAACTGTTATATACGCAATATAACAGTTAGCGGAATGTACATTTGCTTACCACAGTATAACAGTAATAACAAAGACAAAGATGATTATTATGTATTCGCCTGCCCGAATAACACTTGCATACCGCTTGTATTACATGCGTATAACAGAAAACTTTGCAAGAAAAAATTGATGAGATTGATGAGAAGATTGTAAATAACAGTCGTATAACAGCTGCATAGATCTGATTAAATGAATAGCTGCTATATAACAACAGTATAACAGTTGTATAACAGTGTATCTGCAGTATACATAATTGCTGAAATTCAGAAATATATGTTATATAATCGTATAACAGTAGTATAAGCTACTTCACAGCACTGTATAACAGTTTGGGATTTTGTTTTTGCTTTCTTCATTTCATTTAAATTAATTTTTGTCCAATCTCTTAGTTTTGTGTTATGTGAATTATCCTTTTGCTGCTAATTGTAACTGTTATACGCTGCTCTTTTGTTATGTTGTGTTCGCTGAACTTTTTACGTCCACATCCAATTTTCCAGTTACTAATCAATGCATTTTCTTGTTCCCTCTCGTCATGTCAACCTTCTGCAGCAATAAACACAAGCGGAGTATGCGGCGACTGCGGCTCAACGGTGGAGAACTGGGTATGCCTGTGCTGCCAGAGCATCGGCTGCGGCCGTTACATCAATGAGCACATGGAGCAGCATTGCCGGAGCGCGAAGCATCCGCTGGTGCTGAGCTTTAGCGATTTGTCAGTTTGGTGTTACGAGTGCAGCGCCTACATCGATCATCCGCTGCTCTATGTCTATCAGAATCTGGCGCACTTGGACAAGTTTGAGGAGCCAATGGCCTGGACGCATGGTTGCCTGCAGCGCACCGACGGCTGCTACCCGATCCAAGTGGATCCGAGCGGCGGCAATAATCAGAACAACAACAATAATGACGGCAGCAGCTCCAATTCCAACTCCAATTCCGATGGCGACAACTGCGGCGCCGGCGCCGGCGGTGGCGGCGTCTACTATATTCAGTTGGAGCGGAATAACTGACACTTGGTGGTGCGTGTGCTGGATGCCATTACGGATTACATGTGCACGCTTTGCCCGCCTCTTCGACACGTCTTGCAGCTGTTCCTGGAACACATGTGGCCGTTGCTGGAGCGCATTTACCTCAAGCTGATCCAATACTTCCTCACCCAATGAGGCAGCCATCAACAACTAGCAGTTCGCATTTCGTAGTCAGTAGTCCGCATCCTGTTCAAAGTACCTTGAAGCTGAGAGTCGTTAAACCCTTTCCAACCATTGCGCAGTGGCATTAAATTAATTGTTGTGTCCATCGGTAGAGGCGGAGGTGCGCCCAATGGCTGCTGGGCTTCGCATCAGCTCTTTGGGCTGCCCACCTACCATCTCAAACTCCTACTCCAACAACGTCAACATCATCTCAATCTGCATCTCCTACTCCTGCCCCTTCCCACTTTCTACCTGATTTATTGTATGCATATAGAAATTGTTTAAATTGTTATTGTTTAAAAAATTACAAATAAGGAATCCAAAAAAACAAATTTGAAAATGGAAAAAACAATAATGTTATCACTAATCATTAATTAATCATGTACGAAGTAATAAAACTAGCGAACGACAAGCAATTTTTTGGCACTAACACAAATCAATGAAGTGTTTTCGTTTTCCATATGGGGCGAATCGGTTATGAAACGCTTAACCGTTTCGATTTGACTGCGAGTCTGAAGTCGCAACGGCTTCCGTAGAAAACCCAAAGTGAGGTTAGGTTTTCAAGCGCAATCAACTATTAGATAAACATATATATATATATGTATAAATATCTGGACTATATTTGCTGTTAGAGCTTTATTAACTATTTGTTAACATCCCATATATATATATATATATATATATATATATATTTGTTCGTTGGACCTGTCTCGATAGTTATTTTTCGGCTTACTTTCGCTTCTTTCTGTGGATAGTGAGTTGCCTGATTCCCGGGTGTGTAATCTGTGTGCCTGCTACACCTAGATGTAGATGCGTTTGATGGCGCGACGTGTGGCCAAGTGAACGCTGCATATGGGGCACTTGTGGTTGACCCGCAGCACGGAGAGAATGCAGCCGTAGCAGAAGACGTGGCCACATTTCGTTGTTGCCGGCTGGCGACCCGAAACGTTCTCCAGGCAAATGGGGCACTCGTAGGCGTGGTGCTTCCCGTCCTCGTCGCTTTCGGTGATATCTGCCGGCAAATTGATGTCTTGACTTTGCTTCTGACCGTTGGCCAATGGAGGCGGAAATATGATTGGACCAGCTGGAGCGGGCGGCGGCGGAGCGGGAGCTGGTGCTGGAGCCGGAACTGGTACCGGGACAGGAGCTGGTGCTGGGGCTGGAGCAGGCTCTGGTACCTCCATAGTGTCATCAGTCTGATTATTTAAGGATGCTAATGGATGTGCAGCATCCGGCTGATGGGATCTGGGCGAGCGACGTAGTAGGCTGTATGTCAGATCCACAATCATTGATTGATTGTTATTATCGGTAAGACGCTTGTTATTGGCATTTGGTGGCAATGGATGTTTTCCAGAGGACCAATCCATAACTGCGAAGTCAGAAAATGGCTTTAAAATGGAAAAGGAAAACTACGAAGCTCATGATGAACCGTAATACAAACTTATTATTGGCTTATTTCCTATAAATTGCAGTTGTTTTCTTGAATTCACAGTATTTGTGACTGACTACGATTTCCTTGATTTCTTTCAGACTTTCTTGAAATCGTTGCAAGCTGTGCGGGCCTTACTTCAAGAATGCTTCGAATGAAAATTTCATTTGACAACTAAGTCGACAGTTTTATAACCTCAATTGAGCGAAGGATAGGATTGCGAGCCAAGTGTTGCCAAGTGGTATTCAAGTCAACGTAACTGTAAACTGTAAACCTATGCACACAGGAGACTGCTAGCGCATGAGTAGCGATTGCTTACAGAGTGAGCTTTCGAACGCCACACCTGACATCCCTATTGGGGAGCCAGTTCCTTGGTGCTTCCTTCTTCACTTTCCTGCTCATTAGTTAGTTCATTACGTCGTAATTGCTGCCGAAGCCAGGATTCGAGCAATTAACCGTTAGTTTGCACTCAGAGCCGGAGCGCAGCGCAACGACTCTCTCAGTGCAGTCCGTGGTGAGTTGTTGGTCATTTTCACCACAGTCATCTGTTGCTTTCTTGCTTGTGCCTAATACAAAATAACGGAGCTTTGCTCAACGCATGTAAATGTTGCGCGTGTGCAAGGAGCTGCGCTCTATGCATGCGCGCAGTCGTTCGGGTAGCGTTCGTACACGTGCATAGATGAATGCTTACATTTTTGTTACTGCCTTTGTGCGTCAAGTTCAAGGTCATGAGCTGACCAAATGCAAAAACACATTTGCTATACAAATGGTAAGCGGAGCTGGGCGAGGAATGTTTTAAGCCCCTCGATGGCTATATGCACTGTACGCTATGCAATACATTGGTGAGTGTTTTCTAAGATATACATACATAGACTTATGTAAATCTTTCTGATATTATAGGTAGGTGCGAATCGGCGTGTGCAGCTAGTGCATCATCTGTACTCTCCTTTCCGCATGGCCATTGAGTTCCAACAACAGCAGCATCAGCAGCAGCAGCGTCACCGAACAACAACAAATGCTGAAACGGAGAGCTTTGTAGATGTTATGGGCATGGAGGACGTAGATCAAGGAACACCTCACACTGAGCGCAGCTTTGATCTGCATGCCTTGCATACGGCCTAAATTCCGCTTTGCGTGTTGAACAACGCGCAATTCTGTTTGTTTTTGAAAAAATATACACGCCACGCTGGCGTTACGCCATTTGAATTTCGATTGTGCATTGAGATTTTTGAAATATGGCAAAAAAAAATGAAAACGAATAATGAAAAAGAAATCAAAATAAATATGAATAGAGCTTTGCAGTGGGCGCGGAGCATTGTGCGTCTCGAAAATGAGCGCAATTTTGAGCTCGATTCATGGGATTCTGTGTTGATCAATGCGTAACTTTGAACCTTATTAAGTATACGCGGCAGCGGCGAAGTTAACTTTTAGTTTGGATTTAATTTTTGTCGACTTTTAGTTTTTTTTTTTTTTATTTTTATTTTAAAATACGCTTGACCTAATTGAACTCCATTAAATATACGTATGAATGTAATGTAGGGCTTCTACTTTGCTTTTTTCGCACGCTTCGGATACGTTTGATCGGGCATACCCTTTTTACGCTTCGCGATTTCAACTGATGGTCCTTCTTTTGACTTTGCATTCGGCCGCTTCTGTTTCTTAGCAGTTTTTATTTCTTGTTCCTCCTCGTCGCTTTGGTCGCTATCAAAACTTGATGGATCGCTTTCGTAGTCGCTCGCATCGCCATTGCTCAATGCTTCGCTAGCATTTTCATTCTCATCATACTCAATGGAGACATAACTACGAGGTCTTAGAGACTCCAATGCTTCAATGCGAGCGGCCAGCCTCGCTGCTTTCTGTTTCTCAGTGGATTTGACTTGTGTACTCTCCTGTGGCTTAGCAAACTGCGAGGTATCCAAAAGGGAAAGGCAGGTTGGCCGACAATCGATGTTGGTGCTTGTGATCAGCGAGAGCTCCTTCTCATCCACATCGCAGCTCCAGACTTTGACCTCGCCAACGCTGCAAGGAATTACAACGAATTATACAACATATTGATGAAGAGGTATATAATAATCACCTAGATATGGTGACCAAAGTATTGTGCATGAAGGCAATTCCCTTAACACGATTGTCATGCGCCTTTATCAACTGGGCCTGCGGACACAGAAAAGCACATTAGTTAGTTCGAATAAGTGATAAGAAATCAAAGAAAATTGTAATTTACGTCAGCGGTTTCTTTGTCATCCAGGCATATCCACGCTATGCTGCCATTTTCTTGGCCCGCCAAGCAGTTTCGTTCATCTAGCCAGGCGACACAGATGGGTTTCGATGTGAGCTTGATTTGTCGCATTACGCTGGCTGTTTGGATGCTCCAAATCTCTAAAACGAGAGGCCCTGCGATGGAGAAGTAGTTGCCCTCTGTTGACCAGACTAGGCAATCGGGAGCGTTGCCCAAAGCATGCTTGCTTTTCAGATTCGTTCTGTATGCAATGCGGCCCTTGAGCAAATTCCATGTGTTAAGCACGTGATCAGCACCCAAAGACAGGCATAGTCGGCTGCTCGGATGGCAGGCGACATGTGTAATTGCCTTTCCATTGTGGGGCTTGGCCCATTCGCCTTCTGTGGACCAGTTGGCCAGGCGAGTTGCAATCATGCGCCCATCGATGCCACCCGATATTAAATGCGTAGAATCCGACGAGAAGACCATCGAGTTGACAGCTCCTTTGTGCAGGTTGAGGACGTGGGCTTGTTTCCTTAGTCGCATGTCATAGATAAAGATGCGATCATCGATGCCTCCGGTGGCCATCCAATGTTTGTGCACGGCTAGAGATTTTATTGAGCCATCATGAGATCTGTCCGCAAATGTAGTCTTCACTTGTATTTGATCCTCGCCGCTTTTGTTGTGTCCCTCGACTAACTGATACCCCAAAAGATATTCGTTGTAGGTGCCAACAATTATTTCAATAGCCGGCAACATGCTTTGAAAATATTTTACTTTTATTTTCTGTATTAAAGAAATTGTTTTTTTTTTTTGTTTTATAATTTAATTGATCATCTTAAGCGATCATTTGCTTGAATTGAATTCTGGACTACACGTGCAACGCCTGACAAAACAAACCTCGACAACTGATAACCGATAAGACTTATCGATAACGCTCAGGGCTACAAATATCAATTTTACATATTTATGCATTATAGGCTATAGCTTAAGTAGTAAGAGCCTAACTATATATACTTTGAGGCGCTTTTGCAGCCCTGGCTTGTTTACGATGCCCTGTTTGCAGTCTTAACACGCTTCTGCAGCTTTGTCGAACAAATGGTACTTTTGGAAAGATGCTTTTTAAATGAATATTTACTGATTCAAGTAGTTTAATTACTTAGCAAAGAGATCATAAAAGGCATTTTAAAACTTATAGCGATAGGCTTCAGACAGTGCGGCAAAGCTGTATATGAGTTATTTGAAAAAGTCTTGCAGCCCTACTACACTTGTGCAGCCCTGCCGGGCAAACGATTACAATTGTATATGCCGTATTTAAGACATAATTTTTGTACTTAAGAAAATCGCAAATAAAACGGCAAAGTTATTCGTGCATCACAGATTTAAATCAAGTGCCCAATTTACTCTGTCACAGAGTTCTAGTTTAGGGTAAGCTAAACGCTTTTATTCATATATCTTGTGCCACCGGCTTTTTAGAGGGCGCAACTGAAACAAAAAGCGCGTCGTTGGCCATGTCCAAAAACTCTGGGTAAGTGTGAAAAATGCTGACAAAAACACCAATTAATAAAATGTATACAGGCGTGATCGAGATCGGGAGCGCGAGCGCGACAGGGACAGAGACAGGGATAGGGACAGAGAGCGGGAGCGGGAACGTGACAAACACTATGAAAGTCGGAGCGGTCGTGGGGACTACGACAATGGAAAATCGTCACGCAACGGGGCCAGCCTGAGCAGCAGCTCGCGAGGCGGACGGGAGGAGCGCAAACGGGCCAAGGAGCCGACTAAGGAGAGTGAACGTGGTCTTGGAACGCGGCGAGAAGAGAAGCGACGTAAGCGTTCCAGGTCCAAGGAGTATGAAAAAGACAAGTGAGTACATAAAGCTCTAAATAGAGTAGCTGTTCATAATTTCTTGCCTTGTAGACGCCAGTTGGATCGTGAGCGTGATAAGGATAAGGAGCGGGAGCGAGAGCGCGAGCGGGAGCGAGAAAGGGACAGAGAACGCGAGCGCCAACGGGAACGGGAAAAAGAGCGTGAACGGGAGCGAGAGCGCGAGCGAGAGCGGGAGCGGGAGCGTGAACGGGAGCGCCAACGTGAATTGGAAACACGACGCGCTGCCCTGCCAGCTGCACCGTTGGTTATACCTGTTGGCTCGTCCAGCAGCTCAACGGACAACGAGGAGGAGGAGGAAATTGACAAGGAGGAGCAACAGCGTCGCCTCGAACAAGAGATGATCAAACGACGCGAACGCATCGAGCGTTGGCGTGCTGAACGCAAACAGCGCGAGCAGGAGGCGGGAAAACGAGATGTCAAAGTGGCAGCAGCAACCACAGTAACCAAATCGGCCAAGAAATGGAGCCTCGAGGATGAATCTGAGGAGGATGACAGCAATCCCGCGCCAATCATTGACGTTGACGTAGGCAAAAAGGAACCTGACTCACCGCCATCCAAATTCCACAGCATTCGCAAAAATTTCGATGACGATCTGGTCGAGTCCAAATTTGCCCCACTAAAGCGTCCCACGTTCAGCAAGGTCCTAGGCATGGTGCTCACATCTCCAGTTCCAACAGCAACAGCAACATCAACAGCAACAGCAACAGCAACAGCAACAGCAACAGCAACAACAACATCAACCACAACAGCAACAACAACCACAACAGCAACAACAACCACAATAGCAATAACAACAACAACAGCTACAACTACAACTACAACTACAACTACAGCAACAGAAACATCAACAGAAAATGCCGCAGACACTGCGGAACCAGTTGTAGCTGAGCCTGAAGTGGAGCTAGTCAATCTGGAAGTACAGCCGGCTGAGCTGAATGTAGCTGCTGATTCACCCAAAGCAGAGACGCCCATGGAAATTGAGACGGCTGCGCCAGCTGTGGAGCCCGAGGACGATGTAGATCCATTGGATGCATATATGCAAGAGGTGAATCGAGAAATGCGCCGAGTCAATCACTTTGTAAGTCCCGCCAAGGCGCAGGGCGTGGTCATCCTAACGGGCGTGGCTAAGAAGAAGACTTCGACGGTGAAGAAGGGCGAACTAATTGAACAAAATATGGACAGCCTGGAGTACTCCAGCGAGGATGAACTGGAGGATATACGCGATACGGCTGTCAATCTGGCCATGAAGCATCGCAAAGAGCTGGCCAAGATCGATCATTCCTCTGTCAGCTATGCGCCATTCCGTAAGAATTTCTACGTCGAGGTGCCCGAGCTAGCCCGCATGACCAATTCCGAGGTGGACAAGTATCGCAGTGAGCTCGAGGGTGTCCAGGTTAAGGGCAAGGGCTGTCCCAAGCCGATCAAGGTAAGGCTTTCGAATCAGTTATAAAATATGGCCAATATAGTCGATTAACGGTTTTTAATTGAAACGTTTTTGAATCCGTTCCAGACGTGGGCACAGTGCGGCGTCAGCAAAAAGGAGATGGACGTTCTGCGCAAGCTGGGCTTCGACAAACCCACGCCCATACAGTGCCAGGCGATACCGGCGATAATGTCTGGGCGTGATCTGATAGGTATTGCTAAGACTGGCAGTGGCAAGACGTTGGCATTCATTTTACCAATGTTTAGGCATATTCTTGACCAGCCGACGCTCGAGGATGGCGACGGTGCCATTGCGATCATAATGGCGCCGACCCGCGAGCTCTGCATGCAGATTGGCAAGGATATACGCAAATTTAGCCGTTCGCTTGGCTTGCGGCCCGTTTGCGTTTATGGCGGCACCGGCATTTCCGAGCAGATTGCCGAATTGAAGCGTGGCGCCGAGATCATTGTCTGTACGCCCGGACGCATGATTGATATGCTGGCTGCGAATTCGGGGCGTGTTACCAATCTGCGACGGGTCACCTATGTGGTCTTGGATGAGGCGGATCGTATGTTCGACATGGGCTTCGAGCCGCAGGTGATGCGCATCATCGATAATGTGCGTCCCGATCGACAGACGGTCATGTTTAGTGCCACATTTCCACGTCAAATGGAGGCACTCGCCCGTCGCATACTTAAGAAGCCTGTCGAAGTAATCGTTGGTGGGCGCTCTGTGGTCTGCAAGGATGTCGAACAGAATGTCGTCATACTAAGCGATGAGGCAAAGTTCTTCAAGCTGCTGGAATTGCTGGGCGTCTACCAGGAGACGGGCAGCATCATAGTCTTTGTCGACAAGCAGGAGAACGCTGACATTCTGCTGCGCGATCTAATGAAGGCGTCCTATCCATGCATGAGCCTGCACGGTGGCATCGATCAGTTCGATCGTGACTCCACCATAATTGACTTTAAGTCTGGCAAGGTACGTCTGCTGATTGCCACATCGGTGGCAGCGCGTGGCCTCGATGTCAAGGATCTCATACTGGTTGTTAACTACGATGTGCCCAATCACTACGAGGACTATGTGCACAGGTGAGACTCTAGAGAGATTGCCCCGCACGACAGGCGACAATTTTCATGATCACCCAATTTCTTGCAGATGTGGACGCACTGGTCGAGCTGGCAACAAGGGAAGCGCGTTTACATTCATTACGCCGGAGCAGTCGCGTTATGCGGGCGATGTGATACGCGCTTTGGATCTATCCGGCACTCCCGTACCGCCCGATCTGCAAACGCTGTGGAACGACTATAAGGCAGCACAGGAGGCGGAGGGCAAGACGGTGCATACGGGCGGCGGCTTCAGCGGCAAAGGTTTCAAATTCGATGAGCAGGAGTTCAATGCGGTCAAAGAGAGCAAGAAGTTGCAGAAAGCGGCCCTTGGCTTGGCTGATTCCGATGATGAGGAGGATATCGAACAGGACATCGATCAGCAAATCGAGCAAATCTTTGCAGCCAAACGCACCGTCAAAGATACCTCGCTGGCCGGCACGGCGCTGGCTGCGGCCAATGCCGTTGTGAATGCCCTCAGTGCGGCCATCTCGTCGCCCCTTGCCGCCGCACAGCAACAGCAGCAACAGCAACAGCAGCAGCAACAACAGCTGCAACAACAAATGACCACATCCGTGGCCATGGGCTCGGACAAACTGGAGCTGGCGAAGCGTTTGGCCTCCAAGATAAGCAGCAGTCGAAATTTGGATACGAAGGCGACACAGGTGGCCGCCGAGTCGATAATGAAGGGTCAGGCGGGCGTTGGCACCGGACAGCCAATGTTAACAGCGCGCACCGTGGTCGAACAGCTGGCAGCCAAGCTAAACAACAAGCTCAACTATCAGCCCAAGGAGGATGAGGAGGGCCTGGCCGCGCTGATGGGCAGCAACTCTAACTCGTTTACCAAATACGAGGAGGAGCTGGAGATCAATGATTTTCCACAGCAGGCACGCTGGAAGGTTACCTCCAAAGAGGCACTGGCCCAAATCTCCGAATACTCGGAGGCGGGCCTCACGGTCCGTGGCACCTATGTGCCTCAAGGAAAGAATCCGCCCGAAGGCGAGCGGAAACTTTATTTGGCCATCGAGAGCTGCAGCGAACTGGCCGTGCAGAAGGCCAAGCGAGAGATCACGCGCCTCATCAAGGAGGAGCTGCTCAAGCTCAGCTCAGCCCATCATGTCTTCAACAAGGGGCGCTACAAAGTGGTCTAGACTTATACCTAAATATATATATATATATAAGTGTATATATATATAACGTAAAATCCATCATTTATCTAGGCCAATGTCTAAAAGAAACATTCAATGAAAAGCTGTTTATAAATGCCTAATTTACCGCAAGAAAAAACACGAAAAAACAAAACTAAATATCGTCTATCTATTATTATTCCCCCTCAAATTCGCCGCCAAAATTACAAAAGGAAAGTGTTACGAGTTCTGTGAGACCGTGCCCTACAGTTATTCATCATATTAGTCACATAGAAGCCCTGCCTAGCCTAGATGCAGTTTGTCTAAATCGAAATCCTTCGATTACCATTTCAAAAAACCCTTGAACTATACAAAATACGAAATCATTCACATACACACGTTTTTTTCTTCAATATATAAGGCAAATATCTGAATATTTAGAGAGCTTAATATAACCTATATTTGTATTTGACGCGATTCGATGAAATAAATATAAATAAATATGTATGTGCAAGCAAATGTGTATGTCCATACATCTAGACTTCGTCTGTAGGAAAGCAAATATCTAATATCTAAACGACTGCATGTAAACTATCGTAACTGATAACCTTTCAATCTGGGTTATATATAGATGTTTAACTTATATAGATGTTACTATTATATATCGATCGCTTGATCAGTGTTCCAGTACTTTGACCCATATGGGTTATAGGAGAAAGTTTAGCTTTCTCTCTAGCTGGAGCAGTTCCTAGATGTCTCTCAGAATTTTCAATTCACATATAGATATCGATTTATAGAGAAATATCGATCATACAGCATCGATCATAGCTGAGAGTTTGTATCCCAAAAGTGGATTACTAGCTATATCTATACTATATACACATACATATATCCTTATGTACAGAGATTTAAATCTATATCTATATATAAAAACCCTATCTATTGATCATCAACACAGATATACCCATATTTTAAATGGTCTTTAGATAAATATTGAATTTTGAAAAGGTTTAGCTGCGCCAGGGCCGTGAACGAGCATTATATAGTCGGTAATGCCCGACTGCCGAAGTTACCACTTATAAGTTATGCATTTTCCGAACTTAATCTACAGCACTGATCTAGTAATTCCAATTAAATAAATATATTGAAATATTTATAATGTGCTCATACTACCATGCTCTTACTCTTAGCTCCAGTATTCCAAGTATATGTATATATATATATATATATATATAGGTGCCAATCTTACTCTCTTAGGTAATGTCACAAAGCTTGTGCTGGTTGATCGATAACACTTGAGTATCGATAGACGTTGAGCGTGGTTGGGCGCTGCGCTGAAAGTCCTGTAGCTGGCATTAAAATTTATTCGTTTTTATTTCTCAAAGATCTTTCACGTATGCTGTACAAAATTAAGTATTTCTTTTTGTTTTTGGTTTATTATTTTTTAGATTGTTTTTTTGTATCTGTTTTTTTTTTGGGTTTTCGTATTTTTTGTTGTTGTATATTTGAGTTTTAGCTTATTTAGCCGCATTTTATTTACTTATCGCCCGCCGATCGCGCTCTCAATTGATTTTCATGCTACAATATTTTGTGTCTAGAAACTACTAAAATTAAATTTAAATGTAGTTATGAATGTTGTTTTTTTTTTTTCGTTTTTTCTTTTGTCGTTTGTTTTTGTTTTGTTTCGTATTATTACATTTGGTTTTCTCATTATATTTGCAATTATAATTATTATTATGCGCTTGAAAAAAATTGTTTGTTTTATGCACTAGTTTGTCGGCAATGTTTCTTTCTTTTTTTATATTTTTGCTTTTTCGTACTTATTTATCTTTTTGATACAAAACTATTTTTTATGTTTTAAAATTATTATTGATGTTTTGCTTTTGCGACTGCTGCCAACGATTCCGTTTGCCAGACATGGAAATCCTTCGCACGCTCGCTTTACACTAAATACCATAGTATATATATATATGTTTATACATATATATATAGTATATAGTATATAGTCTATATATATACTATATAGTTTATTATTCTCATTTTTGCATATGTACAAGTCTAGTTAAAACTATGAAATGTGCTAAATTAAAAAAAAAAACAAAAAAAAATATGTATATATAATATATTTATTAAAATTCTTCATAATTTATATATATATATATATATTTATATATATATGACTAGAGTTAGTTTTTTTTATTTTTTTTAGTTATTATTAATCAATGTTCTTGTTTTTGCTTAACTATTACTTTTTTTTGGTATTTTTTTGGTATTTTCTTTTTGTATTTTCGTTAGTTTAGTTTGGCAACTGTTTAAATTCGTTGCAATATTTTCAGTTGTTGCTAACATTTTCTTCTCACCTTTTTCTCTGCATTTGTTTACTTAAATATAAGAAAAAAAATTCGCTGCTGCTGTGTGTGTGTGTGTGTGTGTGTGTGTGTGTGTTAAGGTTAATTAAGTGCCTAATGCAATATAAAAGTTAATAAATAATTAACAGAAACAAAAAAAAATTACAACTAAATTCTATAACGCACTGAAGGAAGCATCAAGAAGGCTCTGGATCCGGTTCGTGTTCGGGTTCGGGTTCGGGTTCGGCTTGGGTGTGTGTGGATCAAAAGTTTAACTATTGCAACTACTTTTGTTGTTGTTGTTGTTGTTGTTGTTGTTGTTGTTGTTGAAGCTAGCAAAGAGAACGATCTTTTCTATAAGAAAGTTAGTTCAGCGGTATTTACAATCGAATCAAGACTCTATAATATATATACATATACATAGGCTTTTATAACTCTGTGTATGTGTGTGTGAGAGTGTGTTTAGTTGTAGTTTATCCAGTTTTTAGCTTAGTTTTATTCTTCATTTTTGTTTCTCATAGAGCGCAATTCTTATTATCGGATCACTTGAAGCAATTTCATGGAGTTTTTTTGGTCGCTTTATGTGTCTCTGTGTCTCTCTGTGTGTGTGTGTGTGTGTAGTAACTGTTTGCATCTACATGGGGATTTTCGCTTGCTGCCCTGTGTAAAGTTTTCTTGTGTGTGTTTTTTTTGGCATTTAATAAACTTTTTTATTTTCGTTTTTTTTTTTTTTGTTTTTTTTTTCTTTTTTTTTTGGTTTATTTTTAAATCTGAAATGTAAATAGATTTCGAAATGAATTGATTAGTAGGGCACATCAAAGGACAATGGCATTAACTTAATTGTTCAGTTCAGAGATGAAACAGCGCTAAAAAGTGAAACCAAAAACTGACGCGAAAAAGGCGGCTACAGCTCGACAAGCTCAACGGGGCGTGGCGTGGCGCGGCATGGCGTATACGCAATGTCAATGTGAGAGCATATGTGCAATAGCCGAATAGGGAATGCTCTGCACAGGGCAGGTTCGTCAACAAGTAGATCGAGGCAACTTTATTTCAATATGAAAAATTTACGTAGTCAAGAAATGCATTTGGCGTGTTTCTTTTTTGCCATCAATTTGTATACCCTGTAAACCTAATGCCAAAAGCTAGTAATATCGTTCATTACAGTGTCTGAGTCGCAGCACTATATAAGATATATGCTAAAGGAAATACTTTTTTTTTTTTAATATCTGATTGATAAGAATTACATTTTCACTATGCTAAATACTCTCTCTTGCTCTCTCTCTCTCTCTCTCTCGCACGATAGTCAATACAAAGTTGTGTGTAGATTAAACTCTCTTAGAGGGTAGCTTTTAGTCGAGCATACCCAACAAGTGCTCTCCCAGCTGTGCAGTATACTCTGTTCCCAAAGGCAAGAAGGGGTATTAGTACATTATTAGTATATTGCTTAAGGTGTCTCAAGTTGGTTGATCTTAGAACATTAAAATTAAGTTAAATTTTATAAAATTGATAGAAAAAAATGTTTGAAAATTTATAAGCATCCATTGAAATTGAAAATAGCTGAAAATTCGTTTTAGTTTTCACTGTGACTGACTGAGAATAGAGTATTAGGCAGTCGGGCAGTGCCGACAGTCAAGGTTTTGTTTTTGTTTTGTTGTTTTTGCTTTGGTTTTTACCCACCTTTTTCTCCTATACAATTCAATAAATTATTGCATTTGATATGTTGGTCCATTGTTTCATTATTCGTTCCTAAAAAATTCTTGGTAGTTCTTCTTCTTGTTTACATTTTTTTTTCGATTAACTTTGATCGCATTCAGCTGTGTTTGCGTGGCTGTGTGTGGGTGTACGTGTGTGTGTGTGTGTGTGTGTGTGTGTGTGTGTGTGTGGACTGTAAAATAAGAGTGAAGTAAAGTTGTTGTTGTTGGTTGGTTGTTGTCGGCCAAACGTCATCCAATTGAATCGATTCCTAATCCTAATCCGAATCGGCATCCGTATCCGAATTACTAAAGATAATAGTCGCCCGTTATGGGTAGCGTAGTGGTAGTTGTTGAAGAAGAAGTTGAAGAAGTAGAAGAAGAAGAAGAAGAAGAAGAAGATGATGAAGATGTCGCTGCTGCTGCTGCTGTAGTCGCCGCTGCTGCTGTCGCCGCCGCTGCTGCTGCTGCTGCTGCTGCTGCTGTTGCTGCTGCTGCTGCTGCCGTCATAAATGACTATCAGTATCCGAATCCCGCTGAGCCGTGTCCCGTCATTGATGGTGTTACACTACTAACTATACCTAATTGTGTGGCTGTATTATTTGATTGTCAGTGTTGTTGAGCGGCAAATTTCATACGTTTTTGTTTTTGGCGTTGATTGCAGAACCAGACGCGCACCACGTTTTTCTTCAAATCCAGCTTTTCGGCAATGGCAGCGATTTTCTCACCGGACGGCCTCGGCTGGACGGCGAAGTAGGCTTCCAGGGAACGCTTTTCAGGTGCCGCAATGGAAGTCCTTTTTCTTGAAAAAAGACTCGATATAGATTACTTTAGAAATGGGCCCTAACTTTGGAATAGATATGACTGAGCTACAGAGTTTCATGTTGTTTTCTTTTTTTTTTTTCAGATCTTGATTTGAATTTTCCTGATTTTCTTTTTCTTTTTAGCCTTGGGTTAATTTTTTTTCTGGTTGCCAAATTAAACACGCTGCCAATTCAGTGGGCGGTTGGTGGTTGCAAAGGTGTGTGGTTGTGTGTGGGGGAGTGTGTGTGGGTGTGTGGGTGGTTGGGTGGTTGGGGTATGGCTGTGGCACTCGTTTGCTGGGTATTATTACCGTTGTAATCAAAACACTTTCTACCTTTTCTTTTCGCCCGCCGGCAGCACGCTGGGCGCATCCGGATCCCGTCGCTTGTTTTTCGCCTGCGCCTCTGCCTCCTCCAGCCACGCCTGCAATATGGGCTTAAGGGCGATCATATTGTTGTGGGACAGCGTGAGGCTCTCGAAGCGGCAGATTGTGCTCTGCGACAGCGCTCCGACACCAGGTAACTTGAGATTGGCCAACGCTTTGCCCACATCCGCCTGTGTGACACCTGTGCGAGAAAGAGAGAGAGAGAACAGTTGCAGACAAAGCCACTTTACAACACTGTTTTTGCGCACTGGCATGGTCGAATACATATAGTGT